ACCTGGTGCTGGACCGCGTGCGCAAGCTGGCGGACGCGTGCACGGGCCTGCAGGGCTTCATGGTGTTCAACGCCGTGGGCGGCGGCACCGGCTCCGGACTGGGCTCGCTGCTGCTGGAGCGCCTGTCGGTGGACTACGGCCGCAAGAGCAAGCTGGGCTTCACGATCTACCCGTCGCCGCTGGTGTCGTCGGCCGTGGTGGAGCCGTACAACTCGGTGCTGTCGACGCACGCGCTGCTGGAGCATACGGACGTGGCCATCATGCTGGACAACGAGGCCATCTACGACATCTGCCGCCGCTCGCTGGACATTGAGCGCCCGACGTACACGAACCTGAACCGCCTGATCGCGCAGGTGATCTCGTCGCTGACGACGTCGCTGCGCTTCGACGGCTCGCTGAACGTGGACATCACCGAGTTCCAGACGAACCTGGTGCCGTACCCGCGCATCCACTTCATGCTGAGCTCGTACGCGCCCGTGATCTCGGCCGAAAAGGCGTACCACGAGCAGCTGTCGGTGGCCGAGATCACCAACAGCGCGTTCGAGCCGACGTCGATGATGGCCAAGTGCGACCCGCGCCACGGCAAGTACATGGCGACGTGCCTCATGTACCGCGGCGACGTGGTGCCGAAGGACGTGAACGCGGCCGTGGCGACGATCAAGACGAAGCGCACGATCCAGTTCGTGGACTGGTGCCCGACGGGCTTCAAGTGCGGCATCAACTACCAGCCGCCGTCGGTGGTGCCGGGCGGCGACCTGGCCCGTGTGCAGCGCGCCGTGGCCATGATCTCGAACACGAGCGCGATCGCGGAGGTGTTCTCGCGCATCGACCACAAGTTCGACCTGATGTACGCGAAGCGCGCGTTCGTGCACTGGTTCGTGGGCGAGGGCATGGAGGAGGGCGAGTTCTCGGAGGCTCGCGAGGACCTGGCCGCGCTCGAGAAGGACTACGAGGAGGTGTCGGCTGAGACCGCCGAGGGCGAGGGCGAGGACGAGGAGTTCGGCGAGGAGTACTAGATTAAGCGTAAGGTATTGACGACAATCGATCGCTAATATATTGGCGTAGCTGGATGAACGCTGGTCGATTGCCATTATATTGACATAGCTGGATGTACACTGCCATCTCGTAACAGCCAGACAGGTTTCCACTTCAACTAGAGCTCTGTCTTGTGATTGGCAGCTTTAATCCTTCAGAGCAGCATATCATTGGTCGAAAATGTTTGATCATCAACGCTATAGAAGTGCAGCGGCTGAGTGGCGGCGGGATGTCATTCGGCATTGACACGAGTGCGATGCCGGCGGAACCGGAGCACGAAGACGCCGCACGTGTCGATGCCGGCGGTGCAATCGCCAGTCGATTGGTGAAGAAGGTCAAGATCTCTTCGGATGTGGCGGACGGCGACAGTAGCCCGCGTGCTCGTCTGGAGCACCCGCTGGGCGTGAAGCCCATTGGCAACTACTTCGAGGACGCGGTGAACGGCATCGTGGAGTGCCGTGCGTCGGGTCTGGGTCGCCTTGCAATGCTGGAGGACAGCCAGCTGCTGTCACTGCTAAACTACTTCTCGGCCACGGACCTGGCCAAGCTGGCGGCCTGCAGCCGCGCCGGCTACGTGTACGGCACGCACGACGAGCTGTGGCGAGTGCTGGTGCTCGAAGAGATGCACGGAAACTTCGAGCCGAAGCCAACGTGGAAAGCCACGTATCTGAAGACCAAGTACGGAGACAAGACGAAGGTCGGGGAGCCTATTCGGGTGCAGGGCGTGTACTCCGACCTGTTGTTCCAGTCGTTCTACTGCGCGGTAGCACCGATTGAAGACGCGTGGCTAGCGGTGGAGAACATCGAACGTCGCAGCGCCAAGGACATGACGGTTGCCGATTTTAAGAGGGATTTTGAAGGACCCAATGTGCCTGTGATTATTACGGACGCTATCGACGACTGGGCCGCGATGGACAAGTGGACAGATGAGTACTTGGGCGAAGTCTGCAAGGGCAAGACGTTTTACACCGGTGGGTTCCAGTTCGCTATGGATAAATATTTCAAGTATTCGCGCACTTTGCTGGACGATCAGCCGCTGTTCGTGTTCGACAAGGAGTTTGCTGCGAAGGTGCCCCAGCTGGCTGCGGACTACACTGTGCCTGAGTACTTCCAGGAGGACTACTTCTCTCTTCTTGGGGAAGACAAACGACCGGACTATCGCTGGCTCATCATCGGCCCCAAGAAGTCAGGCTCCAGCTTCCACATCGACCCGAACGCTACGAACGCCTGGAACGGCGTGATCCGTGGCTCCAAGAAGTGGATCATGTTCCCTCCTGGCCAAGTGCCTCCTGGAATCCACCCCAGCGAGGACGGCAGCGAGGTCTCCTCGCCCGTGTCGCTCATGGAGTGGTTTGTTACCTTCTACAAACAAGTGCAGAAACTACCATCTCACCTGAAGCCGCTGGAGGGCATCTGCCGCGAAGGCGAGACCATGTTCGTGCCCCACGGCTGGTGGCACACGGTGCTCAACCTCGACGAGTGCATCGCTATGACTCAGAACTTCGTGAGCTCCGGCAACGTGAAGAGCGTGCTGGAGTTCCTGACGGAGAAGCCGGAGCAGGTTTCCGGCTGCCCGATAGAGCAGCGCCCCAAGCTCGGCGGCATGTTCCGTGACGTGATGGCCAAGAACGCTCCGGAGCTGTACGCCAAGGTGGACAAGGAGCTGAAGGAGGATTACGAACGCAAGCACCGGAAAACCAAGTGGGAGATGCTTATTTCCGGAGAGGACTCGTCTCCGGCTTCCTCCAGTGACCCTGCAGCAGCAACCAGCAGCGGCAGCGCCAGCACCTTCGGCTTCGGCTTCAACTTTGACTAAAAAGGGCAACAAACGGTTGCAAATGCACTATTTTCGATAAAAGCTTACAATATTTTTGAGATTTAGTCCCGGTCTTTTCATTGGTTGAAAACAAAATGCAAGTCAGCGCATTGAAAGACGTGCGCCATAGTCAACGCTAGTGCACCGCGACGCTAGAAGCTCGTTCGCGCGGCGCCTCCATTGCGGCCTTACAGCCCCATCCAGAGTGAGTGAAGCCTCTATAGACATAGTGGAGGCAACAGACAACGACCATGGCGTCCGCCGACTGCCTGGACGCGTGGGACGACTGCTTTAACTTCTTCAATGGCAAGAGTCCGTACCACACGACGAGACACACGAAGCTGTCGTACTTCACGAGGAACCAGCGCGTCGGCTGGAAGCTCACGTGCGCGCTAGCAATGTACGCACCGCTAATTATGCATTTGCCTCAAGAAATAATGTCCCTGGGGTGATTCTGTTGACCTAATTCTCTTGGTTTGATTTGCCAGATTTATCTGCTGCGTCTTCTTCCAGAGTTTGTTGCTGGCGTGGGAGGGGTTCTTCGCTGATGGCCGCGAGAAAATACCGCCGCTGATGTTGTTTGGACCGATGTCGGCGTTATATTCGGTGATCGCGATGTGGGTAAGGAACAGGGATTATCGACCAGTATGCCTGTTTATTATCTTGACTTTTGACGGTTTGTGCTGTGTCTGCGGTGATCCAGATTGCGGCTGTTCACTTGTACCAACCGACGTTTAATGGACCTCGCATTCTGCTGCACTATCGACGACCGTCCGCATGCTCCTGGGAGATCCTTGACTGGGTGTTCTTCGAGGGCTCTACTACCTCTACCGTCGTGTCGTTCGTTTTCTTCTGGTACGTTGATACCTGAATGCTGTTAGTGTCATGATGTCTGCACCAGACACTAACGTCTCTATTCTCTTTCACGGCTATTGCCAGGGTGGTGACGATGCCGTACTCGGACATCTCGCTGCCGGGGCTGCACGTGTTCGGCGCAGTGGTGCAGCTCGTGATCGTGGGCGTGGACTTCTACTTCACGGCGCCGCTGTTCAAGGCCAACCACGTGTTCTTGGTGCTCATGTGGCCGGTCTTCTGGATCTTCATCCAGTACCTGTGGGTCATCAGCAGCCACCAGCCGACCAACGACCTGTTCAACTTCCACTCGACGGCGTCGCCCGTGTCCACGTTCATGCTCTTCCTCGGAACGGTGATCGTGTTCTACGTATTGCTCTGGCTCTCCCGGCACCTGCAGCGCTCCTCCGACAAGGCTGCAGAGGCTGTCGCTGACACGGGCGGCATGGACTCGGACGAAAGCTCGAGCTGCCTCACTCCGACGTGCGAGGACCCCAGGACGGCCCCGTTCGAGCTGGTCGTCGAGTCGTCCGTGGACAACCGGTCGCCCTACGACTCCAAAGCCTTCAGCGACGACTTCCATCCGAAACGATGAGGAGGAGCCATGCAGTCCGATATGAATGTATCCATTACTACAGAGAAGTTGAGATGCTGTTCACCACGTTGCCATCATTCCCGGGGTAGTCGCGAAAAAATGACGTGCGTACTTAGCGAAGGGACGAAATTGTACCGCGTTTGCGGTACCGCGCTCAACGTTCCCGCGCTAAGTACGAGCAAATAAATAAGGACTTCCCGACAGTTTTCAAGCGGCGGCCGGCTGACCAGGCACGGCCACTTGCGTCATCTCCCTCGGAGGCTCTGCGTGCGTCGTGCGGCTGCGGGGCGATGGCCAACGGAATGGTGCGCGAGGTGGACCGCGCGATCGGCGCGCTGTCCACGCTGGTGCTGGGCGTGGGGCTGCTCGTGGTAGGGGCGGACGCGATCTTGAGCTGCTGGATATTCTCGAGCATGTTGTCAATTTATTTATTTATTTTATTATTATTTGTGTTATTCTGTAGCTGCGGGAGCTGTACCGAGGCTTGCGCGACAACCAGGGCAAGTGGGAGCGCTGCGACCTGGATGGCGGTGGCAAGGACGTCTACTTCCAGTGCGTGTGGGGCGGCATTTGGTTGAGCGATTAGCGATTGACAGGGCTGACGACTGGCGGTTGGATGGTTGGCGCCTTTTCTTTCTCTCTCTCGTGACGTCGCAGGAAGAAGTATGGTATGCCCAAGTTGCCGCTGTTCCAGCACCGAGGAGGCTGCGACTGCGGATCGCTACGGTGCGGATTGGGTTTTCGGTGGTCAACAGGCGGTTGAAGAGCAAGATACTTATTGGCGACTGAATGAATGCGGACAGGTTTATGGTGCTCGCGCCCAAGCGCGTGGAGGCGTTCGATGACAGCAACACGTTCTCGTGCAAGAAGGGCAGGTTCCCGTTCCTGGTGGGTGAAGGAGAGTTAGAGATTCGACCGGCGGAAGGAGAGGAAGCTGACGGAAGATGCAATTGGTGGTGGTGGTTGCTGCGAGTAGATTGTCCCGACGTCCTGCTTCGAGATGATGGAGACGTCGGACGTGTCGCTGTACGAGTCGCAGTCCACGTCATGCCAGCACGTCTTCTGCGCCAAATGCGGTAGGTTCTGCTTCGTCAACAGTAGGACGGTTGTTCTGCAGCTTCAAGAATTGGGTGTGGAAACTGATCTGGGCTTGTGTTACTGCTGGTGATGGCTACAGGTATTCACATCTTCCAGTTCGACCACACGCAGCCAGACTGCGTCGCAGTCAACGTGTACTGCGTGGAGGACGAGAACTTCGAGGACATGAAGGTGGGAGTCGAGCTGTGTGCAGTGGCTGCTTGGCCTGCCTTTTTGTAGTTTGGATACGGCTGACTCAATTTGATGTTGTCCTGCACTTATCTGGCCATACAGATCGTATTTATTCCGCGGGTCTCGCGGCCGCTGTTCGGCCGGGCTAACCGACTGCCGTTGCCGTCGGAGCAGCCTTACCGACGTCCGCTGCAGTCACAGGCATTCGATACCGTCCGAGAAGACAGCGAAGAGTCGACAATGTACGCGGCGGTGCCTGGATTCGGTGTACTTTGATATGTGAAGCTGATGCTGACTCATTTACGCTTGCGATTGAAGTGCGTTCCAGAAGCAGCTGATGATGTGGGCGCGGATGGACAACCACGAGAAGTACCGGGAACCGCCCTCGGAGGACACGCAGTCCTCTACCAGCTCTACAAGCCACAACGGACGCTTCTCGGTGCGTGGGTTCGTTCATTCACAGCTATCTGACTGGCAGCAAAGTTAACGTCTCTGTGTTGATCTCGTAGTTTGCGTCGGAAGACTCGACGACCGTGACAAAAGATCAGTTGGAGTTCTACCTAAAGGTGCGTAGTGTACGCAAAGCTCTTGTGTGCGAGTGAGACCAACTGACAGTGCATTTATGTTGCAGCGTCACTTGGATGACCCTCCGCAGGAAGAGTTCCGCGTGTAGTTGAAGTCCAATATTCCTTCCCAGCCGACTCTTGCTGCTGATGACAACAGCGTGCAAGGAAGGTCTCGATATTTCCTGGTGTCGCCAGGTGCTAGTTCCCCTCCCTCCTTCCGTCCTCTGCCGACGCTGCGCTTGAAGCAGTGCCAGCAAGCGGGTTTTGCAGTTAGTTTGCGAGCATTTAGGTCTCAAAAAAGTCAAATGTAAAAAATAGTACAGCCAAAACTGACTCACCCTCAATAATTTCCCGGCCATCCTTAATAAGGAGTCGAACGAGGGGCTACAATTTCGACGTCAGTTTGGCAATTGGCGGGCGAACATGACGCGGGACAAGAAGCACCTGCAGCCCAACTACTACGAGGTGCTGGGCGTGGAGCGCTCGGCGTCCACGGACGACATTAAGGCCGCCTACCGCAAGCTCGGTGCGTCCCCAACGTCACCCTTAATAACCGCCCTCTTCCTCACCCCACTAATTAAAACGCAGTGCTGGAACACCACCCGGATCGCTACCACGCCAAGTCCAGGGGCTCCGCTAGACGAAAGGATGGCAAGGTACAGTGATATCTAAAGTATTGCAGTTACTATTGCAATAGGGTGGCTAATTCTCAGCTTGTGGCTGCGCTTAGGATGCCGAGATTCTGCGGATTAATGCTGCCTACGACCTGCTGAGCGACAGTTCGGCCCGTGTCAAGTACGACCTCGAGATGTTCGGGGTCTCCGCCGCCCCCGACCACAACGACCGGGTGGTGGTGGGCGCCGGCAACTACAAGCCCATGAGCTCCGAGGACGTGCACGAGATGTTCGGCGGACTGAACGAGTACGAGCGCTTCACGACGGCGCAGTACCACCGACAGCGCTCGCACATCGCGCCCGCGGCCATCGGCAGGAGAGCCACCAACCTCGCGGAGAGGAAGCAGTTCCGTGCTGCCAAGTCCAAGCTGCCCACGCAGGGCGCGACCATGGCGTGGCTCGCGTTCCCTGTGATGCTGGTGGCGCTTTGGGGCGTCAACTTGAGCAACATCAAGAACCAGTCGAAGAAGCGCTGATTTCATTATACGAACGAAAGGGGGAGGAAGATAATAGAGCGATTGAAGACTCTGGAGTAAGTTCCGTGGTTTGTGTGAACACTGCACAATTTGTAGATGATACCCCGCATCAGACGTCATATTTGCCTCCACTGGTTGAGCAAGGCAAGTTGATGGAGGACTGTATCGACAGTTTTCTATTAATCCTTGAGCAACCAGGACAAGTACGGGTAAACAGCATGCAGCTACCAAGAGAATCGTCATTAGTGGTGATGATGAAATCTTCTTTAGGATTTTACAATTTAATGGCTTTCATAGTACAGTAGTCCAAATAAAATCTCTTCAACTACATATTTGCCTCCACTGGGCGGCAGAGCCCTTATGCCAACCACTTTGTGCATTTGCAGGACAGCACACTTGCGTTACAGTAGTTGTCCGGTGTAATCCAGCAAAGCGTTATCACATTTTGTTTATGCGTGCAAGTTTATGGCCACTGCTCCCTGGCTAATCAGAGCTCTGAGTCACTTTTCGATTTTCTCTTTCGGCCAAGCATGATCCGCGGCAAGCATCTCCGGCCCAACTACTACGACATACTGGGCGTGGACCGCTCAGCGTCCAGAGACGACATCAAGGCTGCCTACCGCAAACTCGGTGCGACTGGAACATGAAGACAGTATTTTTTTTCTTGGAGGCTGACAGTATTGATCTCGTAGTTCAGGAGCACCACCCAGACCGACAGCGCTCCAGGCCCAGAGCTCTATCACGACGAAGCATGGGAGAGGTATGTTCCTATAGTTGCTCTGTCTGAGCAAGTTTGATTGACTATTTCACACTTAGGATGCAGTGATTCTCCGCATCAACGCTGCCTATGACACGCTGTGCAACGACAACGCTCGAATCAAGTACGACATGGACATGTTTGGCGTGTCTGCAGCTCCGGGTCATAATGACCGTGTGATGGTGGGCGCTGGACACTACAAGCCGATAAGCTCGGAAGACGTGCACGAGATGTTTGGAGGGCTCAACGAGTACGAGCGATTCACGACGGCTCAGTATCATCGCCAGCGCTCGCACATCGCGCCTGCAGCTATTGGGCGACGCGCTACCAACTTCGCCGAGCGGAAGCAGTTCCGTGCCGCTAGCGTGAAGCTCCCGACACAGTCCGCTACCATGGCGTGGCTCGCGTTTCCTGTGGCACAGGTGGCCCTCTGGGGTCTCAACCTGAAAAGCAATCGCAATCAATCCAAGAAGTGCTGACGGAATAAACACTCTGCAACGAAGGGGACAGTAGAGTGGCAGCACCACTTTGTCTTCTCTTATGGTGATATCGCTGGTGCAGAACCATGGGCGATGCGTCTTACTTACGCTTCCGCGAGGTCGGCGGACAGATCCATCATGCGCCGTTGCAAAGCTGCGATCTCCTCACTCAGCTCATTGGAATCCAGCGCGTAATTCTCGTCTGGTAAAAGTCAGCACAACAATACATATCAACGTTCTGCACTTTGCAATTAAGACGATCAAACAGGACTCACCATAGCGTAGCACTTGCCGCTCTTGTGCCGTGAGGCCTCTTCCGTAGAGAATGACCTCGAGCTTTTGTAGATGTCGTTTCAGACCCGCTAGATCTCGAGTGAAGCCTTCCATCTCCATTGCTCGTCGCTTATCCAAACTTTGGTATCGACTTCTCAGCTTTGTCAACCGCACCTGCAGATCCTGGATTCGTTTCGTGCATGCTTCCTGCATGGCTGCATATTGCTCCTTCAAAATGTGCAGATCCCGCTCTCGAGAGAGGGCCTGGTTCCTGAACTCGAGCACGGTCTGGTTGCCTTCTTCGCGAACAACTTCCCGAAGAGCTTGAGTCTCCTCGCGCACCTTCTCCGTCATCTTGATCTTCTCTGTCACCAGAGTTTCGCACTTTTGCTTCACCTGGAAGATCTCCTCGTGTGCAAGGCGCTCAGTCTCCTGAGACTTGTGTCGCAATACCAAGTAATCCTTGGTGGTTTGTGTTAAAACTCGCTTTGTCTTCTCCACTTGCTGCTCCAACAGACTGCTTTTCTCCTCAAGTTGCTGCTGATTCAGCAACATTGTAGCCTTCTCCTGCGCAAACCCATCCAGCAGAGCCTAAGGCAACAATGCAAGCAATCAGTTTGAGATGGCCAATTCGCCCACTGCATCGCTTCACAATCCCTACCTGAATACGCGTCTCGGTCAGTTCCTGGTGCGACTCGAGCTGCTTCTGCAGGTTCTCGATGGTCTTCGTCAGCGCCGCCGTCTGCTCATTGGGCATGTACACGGTCCGCAACACCTTACTAGGCAGAATGCCCTGATTAATGTTCTTGAGACTCGGTGCATTCCCTCTCACTACAAAAGACGACTGTTGCTGCTTCTTCTTCTTCCTCCTCTCCTGCATATCTTCCGAGCCAATGTGCATCGTAGACGGGTACGGGTACGTCGTAGGTGTCGGTGCTCGTCCGGAAGGGTACGTCGTCCTTGTTCCAGGTCGACAGTCTCTGAAGAACGTCACCTGCTCTGTAATGGGCTGCGTGAGCGCCAGTAAGTGCTGAATCTTCTGTCGGTCGTCCTGCTCCTGGAGCTTCAGCGTCTTGTTCTCCGCCTGGAGGTCGATTAGCTCTGCTTTCACCTGGAATAAGGCGGCATTTGCTTTCTTTAAAGACTCTTCCAAGTCTGCAATCTGTCATAAAGTAGCCATAATTCCGTCAGCAAACCATTCCAAGCTGCCAAAGTCTCAAATAACAATTCCCACCTCCTCATCCTTAGTTCTAAGCTCCCATTTGAGACGGTGAGCCTCCTCCTTGGACACCTATAGCAACGATGGTATAATATTTAGTTAGATTAACCTTTATTTCAATTAGACCATGGAATTACCCATGCGCACCTCGATTTGTGCCAAGTGCGCCAGCGTTTGCTCCCGTTCGGCGTGGAATTGCTCGCACCGCTGGCGGTAGAACGCGAGCAGCTCCGTTGCATTTTTGCCGCCCTGCTCTTCCAGCCTCTGCTCGTCCACGGAGCTGTGGCTGTGCACGGAGAAGCCATGCCGAGGAGACCCGAAGGACAGCAACGCCTCCTCCTGGGTCATGGCGTTGGCGGTTGGAATTTGTGTTTCGGGACCAAAACTGATAAAACGACGGAGCAAATTATAGTCCCGGGGCTCAATTAGCAAAACATAGTTTTCGGAAAATAAAAAAAAAGTTTCCGATACTTTCGGAAGATTGCTTTCGTTTTTTTTTCATGTTACCGGAATGCCGCTTGCCTAACCGGTAGGTATATATTCTCGCTGCAGAGCAACCCGTGTGAAGTAAGTTGGCTCCCTTCGAGCTAAGACAGAGATCCGATTCGGTGTCACCCAGCACACACCCCGCCGCGAACATCTGCGCCAGCATGTCAACAACAAGCGCGACGTTCGCATCAAGAAGGAAATTGCAAACGCTCTGCGAATACGGCATTACTAAAGTTGAGAAATGGTTCGAAACGGGGTGGCTGAATCTGACAGGGCAGCTTAACGATTGCAGGTTGGCCACCAGCCTCACGTGCAAGTTCCTGCCAGGAGTGGTACCATCCGAACGACGTGGTCAGACCTGCAAGCGAACGCTTGTCATGGCGAGAGCAACTCGCTCAAAGCCAAGCCGTTAGCTCAAAGCTAGCGGAGCGGAGCAGGATGGGGCCCGAACGCAGCGCAAGTTACTCGGCCCCGCCGCAATCGACAAACCGACTCTCGTTTAGCTAAGCGGAGCGGTATCGGTGCAACTTCAAATGCTATTGATCAGCCCCGACCGGGCCAAGAAGACCCACGGCCTGATGACGGCGGTCGCAGGGAGAAGTATCTTGGCCAGAGCAAATTGGTTGAGGCTCGACCGGTCATGGCATCATATGCAGTGAGGCAAAGCAGATCGATCGGTGCCCCACGTGCAGGAACAACTCGATCGTGACCGTATCATAAACTTCTTAGGCGTTCCGCTCGAGCGCAAACGCAAAGCGTCCTCCGCGTGCGACAACGAAAGCGACACTTTGCGTCCTCCTTTCCTCTTTCCTTTCGGTTGGGCCCCGCTGCGCTGTCGGTGGGGCCTTCCAACACAACGCACGACGTCCTTCAGCGCCAAAGCAGCCCGTTACCGTTCGCCCAGCTGGCGGCGACAAGCGCCATGCTGTGCATCGAGTCTCTGCACCAGCAAGTCCTGTCCAAAAGAGCGGGCGCTTGCATACAGTACAAACATGCTGAGTGGCGACTGCCCTAAACGCGACACGAGACCTCCCCACGGTGGATTCTGCACACCGTGCGCTCACTCCTCAATCGGCAGGCGTCGACGCACAGGCAGAGCCCTCGCTGTCGTTTATCCCGACAGGGATCCGTTAAGTAACACGTAGTAATATGAAGGTGCTGGCGCCCACGCACATGGCGGCGCGCGTGGCGGTGGCCGCCCTGCCGCTGCTGGCGACCGCGACGGACCCGGACGCGACCAACTCGAGCTCGGGCTCGACCATCATCTACATCGTCATCGCCGTGATCGTCGTGCTCTTCGGCATCGTGGCCTTCTTCGTGTATAAGCGCAACCAGAACCGCCGCAAGCGCAGCGACGGCCACGGGGGCTACGGCCTCCCGTCGACCACGGCCCGCACGGCTATCAGCCGCGGCACGTCACACGGCGGCAACACGGTGTTCGAGCGGCGCATGGACTCCACAGGGTACAGCAGCCACCACAGCAAGGACAAGAAGGCCTCGCACAACCACCAGCACCAACAGCAACGGGTAGAGCGCCCTCCCCAGTGGCCGGCCAACGGGGCCCCCACCTACACCCGGCAGCAGCAGCAGTCGCAGCACGAGTACCAGCCGCGCTACGACTCGCAGTACGAGAGTAGCAACGGCCTGCAGCAGTCGTTCCCGCCGCCGCCCCCGCCCGAGGTGCCGATGCTGGAGCCGCACGAGGACCACCACCACCAAGGCCCCGGCCTCTCCATGTTGGAGCTGCAGCAGAGCCAGGTGGCCATGCCTACCAGCAGCGTGGAGGGCGTGCACCGACGACAGACGGACCCGGCCGTCATCGCCCGCACGCAGGAGATGGCTGAGAAGGTCATGGCCGAGCTGGACGAGGACCCCGAGTTCGAGCAGAGCTGGATCCCGTACGAGTCGCTCTACTTCACGCGGGCCATCTCCAAGGGCGCCTTCGGAGAGGTGTGGCTGGCCCAGCTCGAGAACACGCAGGTGGCGGTCAAGAAGATCCTGGACGAGAAGAAGCACGACGTCAAGGAGATCGAGTGCTTCGGCGCCGAGATCAAGCTCATGGCGCTGCTCAAGCACCCCAAGATCGTGGGCTTCATCGGCGTCTCGTGGAGCAACACGCAGGACCTGTGCGCGGTGACGGAGTTCATGGCCAAGGGCGACCTGTACGGCTACCTGGAGCGCCGCAAGGGCAAGCTCAACTGGCCCGACCACAAGATGTGGCTGGCTGCGGACGTGGCCGAGGCGCTCGTGTACCTGCACTCGCTGTCGCCCAAGGTGATCCACCGCGACCTCAAGTCCAAGAACATCCTGCTGGACAGCAAGTACCGGGCCAAGCTGAGCGACTTCGGTATCAGCCGCAAGCGATCCGTGGAGGAGACGATGACGGCCGGTGTCGGCACCATCTACTGGACGGCGCCCGAGGTGCTCATGGGCAAGAAGTACACGGAGAAGGCCGACATCTACTCGTTCGGCATCGTCATGTCGGAGATGGACACGTGCGCCGTGCCCTACTCGGACAAGCGCGACGACTCGGGCAAGGTGCTGCAGGGCATGAAGATCATCCAGATGGTGATTCGCATGGCGCTTCGGCCGTCGTTCCGCAAGGACTGCCCCGAGCAGGTCAAGGCGCTCGCCGACCGCTGCCTGGACGCCAACCCGGACGCACGACCGGATGCGCCCGAGCTGCTCAACATCCTGCGCGACATCCAGGACGATTTGCAGCAGTAAAAGCGCTGGGAAGGGACGAAGGAGGAGATGGAGATCGAGAAGTAATCGCACGCGAAGGCAGGCACGAGCTGATGGTGCGTCGGTAGATTCGTTATGGCTAAGTGCCTGCCTGCGGGTATTTAATTGTTTGCTGATAATACACAAAGCTTGTGAAGGAAGCCTCACTCGAGCGTGGCGTATCCATCGATAACGCCGTTGACTATTTCGTCGCGAACTTTCTGCGGTGGATCAATCGTCCGTCGTATACTGTAGTTACAGTACCTGCGCCTTTGACACAGGCACGGCCGTAAGCCTGTCGTCCGATGTCGAGTCGAGGTGCGTGCGATCGTCCACTTTCGCGATGGCTTCGCTTGCAGCAGATGCTTCAACATCAGCAGCCCAAGCGCGCTGCTGGTCCTCCGGATGGCACTCAGTGTACTGTACCATCGGCGCCGCATGGTGTCGACTTTAGATTCACCACGAAGGTGTATGCTGTTCGCGTAGGTACATACCGTATATGAGATCTCCTACTTCAGAGAGATCTCCTAATTCATACCGTAGAAAACGTGCAAATCGAGCAGAATATGGCCATATTTTGCACGAAAGGGACTAAAAATGAACAAAAACTATGTACGACGCTACAACTTCAATAATCAGGGGTCTGAAGTAGGAGATCTCACATACGGTACGGTAACCTTTCCATTTCGGCGGAGCCCATCCAAAGCCGACAGCAACCGAGAGCTGCGATGCTTGCAAGGTGTCTTTGCATCCCCTCGATCCTAAGCAACATCGACACCGGTTCGCCCATCAGCGTCATGCTGAGGACGCCACGCTGGAGCTGGCCACGCTACGCAACCGCTCGCATAGAGCGGAGCGGAATCAGTCGACGACAGGCTTGACTCGAGCGGACCGGCCACACAACGCGCCAAAGCGGTTCAGCTGCATGAACACTGCGCTGCACCCTGTGGCAGGCGGCCGCCGAGGTGATCCTCTCGCCGATGGATTCTCGGCGGCGCTGTCGCCGCAGGGACCAAGGCCACAGTGGCACAGTTCTTCATCCACGCAAATTTTGTGTCATGGCTGGCCAGCGCGCTGGATGCTGCGACAGCAATGCGAGTCGCCATGGCATGCCAATGTCACGCTATTGTTGTCCGGGTGTCCGTGCTTGGAGTCGCTTTGCACTTCGCTAGTAGCGCCGTGTCTGTATTGCCTGGGGCCCTGCACCTGGTGTGTGCATGCTGGCGGCACCGTTACCACATGGCCGCGGCCAACAACCCGGCGAAGGGTGCGTGGTCGTTTTGGCGAAATTCCATCTAGCCGCCCAATCAGGCGCTGTGTCCCACTGCTTCCCATAAATATCTCCTTCCACCCGCCAATCTCAACCTCGAAACACTCCGCTCTCCCGCCGACAAAAGTAGTCAGTTCCCCCTTGGCGTCCGGAACTTTTTGTATTCGATTTCCCTATTCCTACGCGGCAAAAGCCGAGTCATTAGCGCTTCCGGCACGTCGGGCAGACGAAGTAAGCTTAGTGTGCATACCGTAGCTAGCTCCCCGGCCACCGCCTGCCCCGCTACGCCCCGACACGCCATGGGCCTCGTGGCGTTCCTCACATGCGGCGCGTGCGGTAGCCGCCGCAAGCGCGGCCACGAGAGCTTCCCGGAGACCATCACGATCCCCACGCCGGCCGCGCAGCCGCACAACGCGGCGCTGGCGCACCACCAGCCCTACGACATCCACGGCAGCACGCCGGCGGCGCGCAATACGCACGGCGAGGGCCGCAGCAGCTACGGCCACGAGGGACGGCGCGACCGGCGGCCGTCCAACCCGCAGCCGCGGGCCTCCAGCGCGCAGAACAGAGCCTCCAGCGGCCAGCAGCGGCCGCGCGGCAACTCGAGGCCCCAGCAGTACCAGCCGCAGCACCCGGAGCAGCGTCAGCAAGAGCGGCCGCGCCCCCAGCAGCAGCGCGCGCAACACGCGCGGCAAGACCGACCCGTGGTGCGCAATATCGAGCCCGTGGCGCCCGAAAAGGTACGCAGGAGCGGCGGGGGTGGTGGCTCGTCCGGCGGCGGCGGCGGCTCAGGCAACAACCGCGACTCGGAGATCACGGACAAGTCGCGCGAGGTGGCCAGCAAGGTGCTGGAGCAGTTCCAGGCCGACCCGACGCTCGGCCGCAGCCGCATCCCGTATTCGTCGCTGTACTTCACGCGCGTGCTGAGCAAGGGCGCGTTCGGCGAGGTGTGGCTGGCCCAGCTCGAGAACAGACAGGTGGCCGTCAAGCGCATCCTGAACGAGAAGAAGAACGACGAGAAGGAGATCGAGTGCTTCGGCGCCGAGATTAAACTCATGGCGTCCTTCTCGCACCCCAAGATCGTCGAGTTCGTCGGCGTATCGTGGAGCTCCATGCAGGACGTGTGCGCCGTGACCGAGTACATGGCCAAGGGCGACCTCTACGGCTTCCTCAAGCGCCGACAGGGCCAGCTCAACTGGCGCGACCACAAAATCTTTTTGGCCGAAGACGTGGCAGACGCGCTCGGATACTTGCACGGCTTGTCGCCCAAGGTGATCCACCGCGACCTCAAGTCGAAGAATATTCTGTTGGACGACGCGTTCCGCGCCAAGCTCAGTGACTTTGGTATCAGTCGCGAACGATCGGTGGAGGATACCATGACGGCGGGCGTGGGCACAATATACTGGACGGCCCCTGAAGTGCTCATGGGCAAGAAGTACACGGAGAAGGCGGATATTTTCTCGTTCGGAATCGTCATGTCGGAGCTCGACACGCACGCGGTGCCGTACTCGGACAAGCGCGACAACTCGGGCAAGAAGCTGCAGGGCATGAAGATCGTGCAGATGGTTATTCGGCGAAACATGCGCCCGACGTTCTCGGAGGACTGCCCTCCGCTGGTGAAGGAGCTGGCCGACCGCTGTCTGGACTCCAATCCGGACGTGCGACCCAGCGCCACAGAGCTGCTGCGAATTATCCAGCGCATGCAAAGCATTATGTAAGTTGCCGCGACGCCCCTAGAGGTGTTCAAGTAGAAGAAAAAGAAGAAAAAGAGGACGCTCGCCGATCGGATCGAACGAGTGGCGCGTCAGGCGTTGGCGAGCAAGAGCGAGACCCGACTGGAATACGTTGCTACATGCCGAGCCTATTGGACGCATTTTTTGTTTTAATTGCGATAAACAGAGACGATTTAGTTTGCTAGAAAACTGTTGAGTTGGTGTCATGGGCTGAAGCATCATAGACACAGAATGAGGTACATCTCACCAGCACTTTGATCATCGCTTTTTTAAGACGGTAGGTTTCCTGAACACCGCACGCTGGCCAAATAGGTCCGTGATCATGCTTACCAGTCTCCCTCCAGCTGCAACGCAAGCTGTAAGGAGAACGAACCAAATTAATCCGCAGAAAGCGTAGCTCGCTGGTGATCAGGCCATGCATGCTTCCCATCTGAAAGTTCCACGTTGCCACCCCAGACCACACGCACGTGTCATTTGTACCGGCAGAGTCGTATGAATGACAAAGCAACAGCTCCTCAGCTGTCGAAACCTGACGATATTTTTCATGGGACTGACAAGTCGAGACAGTCTCAGCTTAGCTGAGGCAGGACCTGCTGGAAGTTGGCCAAGTTGAAGCGACCGGTACCCTGTTCGTAACCTCGTGTGTACCACACTTCCAAGTTACCGCCGAGGGGGTACCTTCCTGTCGGCCGGCGAGCTATTCCTGGTCTCGTGGTGATCTCCCGTGGCCGCTGCGCTATTGCCAGCTCGCATTCCGCCTCCGCTCGACCCCCCGCGACCATGGACAGCGGCGTCTGGGCCTTCTACTACCTGCAGGGCGAGGACGGCGAGGACCGCGCGCACCCGAACGCCTTCCGGCTCGCCGGCGTCTCCCCGGGCGCCGACGTGACGCTAGCCGACGTGCTGCGGAGCTTCCCGCTGCGCAACCCGGCCGCCTTCCACTTCCGCTTCCGGCTCAACAACAGCAAGGGCAACACGTTCTACTGGCTGGATGTCACGCAGCCGACGCAGAAGGTGCCGCTGGCGGGCGGCCGCGTCATCTGCAAGCTGCTGCGGCTCGAGCGGCCGCAGAAGCCCGGCCTGGTCTTCCGGCGCCGGCCCGTGCTCAAGTGGGCGAGCGGCAGCCAGCCGCCCAAGCGCCAGGGCAGCAGCAGCGCGCTGGGCGACAGCGCCAGCAGCGTGCAGTCGGCCAAGGCCGTGCAGCCCGTGGCCGAGGGCGGCAGCTTCCACCGGTCGTCGTCCTCGCCGGGTTTCGAGCAGGGCCGGCCGGCCAAGTACTCGGACCGGGCGCCGGGCAGCGGCAATGGAGACGCGCGGCATAGCAACGCGTCGAGCCGCGCGTCGTCTACGTCCGGGGAGAAGAAGTCGATGTCCAGGACGAGCTCAGGGTCCAGGCCGACGACGGCTCCAGCAGCAGCTCAGGGAGACCTGGAAGATTTCCTGTCGGGCGGCCAGCAGTCGCCCGGCGGCAATGCCACTGCCCCCGCCCCGTCACCGCCGAAGAAGGACGTGAACCTCATGAGCGACAGCGGCTGGAACGACGCTCCGGCCGCCACCGCGCAGCCTACGAACGCTAGCTCGGACTTCTTGAACTCGATGGACCCTCTCGCTGCTCGTGCCGCGCCGGCCCAGCAGGTATCACCTTCCAAGGCGGTGCAGAGAGAAGCGCCCAAGTTCGACGATGACAACGGACAGACGGTGGGCCCCGTGACGATGGCCGAGATGGAGGCGCACTCCAAGTCCACGTCGGACGGATCGAACGTGTACAACCCGAACCTGGTGGACAAGTCGACCAAGAGCGAGGATGTGCGTCGGGCCATGGAGGAGCGCGAGCGACAGGTGCAACGTGATGTGGAACGCGCTCGTGAAGAGCTGCGGAAACGTGAGGAAGCGGCCCGCAACATGTCGGCCATGAAGGATAACGCTAACGCGGTGCTGGGTCCGAGGTTGAAGGCCTGGGCGGAGGACAATGGCCGCGTCAAGAACATCCGCACGCTGCTGTCTACGATGCACCAGGTCATGTGGGAAGACTGCAAGTGGTCCGAGGTGAACATGGGCAAGCTCATCCAGCCCAACGACGTCAAGAAGCACTACCGCAAGGCCATGATCGTCGTGCATCCCGACAAGGCCGGCGGACGGAACGCCGAGCAGATTCTCATCGCGGAGCGCGTCTTCGCAGCACTGAACACTGCGTGGGAAGACTTCCAGAAGACCAATCCATGCTAGAAATGGCCGCGCAAGACGAGCTTGGGCGGCTGATGAGGAGGCGAGGCAGCAGCTGAGGCTGGATACAAGTACACAACAATCCTTTGAATATCAACATGCACCTTCAGATATATAGGCACGTGAAGCCTGCTTTTTATTCAGTTCGCAATGCAAAAAGAGCAGAGAGGAGGCCGCTTCGGATTTCTGAAGAACATGGCGCGAACGTCAGCGCGCTCGGCTTCAAGCTGCTGAGGCGTCCGCTTCGTCTGGATGCAGAAGCGCTTGCTTACATTTTCTTGATCACCGCGTGATTCCGCCAGTACTCGACCGCCTTCATGTACTCGTCGCGGTCGATAGGCACGCCCGAGCCGCCCTGCTCCTTGCCCACAGCGTTACGCATCATGGTGATCGGCTTCATGGGCAGCTCGTGGTCGACGTCCTGCGCCTTGATGGAGATGATTCCCCACGGGGAGTCGTCGTGGGTCGGGTCCGCCGGGACGTCCACGGCCTCGTTCTCCTTGATAATCTGCTCGCGGCTGTACAGGATGATGTCCAGGTACTCGGCCACCTTGGGCGTCACGCTGTGGCTCGGGAACCAGCGGCTCAGCCTGCAGCAACAAATTGCAACACAATCAGAACCTGCACGCAACAGCAAGACTCCAGCAACTCCACAGTGAGACAGACGTACACAGGCAGCTCGTATTCCGTGCGGGCCTCGTAGTCCGACATGAGCATGTGGGCGTTGGCCTGCGTGATGGCCACCATGTTGAGGCGCGCGCCCGTGAAGTTCTTGACGAACAAGTGCTTGCAGAACGGCGCGTAGCTGTCAAACAACAAAAAGCAATTTCACATCAGTCTCTCATTTCCAACAATTGCAATTGCAAATAAACTGCAACGCACCCGTCCACGAGCTGCTTGCCGTTGGCCTCGTAGATCTCGTTGATCTTGCGCACGAACTCCTGCTTGTCGAAGTCGAGCTTCGTGCCCGAGTACGTCTTGTCGTCGAACTGGCGCTTGGCGAAGCCGTCTGCTCAATCAATGGACGCGATGCAATGGGTCAAACTCTACTGCGCTATACAAGCGGTTGCTACTGAGTTAATGTGGCGCTCACCGAGCACGATGTCGCCGCGCGGCGCGGGCGGCGCGGCCTCGGCGGCTTCGGCCGCGGCCTTCTCGGTCTTCTGCGTGGCGGCGCCGAGCATGTTGGAGAACGCGCGCGTCTGGAGGCTGCGGGTCACGGCCGTCGGGGAGCGCAGGCGCGCGAGCAGCATGTTAGAAGGCTGGGTGTGTGGTGGGGAGATAGAACTGAGCGGCAGCGTCAGACCTTGGGGGTGCTGGCGGTCGAGGATCTCCTGGAATGAAGTGCAGCACAGGGCCGCTGGATTTTGACCAATGAAAGGCTGTTTAAAAACGGTTCGATGGCTTCCACTGTGTTCCAGACCGATTTTGACAGGTTTTATCGCTTTGCGCGGGGAAATTAGAACAGTTTATCCTCGACTAAGTTCACCGTATGTGACGCGACAGAACGACATTGGCTTGCATTTGTATGTACTTCAACATCGATCGTTAACTTAGTGCGGGAGGGTCGCCCTGTCCGGAGTCGGCTGCATCGACGCGCTCCTCGTCGGCACCAGCGCCTCGACGAGCTGCACGAGGCGCTCCAGTTGCTGCTGCTGCAGGCGGAACTGCGTCTCCAGGTTGCGCTGCACGGCAGCATTCGGCTCTCGTCAGTAATATTCCTCCACAGCAGCAAGAGCAAGAGTACCGAATAGCACATACCTGTCCCTCTGCAATGGCGTCAACCTTCTGGTGCAGGTCCTCGACGCGCTTTGCGGCTGCGATCCGTGGCGTCGTAGCGCTGCTCGGCGACGTTACTGACACGGGCGTGTATGCTGGTGCCACCGCGTATTCAGGATGCTCGTGGTCAATGTGGTGGTCGTGGTACTGCTCGTCGTCGCTGAAGCTGCCCACGAAGAGCGGGTTGCTGCTGTTGACCGAGCTACCGCAGCGGCCCATGGCCATGCTGTACATCTCGGCTTCTTCCTCGCGCTGCTTCTCCAGCATGACCTCGATGAAGCCCGAGCCTAGCACTGCGCCGGGGATAGTGAACAGGATGAGCCCCCAGAGCGCCAGCGAAGCTCCGAGCACGCGGCCCATGGGCGTAATGGGCACCACGTCGCCGTAGCCCAGCGACGTGATCGTCTCGACGGCCCACCACACGCACACTCCGAAGTTCGAGTAGACGGTGGGCTGCGCGACGTGCTCCAGGAAGAAGATCAGCATCGACGCAGTGAGCACGACAACCGCAGTGAGATACGTGACCACCAGGAGCTCCTCCTTCTTGCGGGCGAAGATCACTCGCAGGTTCTTCATCGCGTTGTACATGCGCTCCAGCCGCAGGAACGACACGATCCGCAGCAGTCGCAGGCTTCGCAAGGTCAATCCTCCGTGCTGCGTGGCGCTGAAGGCGATCGATTAGAAGACAGTCACCATGCATGAAATGCAGGAAGAACTTACTCAAACTCCAAGCTCAGCTCCAAGTAGAACGGGATCAGCGACATCAGATCGATGAGCGAGAGCGGCCGTGTCATCCATTTCAGTCTGCACCAGCCGTTAGTAAACGATAGGACCACAGTGCAACGATCACTGCAACTATCATGTAGCAAGACCTACCGCCCTTTAATCGCGCCATTGCGATATCGGTCGTCCTCTACGCACGACCAGAGGCGCAGCGCGTACTCGATGGAGAAGATGATGGTGGACACCAGCAGGAAAATATCGGACCAGTGGTTGATCACTGGCGCTGGACCCGACGCCGACCCCGTCGAGTCGATCTGCACGACCGCCGAGGACTCGGAGATGGCCACCACCACGTTTAGCAGGATCAGCGTCAGCACGCTCAGCTCCAGCACGTAGGACGCGAACTGCAGCCCCGAGCTGTGCTGCACCGACGAGCGGAAGCGCAGCACGGTCCAGATGTCCTGGCGCAGCGCAGTGCGGCGCCGGTGGGCCGCGTGGAAGCGGCGCCATCGCGAGGACGACGGCGTGGACAGCAGCGTCGAGTGCTCCGTGTACGAGCGCGGCCGCTGCTCGTGCGGCGTCTTCATCCCCTACACGTCGAAGTGGCGTCTCTGATCTGCACGTGGGATTGGCGCCGGGTCTATGCTCGCTGACTCTCATGGAATCAGACGCGTAGACGGTTATCAGAGAGTCAGGGCCTGACTGTCAGGCTGCTTGGGTCCCGACGGGCTCACGTCCAGCGCTGACAAGATGACTCATTCATTGACTCGCGCTGAAAGCGATGGCAACGGCGGTGTCAGTGATCGCAGTGCTTGGGGGCTAATGAGAATGGATGTCTCGGCGATATTGGGGCGATGTGGCGGCGGCCCTTCTTGCAAGCGGTCCGCTTGAAGCGGGCGGGCAGGTTCAACTGGATCCCTTGATGCTTGGGTGCAACCTCCAGCATTTCTCTCGCGCGTCGATTGCGCCCGGCGGTAATCGCACAGCACCGGCAACTTGCATGTTATCCGCTGTCGGGCGGCGCATTGGCGGCTTTAGCTGGCCAGACAACCAGTCCGCCTCACCGACCACCGAACTCATTCACCAGTCGCCGCAGTTACCACAGCACACTATAGCAAAAGTAAGTCAGCGCTACGACGCCAATGTGATTCACACGGCCAAGCCCTTCGTCGGAGAAAATGCAATCTACGCGCTTTCCGTGCCAAGAGCACCAATCCTGTGGTTACGGCGCTGCACTTGGTGTTTGCTTTGAGAAGGGGGTGCAAGAGCCAGTCTGACTACCTACTTTGCTCTCCACATCGGTAGACATACATGTATTCATTTCTGCCTTCTCGGCGGCAATTCAAGACAGTAAGAGCAGTCCAAGCCTCGCCATTGCCAATGCGATTGTAAACGGCACGCAGTGCTGCTCTGCGAGGTGAGCCTGGATCACCGCAAATCGCAAGTTTTGTGATGATGGATATGAAACCCCGCGAATGGTGATAGGCTGCTTGGGGCACCGAGTTCGACGGTTCGGGACGCGTCTTTGTCCAATGATGAGTGCCGATCGAACGCTGGCCGGCCTGTATGATTGGGCAGCGCTCACTTTTTAGCATCGAGAAGCGGCTCAGTTCAGATTAGCCTCGATCCCCCCTCAAGCTGCCGCGCTCCCTAATACCTGTAAGTGCGCTCGCCTGCTGAGCACACAGACGGAGGGTACCCTCCTCCTCCTGCTGCTGCGGTTCGTGCCGTATCCTCTCTGCGATATCTTCCAGCTGACGTGTCGCTCGTTGCCGCTGTGTGTGAACTCGCTCGTTTTCGGCGCCTGTTGTGCGTATGACCTGCCAGACCATGTCCATGGCCTCTCGTCTCCGCTACTTCATCAACAGCCCCACGGGCCCCAAGACCACGCACTTCTGGGGCCCGGTGGCCAACTGGGGCTTCGTGCTCGCCGTACGTACCTCTCTCTATACGCCACCAAGGCGTATTCGATAGGCCTCTTGCACGTTGTAAAATCTTGCTGACTGTTGCTCTGTTATCGTGCTGTTACCGCTGCTGCAGGCTATGGCGGACATGCAGAAACCCGCTGATGTGATCTCCATCAACATGACGTCGGGTGAGTGGATCTACTTCCTACAGCTGCGGCTACTACGTCAATTGATTGAGCTGGCTGCATGACTTGAGGGCTAACACTACTGGTGCGGATCCTTCGTTCTTGCCACAGCTCTGTCGATCTACAGTCTGATCTTCATGCGGTTCGCGTGGATGGTCAAGCCGCGCAACTACCTGCTGCTGGCGTGCCACGCCTCCAACGAGACGGCCCAGTTGTACCAGCTCCAGCGCGGCCTGCGCTACCAGGCCAGCAAGAAGTCTGCTGAGAAGCAGGCGTAAGCTTTTGCTCGCTGCAGCTCTCTCATCCAGTGTAGAGCGCCCTCCCGCCACCAAAGTCGTCGTTGGTGCTCCGGTTTGACTCTTCCGACAGGATTTGACACTCTGCTTCCGTGTTCGTGTTTCTGCGTCAACAAGAGCTTCCTTGGTAAGCCTAGACTGCATGCATCGTCCTGGTAATAGAGAAGAGATATGATTTTAAAGGATAACCGACTCGGTTCGATATCTGCTTCTCCCTTGACTTGAGTGCACACACACTTTACGGTATCCCGCTCACATGCGGAAGACACCGAACTTGGTCTCCTTGGGCTCTTCATTGAGCGCGGCGCTCAGACTCAATCCCAGCACCTTGCGGGTGTCCTTGGGATCAATGATACCGTCGTCCCAGATGCGGGCCGTAGAGTAGTACGCCGAGCTCTCGCGCTCGTACTTGTCGAGAATGGGCTGCTTGAAGGCCGCCTCCTCCTCAGTCGACCAGTTCTCTTTGCGGCGTTCGTAGTTGTCACGCTGCACCTGCGCCAACACACCGGCAGCCTGCTCTCCGCCCATGACGGAGATGCGGGCGTTCGGCCACATGTACAGGAAGCGCGGCGAGAACGCTCGGCCGCACATACCGTAGTTGCCTGCGCCGTATGATCCGCCGATGATGCACGTGATCTTGGGCACCTTGGCGTTCGAGACAGCCATGACCATCTTGGCGCCGTCCTTGGCGATACCGCCGTGCTCGGCCTTCTTGCCGACCATAAAGCCCGTGATGTTCTGCAGGAAGAGCAGAGGAATGCCGCGCTGGCTGCACAATTCGATGAAGTGCGCCGCCTTGACGGAGGACTCGGAGAACAAGATGCCGTTGTTGGCCACAATACCCACGGGGTTCCCGTACAAGCGTGCGAAGCCCGTGACCATGGTGGGACCGTACTCCTTCTTGAACTCGTCGAAGCGACTGCCGTCCACGATGCGGGCAATCACCTTCCTCACGTCAAACGGCTTGCGCGAGTCCACAGGGATGACGCCGCCCAGCTCGTCCGGCGAGTACAGCGGCTCCTCGATCGGCGTCTGCGTGACGGCAGGCTGCTTGCGGTAGTTCAAGTTGCTGACAATGCGCCGCGTGATGTCCAGCGCGTGGGCGTCGTTGTTGGCGTAGTGGTCGGTCACGCCGGAAGTGCGGCAGTGCACGTCGGCGCCGCCGAGTTCCTCGGGCGTGATCACTTCTCCCGTCGCGGCCTTCACCAGCGGCGGGCCGCCGAGGAACACCGTGCCGTTGCCTTTGACAATGACGCTCTCGTCCGACATGGCCGGCACGTACGCGCCTCCGGCCGTGCAGCTGCCCATGACGACGGCGATCTGCGGGATGCCCATGGCCGACATGTTGGCCTGGTTGTAGAACTCGCGGCCGAAGTGGTCGCGGTCCGGAAAGATGTCGGCCTGCAGCGGCAGGAAGGCGCCGCCCGAGTCCACGAGGTAGACGCAGGGCAGGCGGTTCTCCTGCGCGATCTCCTGCGCGCGCAGGTGCTTCTTGACGGTGAGGGGGAAGTACGTGCCGCCCTTGACCGTGGCGTCGTTGCCCAGGATCATGCACTCGACGCCGGCGATGCGGCCGATGCCCGTGACGATGCCGGCGCTCGGCACGTCGAACTCCCCTCCGTAGACGTTGTAGGCGGCCAGCGAAGACAGCTCCAGGAAGGGCGAGCCGGCGTCCAGCAGCGAGTCGATGCGGTCGCGCACGAGCATCTTGCCCCTGGACTCGTGGCGCTTGCGGGCCGTCTCCCCGCCGCCCTGGCGCGTCCGGGCCACGCGCTCGCGCAGCTCGGCCGTGAGCTTGGCCATGTGCGCCTGGGACTCCTGGAACTGCGCCGACTTGACGTTGAGCGCGCCGTCCAGCACGTTGGAGAAGAAGCCGAGCGTGCCCGCCTGCGAGGCGAAGCCGCGGCTGGACACGGCGGGGGGGAGCGAGGGCGAGCGGCGCGCCGAGGCGCCCGCAACGAGGCGGAGGCTGCGCACGGTCCGCAGCATGGTTGGAAATGGGGGGCGAGGGCGTTGGGTTGAAGTTTTGCGGCCGCCTGCTTGAAGCTTGGATCGGCGCTCAGATCTGAGTCTGCACTGCGCAAGTGCATGATCCCGCACCATCGTACGACATGGGGCCCGTATTGCTGTTGTGGGCAGGAAGGAAGGGGTGTGGTGCTCAGGGTTCTGGAAAACCCGGGTTTTTGACAGAAATCGGATAGGTGAGAGCACCCTCCGGGGTGTTTGGGCTATGGCTTTTTTGTTACCTAACCCGTTTGGACCGTTTATCACACATGAAACCTGTAACATATTATATATTACCTCTACCAACAGGTAGTAATGTGTAACTGGATTGAAATATGTCGTTAATATGCGTTAAGCTGCGAAAAAACCATATGGTTGGTTGTACTTTTTGTGGTAACCCATTTTCGAAAAACCCAACTAGGAACGCTGGTGGTGCTGGTGCAGCATGCTTATGGTACTGGTCAGTCTGACCGCCCTTGTTGAGTACCGTAAGCCCTGACTGCCAGGACCAGACCAACAATTCCCGTCCTGGCCCGGTTGTTAAACCACGAAGTTCAGGATCGGGGACTTCGGAAGAGCAACTGAAGGTTTGAGCGTCACAACTCGACTTCACTTCCGACTGCCACGTGTATTTCACTCCCCACCCACCCAAATCACATCCTACCACTACTACTACTAATACTTGCTGCCTACTCTTCCCTCCGCCCCCTGCCCCGGATAGCCTGCTCGGCGATCCGCTCTGCCCAACCCTGATGCGGTGCGCTCTTGACCGCACTGCAAACCCCGCTTTATGATACTTCTTCTTGATAAATAAGCCTCGTATCGCCCCCCCTCACGACTCGTTCGGACTGTCTTCTGCGTCCGCTTGCATGGCCATCGTTACGGCAAGCATCTGGTCGCGCTGGAGCTGCTCGAAATGCTGCATGGCTGCGTACTGGTCCTCGCCCGATGCGAGCTCCAGCGCCAGCATCAAGTCCGAGTCGAACTCCGTCGCGAGCCGGATCCCGCTGCGCAGAATGGAGGGGAACCCGAGCGGCAGTGCTGTCGGGAACAAGTCTGTGTGTACGAACTTGCGCAGCGGCGTCTGCTTCACCGCGATCGCGGCCGAGTACAACTCCGCGGACCGCTTGATGTCTTCGTCCGTGTACTTCGACCTGTCGCGCTTGTCCAGGTATTCGTAGATTCGTGCCACCAGGTCCGTCGCGTACGAGCCCAGGTCCTCCACCTCGTCCGACGTAAGCTGCCACAGCTCGTCGCCCTCCGAACAATTGAACTGCGCGCGGCAGATCGGACACGTCTGGCTCTGCGTGCTCCAGTGCTGGAAGCAGTTAAGGCAGAAGCTATGTGCGCAGGGCAGCGCGACCTGTTTCTTCTTGTCCATGCAGATCTGGCACTCGGTCTCGTCAAAGTCCGTGTCCCCAGTACTGTATCGCATTGCGAACAGAAAGCCAAAGTTAGCTTCAACCCTGGCCACCCAGCTACTTCAAACAGACAGACATCGTCCCATACCTCGTGGTCTTCTCGGGGAAGCGCACGGTGTGCGCGGCGCAGGCCTTGACGTCCGAGAGGAAGCAGTAGATGTAGTAGAACTGCGCGACCGTGAGGGTCTTGGCCTGGCCGATGGTCTCCGAGCTCTCGCGCTCGTACGCCGCGTCGCGCGGGATCTCGACGCGGAAGTCGCCCAGGTCGAGCTGCAGCTCCACGGGGCGGCGCATCTTGCGCACCTCGACGGCCACGTTGCCGCGGATGCGCCACACGTAGGGCAGCAGCTCGGCCGACACGTTCGGGTCCACCACGATGCGGAACGACAGGTAGCAGTTCTTGGGCGTCGCGCAGATCTGGGCCCTGCTCAGCGTTACAAGTACGCGATGGGAGGAGCGAACGAAAATGTCAATAAATTCTCAGGCCACTTCAACATGTCGGACGTACCACTCGTTGGCATTTTGCAGGTGCGTGCCAAAGTCCATGAACGTGCCCATGGCCTGGCGGATGCGCTTCTTCATCTTGTCCTCCTGCATGGACGTGGTCTGCCCCATGGCGGCTGAGTGTGTATCGATCAGCTCGAGACGGAGAAAAAGCCTCAATGGCTTCAAGCAGCGAGAAGCGTCGTGCATGCAGACAACACGTTTTTCTGAAAGGGAGAAATTGCCCGTCGTCTCTACGAGCAGCATCTGGTTCGATACAGCGCGCAGGCTGCGGAGGTTTCGCCCGGATCCTGCGCGGCCCAGCTCGGCCGCTATAATTCGCGCTGCTTCGTTTCTCGAGAAAAGTACAGTGTATCGTTGCTCGGCGAATAGGGGCTGTTAAATGTCTCTTTTATCACCGGCAGGCGCGTGCTGCTTGGGGCTTTGAGCCGAGGTGATGTCATGGTATCTATCCAGCAGTTGGCGATGGCAAGGTGGTGGTGGTGGTGGCCACGCATGTGTATCTACCGAGGGCGAACCAGCCGCTGACGGCCCGGCGGGGGAGGAGAGAAGGTTCGCATACAGTTGATCTGCTTCCACGCGCCGGCACGCGCGCTCTGCAAATCGGCTCGTCGCCGCGGTGCCTCGGCCCAATGGCCAATGAGCTCGGGCTCCGCCCGTGACACCCTGCTGCAGCTACGACGCGATGACAAAACGCTCGGGTCAACAATACACCCCCCATGCGATTTGCCTTTGTAAGTCGCATGGGCTGGCCGGCCGGTTTCAGTGCGAAAGCACCCCTTCAAGATCGCGCGTGTATCTAGCGGCTAGCGAACGGCGGCGCTCTCCGGCCACATCGGCGCCATGGCCGGCGACGACAACGACAACGACAACAGCGAGGACGATGCCCCGGCCAACACGGTGGAGCTGCACCCGAAGCGCACCACGTCGTTCGCCGCGAGGCGCAAGAAGAAGAAGAACCAGCCCGCGGTGCGCAGTCTGCTCAGCTCTGCTCCCAGGCTCCGTGACGACATCAGCCGAAGCGGAGCGGAGCTGGGATCCCTGCTGCGGGTTCACGTGTGACAGGGCGGCACCTTGACTGACGCTCGTCGATGGCTGTCTGTGCCTCCGGCTGCTTGGCAGGTTCCGCAGGACCTCGCGACGCGCATCGCGCTCGAGCGCGAGAAGACCAAGTACTGGGCGCGGATCCTGCTGCTCTTCCCGCTGGTGCCCGTGTGCCTGGCGCTCACGACCATCGTCTTCGGCGGCGTGATCATCAACGTGGCCACCAACGACTGCAACGCGGACCTCATGAGTGCGTGGTATTTGTCTCCATTAATCTCGCGGTAATGGCGTCCCGCGGAGGAGGACGCGCTGCTCATGCATTGGCATGGAGTATTAATGGATGATGGCTGTGTGTGTTGCGTTGTGTTTCCGTTGGCCAGGGTTCCTGCAGGGCGCGGTGGTGCTGAGCCATGTGCTCATATGCTTCTACACGTACTGCTGGATGGGGCCGTGGCCGATTAAGAGTCTGCGCACGGTGCGCGTGTTCTACCTCTTGTACGGCGTCGTATGCGTGGTCTGGTGGGGGCTCTACGGCACGCTGCAGGCGGTGACGGCCACGAGCTCGGGCTTCGAGTCGTGCCTGGCCATGTCGCCGACGCTCTACGTCTTCTCGCAGTACGAGGTGGCCTCCTTCTGGGTCGTGCTCATCGCGGCCGTCGCCTTCTTCATCAACGAGAAGACGGCGCGCATGCGGCAGGACAAGATGGACCAGTGGACCCACAAGAAGGAGGCCGCGCAACGCGCCAAGCTGCAGCAGGAGCAAGAGAGCCGCGACCGCGTGCTGCAGGACGCGCAGGAAGAGGCGCGCAAGCTCGAGGAGGAGCAGCGCCAGAAGATCGCGGCCAGTCAGAAGCAGCTCTACGGCAGCGACGACGAGGAAGAGGGAGGAGGAGGCAACGACCAGGACGAAGACGCTGACGCTGACGGCGTCAACGAATACGGTGGTATTGCCGACGATACTATTGGTGGTGGAGACGAGCAAAAGGAGGACGAAGAGGGCGAGGAGGAGGAGGAGGAGTATGGCGAGGAAGTCCCGCTCGAGGGCAATACTGCTGTGTAGCCATGTCAGCTTCAATTTGATGTAACGCACGTAAACTGGGTGGCACGTAAACCATCCATCCTTCGATATCGAATACCCGCGAATAGGGTTCCTCTCGGAACCCATCACACGGAATAATTTACACTTGAACAGAGGAGAGAAATAGACCCAGACGGAGAGGCACGCAGGAGGGAAGGCACTCGACGCGCAGCATGAGCAGCGCCAACGGGCAGACGATCACCGTGTGCGGCAACGTCTTCCGGTGGGTCTCGCGTCTGCAGCTCGTTCCTCTCGGCTTCGCGCCCTTAAACGCTATAGATTACGCTAATCCTTGCTATGATTTATCCGCAGCCTAGTAGAGACGATCGGACGCGGCTCCTATGGCACCGTACGGCGACCTACATGCACCGCACCGGTACTTAGCATTTTAGTCTAAGTTTTATGCTGTTGATGGATGCAAATTGCAGGTGCACAAGGCCATTAATCTGTCCTCCGGCGCGGCCGTAGCGGTCAAGATGATCGGCAAGGACAAGCTGAGGCGGCCGCACGAGCGCCAGAGCATCGAGAAGGAGATCGAGACCATGCGCGTGGCCGTGGAGCAGTTCGAGAACGGCCACCCGCACATTGTGCGCCTGCTGTGCACGAAGGAGTCGCAGCACCACATTTTCATTGTGCAGGTCGGCAGTATTGTTGATAGGAGGATGCAAGTGAAGATGGAGCTGACGTTTGTGGGGGAATGCTTGCTGCAGGAGTATTGTGCTGGAGGGGACATCGCCCAGCTGATGAAGGCCAACAACGGGCTCAAGGAGGAGCAGGCGCGGCTGTATTTGTCGCAGTTGGGTGCGTGACGACACCAGGATCCTGGGATTTTTGCTGTTGTTGCGGGTAATTGATTTTTTTAATTGTTTGTTTCAGCGTCTGGGCTGCAGTTCCTTCGATCGCAGAATGTGGTGCATCGGGATCTGAAGCCGGCGAACTTGCTGCTTTCGTCGCGGAACTTGGCGACCGCGAAGCTGAAAATTGGTAATGTTTCCATCTGCAGGATCTATGTTGTCTGTTGGAGTATGTTTGCTCTAATATTTTTTGTTTGGTTGAATTACGCAGCGGACTTTGGGTTTGCGCGCGAGTTGGGCTCGGAGATGATGGCCGAGAGCGTTGTGGGGTCTCCGCTGTACATGGCTCCGGAGCTGCTGGAGTACAAGAGCTACGACGCCAAGGCGGATCTGTGGTCGGTTGGCATTATCCTGTACGAGATGCTGGTGAACGAGCACCCGTTCCTTGTCGTGGACAAATGCCACGCGACCAACCACCTGGCTCTGCGTCGCAACATCTATCGGTACTTTGAGCGCTACGGCCACGTCCGACTTCCGAAGAAGGTGCAGGTGTCTCCTGAGTGCGAGCAACTCGTGGAGGCGCTGCTCCGGGTGGACCCACGCAAGCGAATCTCGTTTGAAGATTTCTTCCGTGCGCCGTTTTTGCTACCGCCGGCTCCGTCAGACGCCGAGGCTGAGAGTGCTGCTGGCTTGGACAATTCGGAGGACAAGCAGCCACTTGTTGCTGAAAAGCAGCCTGAATATGGTACGCTGTAACGATGACTGTTCGCGGTATTCGCTGTGACTAAGGGATGATAATTATTCGCAGAGGACTGGGCTACCTTTAGTGATGAATACGTGATGGTAGAAAACGAGTACGAAGATGTTGGCCGGAAGGTTTTGGACGGACAGGATCTTAACGTTGACCTCGACGAAAAGGTGGGACTTGGACAAGCCGATCGGTTTTGACAGAACCTTTTAAGCGATTGGTGCTAACTCTGTGTGTGTGTGACTTGCTACACATGCAAAGCATCATCACACGAAGGAGCAAGTTCCTGCTGCTGTTGTGGGCAGCACTATCGTCGATGGAGGCATCCAGATCAGAGATGTCGTGATTGACACGTCCTCGCCGCGCAATGGAAAGGTTCCTGGTGCAGCAGACGTACCAGTACCAACTGAGTACGAGGGAGAGACCAAGATGCCAGCGCGCGAGGTGATTCCTGCGGCCAAGAATGACAACTGGCTGGTTGGCGAACGCCGCCAGTGGGTGACTGACGACAACCGCCTGGAGGAGCTGTTGGGCATTTGCTACAAGAGCTTTTCCTGTGGCAGCGTGGCGCTGTTCGTCCCCACTCCGTTTGGAGATTACATTGCCTTTCACGAAGGATGCCCGCACTACTACCTGTCGGAGGAATCGATTGCCGCTTCTAAGAAAGACGACCGGTAAGGCTACTCTTATCCTGTCGTGGCTGTCGTGCACGCGCGAACTCACTTACAACGTTTGTTGTTTTGTATAGGAACCCTCCGTACGTCCTTGGACACATCATATACATTGAAGACCACGAAACCACCGACGTAAGACTGATACTGCTTTTTCCTACCTTTTGGACGGTATTTCTAACCTGCACGTTTGCTCTGTCCAGAATTCGAACCCTTACTGCCTTCGTGAAGGAACAAAATATCACGTGGTGTCGGTAACTCCGTTGGCTACATCCTCTCATGACGCCAACGGCAGCGTCGGGACTGCAGACAGTTCGTCGGCATCGGATGAGCTCCCGCTTTCGCAGGTGCTCACTGGCCGTACAGTAGCGAGTGATGTGGAGGAACACGGTCTGCACGAAGTTGCAAGTGAACCGCCTACGGTCGAGGAGACGTCGCACTCGCCAGTAGAGCACCAGCGGATATCCTTCCGCAGCTTCCAGATCAGCTCGCTGGCGTTGTTTTTCCTGAAGGGAGGGAAGCTGCCGTACGTGGCTTTCAACGAGGGAGCTCCGAACTACTACCTAGCAAACGAGTCGATTCAAGCGGCGATTTTGGGTGTGGGCACCGACCGGACGCCACCCGCGTACATCTGTGGCGAGATTATCTTCATCGATACTTTTCAGGCGACCGAGGTATGACGTTTACCCTTTCTTGTTGCTCTATCCAGGTGTCTTGGTTGCTGACGATATTTTTTATCTATGCTGTATAGGATTTCAACCCGTATCGCCTACCTTACGGAACACGATTCCATGTTGTGACGGTCGCAAATCCAAAGAGGACGTAGCTGACAAATTTGCAGCAAGTTAATGGGCAATAGGAGCAATGAAGTTGCAGATAAGTGTATGTATTCGTGCATACCAATCGAAAAATCAAGAAAGGAAAAGAGTGGCGTGTCATTGCGTGCATCTTTGCTGTTGTTGTTGTTCAAACTCATGCTAATAAGGGCGACTTCGTATGCCACCGTCAAAGTCAGACAGTACGTAAAGTTTGTATAAAAGCGAAGTTCGTTTTGCAAGGATCTTTTCTATTGTTTCGTTTTCTCGATCTGACATGAAAACATGCAAACATGCAGTTGAAGCTCCAAGGAGCTTCGTCGACGTCGCCAGTCTGGGTACGCAGGTGGGCTTCCGTTGTGGGGTCTGGGTCATCTTGTAGACAGCGAAGATGGTACGCGTAGGTTGCAGTGTTTGTTGGTAATTGTTCTCCTTGCTTTTTCTTTTCTTTCTTGATGGTTGATCCGCTGACTGTTTGATTTGTTAAGATACTTGCTGCTTCGTTCGCTAGATGCACCTCGTACAGTGCAGCAAGACGGCACCACGCAGCTCACTCCGACAAAAGAACGTTCACGGCCCCGCCCACGTTTCCGTTGGCCAGCTCTAGAGCGCGGATATTCTTCTCCACATCGTCGAAGCCCATGGATGCCAGTTGCGCCAGCGTCTCGCTGTAGTTCGCCTTGCCCTCTGTCTCCGCGGCGCCTATGTTCTCACCACTCGCCTCGACTTGAACGTTGGTGGTGTCTTCAACCTCCATGTTCTCATCGGTCGCGAGGTTGTTGCGGGCGGCAGCGTCACGGATCTCCTGAGTGGAACTTGCTTCTTCGTCTGTGGTGTCATGGCTCCAGCGTCCGCGTCCGCGCCCACGCCCGTGCCAGGCGTGTCGGCGTCCGTGGCAACGACCTTCCTGCTCTTCGTCAGTTTCCCCCTCATCCGAGAACCGCGTGTGGCGTCCGTGGTGTCGGTGGAAACCGCGGTGCTCGGGGAATGGTGGACGGCCGTGCTCGAAGTCGCGTGGACACATCGGCGGGCCGCGCGGATCCGTGAAGTCAAAAGGCGATGGCCCAAAGCGGCCGAAGTGGCCAGGAGGACCAAATCGAGGGGGTCCATGGTGGCGATGACGGCCCTCAAAGTCGGGAGGGCCGTGGTCATGGTGTCCACGAAAGTCCGGTCGGCCATGTCCGAAAAACTCCGGGTGGCCTTCGTTGTGGCATGGCGGGCCATGGCCAGGGAATCCCCGAGGACCATCGTGGTTTGAGAATGATGGGCCGTGGAAGACAAAGTCGGGAGGGCCGTGGCCATGGTGTCCACGAAAGTCCGGTCGGCCATGTCCGAAAAACTCCGGGTGGCCTTCGTTGTGGCATGGCGGGCCATGGCCAGGGAATCCCCGAGGACCATCGTGGTTTGAGAATGATGGGCCGTGGAAGACAAAGTCGGGAGGGCCGTGGCCATGGTGTCCACGAAAGTCCGGTCGGCCATGTCCGAAAAACTCCGGGTGGCCTTCGTTGTGGCATGGCGGGCCATGGCCAGGGAATCCCCGAGGACCATCGTGGTTTGAGAATGATGGGCCGTGGAAGACAAAGTCGGGAGGGCCGTGGCCATGGTGTCCACGAAAGTCCGGTCGGCCATGTCCGAAAAACTCCGAGTGGCCTTCGTTGTGGCATGGCGGGCCATGGCCAGGGAATCCCCGAGGACCATCGTGGTTTGAGAATGATGGGCCGTGGAAGACAAAGTCGGGAGGGCCGTGGTGGTGGCGGTGACCGTGACGGCCGAACTTGCCGCCATGGTGTCGGCCACCATGACCAAACTTGCCGTGATGACGGTGGTGGTGGTCGTCATGGTGATGGCCGAACTTCCCGTCGCAGCCGTGACGACGGCCGTGCCCATGATGGTGGTGGTGGCCGAGCGTGCCGTGGTGTCCGAACTTGCCGCCTCGACGGCACGTGAACTTGAGCGCGCGCATCATGCTGGGCTCCTCGATCTTGGTGAATGGCCCGTGCGACTCGGTCCACTTGCCGCCCGCCTCGCAGGCCTCGCACAGGTCGAAGTCGTCCTTCGTGTCGGACTTGAAGCGGACGCCCACGATGGGGCTCATCTCGCAGCCGTCGCACGTCACGTACGGATGCACGAGGTCGGAGGTGCGCTTCTGCTTGGGCGCGCGCGACGGGTCCGTGATCTTGATGAACGGCTCGTAGCGCATGTAGTTGCCACTGGCTTCGCAGTCCTCGCACAGGTTGAAGTGCGGCACCTCGAGCGACTTGTAGCGGACCCCCACGAGCGGAGCTGTCTCGCATCCATTGCAGATGACGCCCATGTGCAGCGGCACTTGCTCTGCGAACACTTCGACGTCCACCGTCTCGTGGTCGTCGTCGTCGTCGTCGTCGTCGCTGCAGCAACTGCTGGAGCGGCTGCTGCAGCTGGACGAGTCCGACGCTGCGTCGTCGCCGTTGACATCTTCGTCGTTGTAGCGCACCAAGCCAGCCATGAGCGACTTGGCCACGTTCACCAGCACAGGGGGCAGCGGGCCACGATGATCTGAGCGAAGGCCAGCAGCTCGTCGAAGCGCGCCGTGGCCGCGTCCTCGATGGCCTGCGCGTCTTGGCCGTAGATGGCCATCACCATGGCGTGCGCGAGCTCCTTGAAATCTTCTGAGGCGCTCAGCTCCTGGACGGCGCTGCGGAACTCGTCATCTTGCAGCACCAGCAGCAGCTCTGTCTTGATGGCCGCGAGCTCGGCTGCGTCTTCGGCCACGTCCATGGCGTGCAGACTCGCGACGAGCAGGTTCACGGCGCTGGTGGGCGTGGGGTTGGCGTCGGTCTTGGCCGTCAACTTGGACATGGCCGTCACGAGGCCGCGCAGTTGCGTGTGCACGGCGGTGGCGGCGCGGTGGGAGGTCGGCGGCTGCCGCGGCTCGACCAGCACCTCGAGGGTCTGCAGCTGCTCGCTCTGCATGTACTTCTCGAGCTCGTTCACGTCGGCGTCGGTGGTGAGCGTCACTTGGTCGCCGTCCGAGTCGGTGTAGCGCATCGAGAAGTCGGTCTTGTCGGGGAGCAGGGAGGCGGCCAGAGCTTGTAGCTTGGTCATCGTGAGCGTCTCTCCGTCCTCGGTGGTGAGGGGCGCCTCGGTGGTGAGGGGCGGCTCGGCGTGTGTTATCTTGATCTCCAGCGTCCGTGTCATCTTGGTCGTGTACTGGTTGTTGATTTGACTTGTGCGGTTGGAGGCCAATTGAGATGTTTCGAGAGCTGCGGGGTCGGAGTTGAGTTCTGCTGTTGAGAGCGCAAGGAGACCGGCGGGAAGTTGTAGTTGGTCGGAATGATGATACATCTTGAATTGGGGCGTAATCTGTTAAAAAAGATGTTGATGTGCGTCAGCTTACTCCGTTTGACATGTTTTTGATATGGAAAAGAATGAAACGACAGCAGCGCTTGGTTGCTTGCAAGAGATGTTCATACATTCTAGGGTTTAAAGTTAGAAATTCTAACGCCTTAGCCTCCCGCAGCAAGCATTCCTTCTGCGTGAACGATTGCGATCTGTTTGATCTGCTTGCCGATCCATGTTTCTGATGTGCCAGAAAAGGACGCGAATCGTGGAGCATCAGGCATTGTGCAAGGATTCCTCGTGCCGAATGAAAATGTCAGAACACTTCGATGATCGAACTTCAGTGGCGTCACCTACAAACCTTTACTTTACGATTTAGCGTGAATATTTGCGGCTTGGTTGTTGCAGACAAACAGCGAACTCACAGAAATATTTTGTCTAGAACTCGAAGTTTCTAATTGTGGACGCTTGGTGGACATTTCGTGGTTACGCCCCAATTCAAGATGTATCATCATTCCGACCAACTACAACTTCCCGCCGGTCTCCTTGCGCTCTCAACAGCAGAACTCAACTCCGACCCCGCAGCTCTCGAAACATCTCAATTGGCCTCCAACCGCACAAGTCAAATCAACAACCAGTACACGACCAAGATGACACGGACGCTGGAGATCAAGATAACACACGCCGAGCCGCCCCTCACCACCGAGGCGCCCCTCACCACCGAGGACGGAGAGACGCTCACGATGACCAAGCTACAAGCTCTGGCCGCCTCCCTGCTCCCCGACAAGACCGACTTCTCGATGCGCTACACCGACTCGGACGGCGACCAAGTGACGCTCACCACCGACGCCGACGTGAACGAGCTCGAGAAGTACATGCAGAGCGAGCAGCTGCAGACCCTCGAGGTGCTGGTCGAGCCGCGGCAGCCGCCGACCTCCCACCGCGCCGCCACCGCCGTGCACACGCAACTGCGCGGCCTCGTGACGGCCATGTCCAAGTTGACGGCCAAGACCGACGCCAACCCCACGCCCACCAGCGCCGTGAACCTGCTCGTCGCGAGTCTGCACGCCATGGACGTGGCCGAAGACGCAGCCGAGCTCGCGGCCATCAAGACAGAGCTGCTGCTGGTGCTGCAAGATGACGAGTTCCGCAGCGCCGTCCAGGAGCTGAGCGCCTCAGAAGATTTCAAGGAGCTCGCGCACGCCATGGTGATGGCCATCTACGGCCAAGACGCGCAGGCCATCGAGGACGCGGCCACGGCGCGCTTCGACGAGCTGCTGGCCTTCGCTCAGATCATCGTGGCCCGCTGCCCCCTGTGCTGGTGAACGTGGCCAAGTCGCTCATGGCTGGCTTGGTGCGCTACAACGACGAAGATGTCAACGGCGACGACGCAGCGTCGGACTCGTCCAGCTGCAGCAGCCGCTCCAGCAGTTGCTGCAGCGACGACGACGACGACGACGACGACCACGAGACGGTGGACGTCGAAGTGTTCGCAGAGCAAGTGCCGCTGCACATGGGCGTCATCTGCAATGGATGCGAGACAGCTCCGCTCGTGGGGGTCCGCTACAAGTCGCTCGAGGTGCTGCACTTCAACCTGTGCGAGGACTGCGAAGCCAGTGGCAACTACATGCGCTACGAGCCGTTCATCAAGATCACGGACCCGTCGCGCGCGCCCAAGCAGAAGCGCACCTCCGACCTCGTGCATCCGTACGTGACGTGCGACGGCTGCGAGATGAGCCCCATCGTGGGCGTCCGCTTCAAGTCCGACACGAAGGACGACTTCGACCTGTGCGAGGCCTGCGAGGCGGGCGGCAAGTGGACTGAGTCGCACGGGCCATTCACCAAGATCGAGGAGCCCAGCATGATGCGCGCGCTCAAGTTCACGTGCCGTCGAGGCGGCAAGTTCGGACACCACGGCACGCTCGGCCACCACCACCATCATGGGCACGGCCGTCGTCACGGCTGCGACGGGAAGTTCGGCCATCACCATGACGACCACCACCACCGTCATCACGGCAAGTTTGGTCATGGTGGCCGACACCATGGCGGCAAGTTCGGCCGTCACGGTCACCGCCACCACCACGGCCCTCCCGACTTTGTCTTCCACGGCCCATCATTCTCAAACCACGATGGTCCTCGGGGATTCCCTGGCCATGGCCCGCCATGCCACAACGAAGGCCACCCGGAGTTTTTCGGACATGGCCGACCGGACTTTCGTGGACACCATGGCCACGGCCCTCCCGACTTTGTCTTCCACGGCCCATCATTCTCAAACCACGATGGTCCTCGGGGATTCCCTGGCCATGGCCCGCCATGCCACAACGAAGGCCACCCGGAGTTTTTCGGACATGGCCGACCGGACTTTCGTGGACACCATGGCCACGGCCCTCCCGACTTTGAGGGCCGTCATCGCCACCATGGACCCCCTCGATTTGGTCCTCCTGGCCACTTCGGCCGCTTTGGGCCATCGCCTTTTGACTTCACGGATCCGCGCGGCCCGCCGATGTGTCCACGCGACTTCGAGCACGGCCGTCCACCATTCCCCGAGCACCGCGGTTTCCACCGACACCACGGACGCCACACGCGGTTCTCGGATGAGGGGGAAACTGACGAAGAGCAGGAAGGTCGTTGCCACGGACGCCGACACGCCTGGCACGGGCGCGGACGCGGACGCTGGAGCCATGACACCACAGACGAAGAAGCAAGTTCCACTCAGGAGATCCGTGACGCTGCCGCCCGCAACAACCTCGCGACCGATGAGAACATGGAGGTTGAAGACACCACCAACGTTCAAGTCGAGGCGAGTGGTGAGAACATAGGCGCCGCGGAGACAGAGGGCAAGGCGAACTACAGCGAGACGCTGGCGCAACTGGCATCCATGGGCTTCGACGATGTGGAGAAGAATATCCGCGCTCTAGAGCTGGCCAACGGAAACGTGGGCGGGGCCGTGAACGTTCTTTTGTCGGAGTGAGCTGCGTGGTGCCGTCTTGCTGCACTGTACGAGGTGCATCTAGCGAACGAAGCAGCAAGTATCTTAACAAATCAAACAGTCAGCGGATCAACCATCAAGAAAGAAAAGAAAAAGCAAGGAGAACAATTACCAACAAACACTGCAACCTACGCGTACCATCTTCGCTGTCTACAAGATGACCCAGACCCCACAACGGAAGCCCACCTGCGTACCCAGACTGGCGACGTCGACGAAGCTCCTTGGAGCTTTAACTGCATGTTTGCATGTTTTCATGTCAGATCGAGAAAACGAAACAATAGAAAAGATGGCCTAAGATACACCTTCAATATAGCATTGCTTGTTTCGTGACAATATATTATTGCAATACGTAGTACCCTCGCAATATCGTGTTGCAATACAATATGCAGTACAGTATCGTATTGTGGTATTGGACCAATATATTTTTTCCGATCCCTGCTCGTCCCCAACGTGTGTGGGAGGAGCTGCAGCGCCCAGGTCTGTCGCCAATGCATGGGACGCCACGTCCAAGTGACGCTGCAGCAGTTCTACCCTGGTGGCCTCGAGTGCGTTGTCCGATCTGTCTAGTCGCGCTGCACTTTAGCGGGTGGGCGAGCTGTATTCCAATTGAAGTGAAGATGGAGCTGACGACGAAGTACAGCGAGTTGTGTCGCCAGGCATGCGTGGTCTCGCCCCCTTGTTGCGACGATAAGGAGTACACGCACCTCCCACCTTTTTGTCCGGAGCGGGAGAACGAGAATGAGGCCCCACTCAAGCTTCTACCGTCGCGGCTTGCACAGTTCCTGAGTCTGTGCAAGCAGTTCTGCCGGCACAAGGTAGAACCTCGAGTAGTTTTGGACTACGCGTTCGATACGTTCGGGGAGGAGAAAGTCCAACCTCGTGGTCGAGCAGACACTGCCGCGGATCCACGATCCCGAGCGACGTGCCACGTTGCTCCTGTCTCTGTTGTATCTGCGTCCGAACACGACGACGAGGTGTTGCGGCACCAACTTCTGCTTCAACTGCAAGCGTCTGAACCACCACAGCATTTGCATCCAAGAGTTTGACGAGGACAATGATCTGGTACGCTGCCGGACGTGCCGCGTACTGCTGCTGAAGGTCGAGGGCTGTGATTCAGTGAATTGTGTCTGCAGGTTCAACATGAGCTGGCCGAAGGAGAGAGAGCTTCGACAGCAGCGTAAGAAGGGTCAAGCATTTTCGTGTAAGCCAAACGTTACTACAAATATTGCAGTAAGTTCGAAATATTTCTTTTTCTTTCCCTTCAATTGTCAAATCTACAAAAAATGCTCAACTGCTCCTTCTCCTGTCATTTCCATAGTTACACCTCGTCGCCAATGTCTCGGTCGGAGGAGCGCGAGTCGCGGCGCCACCGCAAGGACAAGAAGAGCAGCAAGAGCAAGAAGAAGCACAGCAGCAAGAAGCGCAGCCGCCACTACTCGTCCGACTCCTCCGGCAGCGAGTCCGACTCGCGCGCGGAGCGGCGCGCGCGCAAGAAGTCGGCCAAGATGCTGTCGAGCCTGGGCTACTCGGACGAGACGAACCCGTTCGGAGACTCGAGCCTGAGCCAGCCCTTCGTGTGGGGCAAGAAGTACGAGGACCAGGGCGCGGCCAAGCCGTCGGCACGCGAGCTCAAGAAGCAGCAGCTGCGGCGCGTGGACGAGATCCGCAAGGCGCGCAAGCGGCGCGAGGAGCGCGAGGCCGAGCGCGAGGAGATGGAGCGCCTCAAGAGCGAGGAGCTGCGCCTCAAGGACGCGGAGCAGTACGAGGACTGGCAGCAGAAGGAGGAGCAGTTCCACCTCAAGCAGGCCAAGGTCCGCAGCCAGCTGCGCATCCGCGCGAACCGGGAAAAGCCCGTGGACCTGCTGGCCAAGAACTTGCTGCTGGTGTCGGCCAAGAGCGGGGAGCAGGACGAGGACGAGGTCTTCAAGAAGGAGATCGGCCGCATCAGGGTGGAGCACAGGCGGCCTCACGCTATCGTGGAGGTGCTGTCCATGGACGAGCTGTGGGAGCTACAGGAGGACGTGGGGACTTACGAGGAGCTGGAGCAGAGCGGCAACGGAGGACACAACGCCGAGTTTTGGAAGCTCATGAAGCTCGTGTGCGACGACAGGATCAGGCGCCTCAAGCGCTCGCAGAGTGAGGGGAGAGAGGGCCGAGGCGCGATCCACGACTCGGTTAACGAGACCATCGAGGAGATGCTGGACGGCAAGGACGCCGACGCGTTGAAGAAGCTGCAGGATGAAGTGAAAGAGACCATCGCCAGCGCCTCGAGTGGAGCCACCGGGGTGGATGTGGACTTCTGGGAGGAAGTCGCGCAGCAGATTCGAGTGTACCAGGCCCGCGCGCGGCTTACGGAGCTGCACGAAGAGATGCTCAACAAGCTGGCCGACCTCATGGAAGAGCACGAGAGACGCTCTGCGGAGGAGGCAGCAGCGCGCGCGGCGGAAGACGAGATGCACGGAGAGGTGGACGAGAATGGACGTGACGCCGGCCGCGAAGCTCGCGAGATGGAGAAGTCGTTCGCGCGCAATGGCCTCGACGAGGCGGAAGAGCAGCTCGATGCATCCGAGGAAGTGGCACTGGCCGACTCAAAGGCTGCTCCGCGCTGGAGCGAGAAGTACCAGCCGCGCAAGCCGCGCTACTTCAACCGCGTCAAGACGGGCTACGACTGGAACAAGTACAACCAGACGCACTATGACCACGACAACCCGCCGCCCAAGGTCGTGCAGGGCTACAAGTTCAACCTGTTCTACCCGGACCTCATCGACAAGCAGACGGCCCCGCGCTTCTTCCTGGAGAAGGCCAACTCGGACGAGTTCTGCATCATTCGCTTCTCCGCCGGACCGCCTTACCAGGACATCGCGTTCAAGATCGTCAACCGCGAGTGGGAATACTCCCACAAGCGCGGGTTCAAGAGCGTCTTCGAGCGCGGCATCCTGCATCTCTATTTCAACTTCAAGCGCCACAGGTACCGGCGGTAGGCTGCGAAGACAACCGGAAGCACGCAGCGAAAGACTTAGTTCACATCGATCAATCTACATGCTGCAAGTATGCAACTATTTGTCCTTGACCAAAGTCTGCTGTTGTTGTCTGTGTGTGTAGTATGAAAATCTTTGAGAATCTTTGTATTTGTTCAGGTTTGCTTGTTCCCTATGTTCATGTTGCTAACTATTTTTTTCCTATATGAAAGCGGCCGCGTCGTCGGGCTCACTATCCTATCGACATGTACACCACGCACCATACACCTTGCTTCGCTCCTCCGCGTCAGCTCAGCTCGGCTGACCTGTCCGTCGTGTTGTGGCTTAGAGCTCAATGCGCTTGCCGCCGCCGCCACTGCTGTTGCTCGCGTTGCTCATGGTATCGCTGGTCTGACGACTCTTGTAGCTGCTGCTGCGGTCGTACGACCCGCGACGAGAGCGACCGCGGTTGCCGCCGTTGTGGTGGTTGCCCGTGAGCGACTGTCGCAGAGAGGAATTCCTCACGGCGTCGTTGCTGTAGGACTCGCTGCGGTCGTACGAGCTACGCCGGGTGTGGCCGCCATCCACGCTGCCGCTGAACGACTGCCGGAGCGACGAGTTGCGTCTGTTTTCACCGTTGTTGAACGACTCGGTGCGGTCGTACGAGCTGCGTCTTGAGCGGCCCTTGGACTTGCCCGTGCCGTTCGCGTTGGACTGCTTGTTCATAGCAGGCGCCGCTCCGGTGAGCGACTGGCGCTGCTGCTGCTGCTTCGCGTCCTCGATCATGTCCACGCCGAGCGTCACGCTGAAGCTCACGCGGTCGTTGTTGTCCTCAGGCTCGCCCTCCATGACGATGCCCATGACCTTGCCAGGCGCCTCGATGGGGCCATCCTCGCCGGTCGGCTGGCGGATGCCCGCGCTCTTCGAAGGAGCACTGGGCGCGGGAGGTCCAGACGAGGAACCCGTGCTGGACATGGACGAAGAGCGGCGGTCGCGGCCCTTGATCACCTCCGCGAACGACAGGCGCTCACCAAGAACCTCCGCCGTGGGGGAAGCCACGACGGCCGGCTCCTCTTCGGGGCCAGCAGTCGAAATCTCACGGATGTTCACCACACGGGTCGACTTAGAGCTCTCGTGCGACTTCTTGGTAGACAGCGAGTTGGCGCGCTTGATGGGCGTGATCATGGACTGGCCCGACGACAGGCTGCTCTCCATGGGGGGAGCAGGCGGCTGCAGGGTTGACAGCGAAACACGCATGCCCACGCTCGGCTCGGACAGCTCGATGGCCTTGGACGGCGCGGCAATGGACTTGTTAACCGCCACCTTGGGCTGGGGCTGCTTTGAGGACAGCGCCAACTTCGTCAGGCGAGGAACCTCTTCGCGGTGCTTGCGGCTGAGCTCCGGGTCCTGACGCAGGATCAGACGAAGACGGGCGTTAGCCTTGGCCAGCGCCATGTTCTCGCCCTGGAGGTGCTCCGTGTGCTGCTTCAGGTGGTCCACGGTGTGGCGGAGCGCCTGACGCTCATTCAGAGCCTCGCTTAACGAGCTCTGCATCAGTGTGATCTTCTCCATAACACCAGCGTGCTGAGCCTTGAGGTTGCGGTGGCCGGTCTTGTAACGGGCCAGCTCGCTCTTGAGAGCCTCGTTCTCGTCCTGCAGCTTCATGGCACGCTGGTTCGCGGCCGCGAACGATGCACCGTTCACGTAGGCACCACGCTCCATAACCTCCTTCTCCTTGCGGAGCTGCACACCGAAAGCCTTCAGGTTCGTGTTGGCCTCCTTGAGGGCGGCGTTCTCGCGACGCAGCTGGTCAATCACCAGGTCAGCGTCCTCGAGGGCCTCCTCGCTGCGCATGTGCACAGACGCACGGGTTCCGTGCTGCGCCTGCTGCTCCAGCTCAATACGCGCCTCGCGCTCCTGCTGGAGACGCTTCTTCAGCAGCTGAATCTGGTTCTCGAGCTTGGCGTCCTCCTTCGCCTGCTTCTGCAGCACCGAGAAGGCCTTGATAGCCAAGTGCATGCGCACCACGCTCTGCATCGTGCGGATAGCCTTCACCTTCACCAGGTACTTACGACGGGCAACGAACATCTTGCACATGTTCTGGATCTGGGTGGCACGGTACTCCTCACGCATGCGCACGAGCAACAGCTGGGCGCGGTGGCGACGGACGTACTTCTGCACGCTGATGGCCGCCTTGCGCTGCTTCTTGTACTGGGTCTTGGCGCGGTGGCCACGGTACACCTTCTGGGCGACGATGGCGGCCTCCTTCACCTTCTGGAACATGGCCATGGCCATCCACTTCTTGGCGTAGCGCTGCAGCACCACAGCCGCGGCGTTGAACTTGCGCGTGCGCAGCTCCTCAAGGGACTCGAGGGCGCCCTGGCGGAAGAACACACGCGTCTTACCGACCTGGTACTCGCTGTCCTTGCCAGGCATCAGCTGAGCGAGCAGCTCGCGGACGGCGGCAGCCGTCTTCGTCTCATCGGACGGGCTCTCGTCCGCAGTGGCAGTGAGCACAGCCAGCGCCGAGGGGCTGCCGTCGGCAGCCGTGGACGACGCCAGACCGCGGAAGCGCTCCAGGAACATGGTCTGCAGCACACGGTTGGGGTACGCCATGCGGCTGATGCGCACAGCCTCCACAACACCGGCGCACTGCAGCTGCTCCGTGACGCGAAGCTTGTTGAAGATCAGCGGGCTCTTCTTGCCGTTGGGCTTGATGCAGCGAATGTAGTGCACGTTCGTGCGGCGAATGTCCTCCATGAGGCCGTTCAGCTGGCTTTTGAACTGCGTGCCCACCGTGTCCGCGACAATCGAGTTCTTGCGCTTCATGGTAGGGCGGCCACGCGCGGCGTTAGCCACAGTAGCGGCGCTCGTGCCGGGAATGCCCGTCATGGCGTCGCCCACGTGCTCGTCGGGGAAGAGCTTCTTGAGGAACGGAGCCTTTGACTTCTTGATCAGCATGATCAAGTCGTTTTGCAGCGCATCCGTGTTTTTGATCAGGAAACCGGTCGTGTCGTACTGTACGGGGCCGGCGTAGTGCTTAATCACGAACGCATCGCGGGCAAAGCGCGGGCACTCGAAGCGGTCGTTGTCGCTATAGTGGGCCTTGAGCTTGTTGGCGAAGGCAGCGTCGCTACCCTTGGGGCGCATGCACTCTTCGTTCAGCAGCGACAGCACACCGAAGCGGCCTTCAAGCAGCGACAGGACGTTGACGTTGTCCGCGAACTCGATGCGCGTCCAGGGGATACCCTCATCCTCGTACTCCTGCTGGATGGACTTGAACACGTCCTGCGTGAACTTCTGCTGGAGCTTCTCGTTGGCGTAGTTGATGCACAGCTGCTCGAACGAGTTCTTCTCGAAGATCTCAAAACCGAAGATATCCAGGATGCAAATCTTGTGAGCCACATCCGCGTGCGGGGCGCTCGTCGACATGTTGACGCGGTGGATCAGCCACGAGAACATGTGCGAGTACAGCGCGACACCGAGAGCAGTACGCGCGCCCTCGGCCTGCGAGACGTTCAGCGGCACTTCGTACGTCTCCATGACGGCCGTCATCTCGCGCGTGCACAGCGCCGTGTGCAGCTGGTTGTCGTCGAACTCCATGAGCTGCGACACCAGCTCACTCGCGCGCTGGTTCTCGGGCGTGCTCGTCAGCTGCGAGGCGTCATCGTTGCCGGGCATGGGCTCGAACTGCAGACGCGACAGGTGCAGGATTGCGGCCACGACCTTGAAGATGCTCATCTGGTCCTCCTTGGACACGCCCATGGTCTCCAGACACGACACGGTCTGCTGGAAGCGTTCGGCGTCCCTCAAGCCGGCGCTGACGTCAACGCCGTTGGCCAAATCCTCGTCGTGGGGCTTGATGAAGGGGAAGTCCTTGGCCTGCAAGCCCGTGACCTTGACCGCCGACGTCACCTCCTCGGGGGCGGCCAGCAACTGGTAGAAGATGTGGTAGTTGCGCTCGCCCAGACCTTGCAGCGACACGCGCGACTTCTCCAGCAGATACGTGCGCGAACGCGCGCCGATCAACTGGCCCAGCGCGTCAAACTGCAGCTCCGAGAATTTACCGAAGCGACTCGAGTTGTCATTGCGCGAGGTCTTGGCGTTACCGAAGGACTCCATCAGCGGGTTAGCGTCCAGCACGCGCTCGATGATGCTCGCCTCCTTGGCCTGCGCGTCCGACGTGGACTGGCTGCCGGCGGATGCCAGGTGGGACATCAGGATCTTGGTGGTCTCCGTCTTACCGGCGCCAGACTCGCCACTGACCAGGATACTTTGGTCCTCGCCGAAGACGCGCATGTGCTGGAAGGCGCCGGCACTGGTGGCGTACACATGGGGCGGCAGCTCGCTACGGTCGCGCTCCAGGTACTGCTCCTGCAGCTCCTTGGTGTAGATATCGAGCCAAGAGTACTGAAATAATGATTAATAACGGCAAAATTGCACAAGATTGGTTAGAACTCAGGTTGACGTAAGTACGATCGAATGGAAAAGCGAGGGGGATGGGCCACGTACGGGGTTCACAGCGATGCAAATGGCGCCCGTGTATGTGTAGGGGATTTGGCGCAGGAAGCGGTGCTTGAGGTTGAACAGGATGGCCGGCTCGTGCAGGTAGTTGAGGCTCACCATGTCGGCGCAGCCGTCCGGGTTCGTGAGCGCGTTCTGCAGCAGCATCGTCGACTTCTGCGCTCGCATGAAGGAAAAAGATCGCATCCCGTCATCCAGTCAGAGATCGATCAATGGCTGGCTACACACAAACTTAGCAATGGATGGATGGGCGTACATCGATCTTGCGGATGGAGCCGGCCTCCGGGTGCTTGGGCGCGTCCTCCTCGGCCTCGTCGCCCTCGATCACCACCTCGACGGTGGTCTCGCTCACGACGTGGCCTTTGGTGATGCTGGCCTCCACCCATGCCACCTCCGGGTCGGGCACGTAGATCTGCTCATACCAAGTAAAGATTCGTCATCAGCCAACGGCCAGCTCTAAACTGGCACAAGTCCGGACGTCGTACCTTAGTCTGCTCGCCCTCCATCGTGGCGGACTACTGTAGCACAACGAAGCTTGGGGGTCGGTCGGTCGGGTGTGGGTGTGTGAAGGTAAGTGCAGTCTCTCGCTCCTCTCTCTCGTGTCTATGCCGGGCCGCGCGCTCTCCGTCGTCCTCCCCGCAAAAGTAGCTATGGCGCCGAGGATTGCAAACGCGGGCGGGCAGGCGCCGCCTTCCCCTAGGCCGCCCTCTGTAAAGCGCTCTCTCCTCTCCAGAGAAGGTGGCCCCGCGAAAAACGATCGCCCCCGGCTTTCGCGGGGCCATCCTGGTCGGCCCCGTCTGCCCCCGTCCTGGTTTCACTTGACGTTTGTATGTGGCAGCAAAACACGGTGCGGTTTTGGCAGCAGAAGCGGCCCTGTTGGAGTGTCAAAAGACGGTACGAGCGGCCCACTTCAAGGAACAGGATCGCGGTTCGCGTGGCGCACACAAAGGAAGCCATCTGAGGCGGCCAGCTGGCGGGGATGTGCCCAATAGCGACAAGCAGAAACGAGCGCCCTCCGAGAACGGGCGAAACCGACGGACGCGCGCAATGGCCCGCTCGGGCGGACCGACGGCAGTCCAACGGCGCCGCCAAGATGCGGCGTTGATACGGTATGTAAATGGCCTCGTTGACCACGCTGCGCGTGTGTGCAGCTTGGTCGCTTGAAGTTGTCATTGCCCCCCGCGAATCAGGCTCGGTGCTGGCTGTGGCGCTGTCAGCTGGCTGCAACATGCAAGTACCTCGAGCCGAGACCACGAGTATGTTCGTCAGGTAGTCTGCAAGCAAGGCAAGGCAAGCGGCCGTGCAAGCGCCTTGCACTGCTGCTCGCCGGCGGGGCAACCGCGCAGAAGGGCAACCGGACCTGTACGTGTGCTTGCAGTGTCCGTTTGGGGCGGTCGCTTCAAAGAAGCGTTGAGGAAGGGCAATTTTCCCGACCGGCCCATTGTCACAACGCGCTGATTGCAACTGAGTCAGCGCGGCTCTCGGCCGCGAGCCTTCCGCGCGATCCTCTTCAGCTGTGGCCGCGCATTGAAGACGCCTCAGCCCGAAATGGGCCATGAAGGCGCACAGCTGCAGGATCGGGAAGGGGAGCAAGCCGAGCGCCGCCAGCGTGACGGCTGTGGCCTCAAGTGTCGGAACATTCTCGAACAAACCGCGCATAGCGCGGGGAGCGGCCCGCCTCGGTCTTGGCCTTGCGGCTGCGCGAACGAAGCGTATCCATTGTTGCCGTGCAAAGCCCGCGCGAGATGGCTACCGCTGGGGCAACAGAGAGCGGCCGGCCTCAGCGGTGGTCGACACCCGTCGACACCTTCGAGCTCCGCCGGCTCCAAGCGCTGGAGCACCAGGCAGGCTCCAGGTGGCCGGAGCTTCCCGCCAGCGCGAGCTTCGGCAGTCGCGCCGCCCCGAAAAACCCACGTCAGTTCGTTTCCCAGCGTGCGCGCTGTTTCAAATGAGTCGAGCCCCGAGCCCCCGCTGTTACGGATTAATCGCTATGTGGCAGAGCTCTCGATTTCTCACACCGACAGCTGAGGCTGGACACTTGAAGCGGGCGGCGCCGGTGCGCCGTGTTCAGGGAGGGGAGGGGCTGGGCTGCACCGTGTGCCCCTAACGCCCGGCCAGCAGCAGTAGCAGGAAGGAATGGCTGGCAGGCGGTCTCCAAAGGGCCACGCTTGCTCGGAGCACCGCCACCTGGGGTCACACGCAGCCTGCTCCGGCCCCAGGCAGGTGCTGCTTCGACCTTGGGGGAGCTCTCTCTTGAGCCCGGCGGTTCGGACCCATTCGCCCAGAGAGCGTCCAGGCGCTCGCAGGCTGTTGGCGATCTCGTTCGCGACGTCCCGGAGAAGACCTCAAGGCCAATTTTTTGCTTGACAAAAATTGCGGCGAAACGGGAATCGCTGCTGCGACGTGAGCGCTGCAGATGACCTCGATGAGCATGCACCCGCAGGCAGCGCGATGCTCATGCCTGCTCTGCAGGGCCCAAGGCGTGACTCACCCAGCGCCATGAAGCGCGACGCGATCGGCTGAAACCGCGAGGCCGTTTTGCCGAGAGAAGCATATCATCTGGGCATTGTCGTCCCCGCTTTTTTCGACCGAGAATCTCCTTGCTGACGCCGACGCGATGCGAGTCTCTGCAACGGCGCGCTGCGCGTGCCGCACCCAGCCATTCGCACCGTTTCGCGGGCGAAGCGCCGCAGGATGCTCGAGATGCTCGCGTGGCCAACGTGGCGGAGCTCCTCCCAGGAAACGGCCGAATCATATCGCGCAGCGCTTCTTCAGCTTCGTCGCGGAGGCGAAAAACTCGCCTCCTTGCTGCAAGAGCACTTGCAGGACAATGTAATATTTGCAGGCAGGCTGTCCTCTGCTGGCTGCGGTGCCTGCGAGTCATTGCTCGGTTTCGCATTTGCGAGGACCAACTTATCGGGCGGCGCGCTGCCCAGCCCACCTTCGGAACTGCCCCGCCCGTTCTATATGTACAGCCCCCAGTATCGATGGCGCCAAGTGTTTGATGCAGTCCGTAACTGAAGAAGGGTATTGCCATCGTGTGTGAGCTCCGAGGGCCACGTTCCCTCTGCAGCATATGACTATGACCCCGGCAGTCCATCGCCAAGCTAGTGATGGACCTCTCCGCCAAGAACACCGCATTGGCGCCTCGCCCTCGTGACCAGCACGCCGTCGAGCAGTCAGCTCGACGGCTCGGAGCAGTGCTCGACGATCGCAGCGCCTTGCTCCGAATAGAGCGCTGTAGTATGATACACCCAAATAGTGGCCTATTTCTAATATCTAATGCCTTCGTAATACTATATTTCAAATTTACCTCTATCCTCCTATACTCATGTTGTACACATACCTCATCCATTCACTATTCCTAAATCTCTCCACTACTTCATGCAGCGTATACGCGGTGACACAAAGCGGTGCCATCGCATCGCTCCTGGCTCAGTCAGCTCCGTGCATGCCGAGCTGCGTCCAGCGCTCAACAGTCCAACGACCGACGCTACTGCTCTGCTCTGCACCTGCATTGCCTGACCGACCTCCTCGCCTGCAACGATGCTGCTGCGTCCGCATCTCAGCCGCTGGCTGCAGGCCACTGTGTATCTGCGCGTGCACCGCTGGACGGACTGGGCGCTGCTGGCGGGCGCGCTGCTGCTCTACGGCCTCGCGACGCGGCTCATGACGCTCCCCGTGGTGTTGGACAAGTGGGCCAACGCCTGGCAGCAGACGTGGTGGGTGGCGCTGCTCGGGCTGCTGCTGGGCGCCATGGAGGATCTGTGCGTGTGCGCTTTCATGCTCGCGACGCTCTGGAGCTTCGACTACCTCACGCTCAAGTCCCCGGCCGAGCGGCACAGGCTGGCGCGTCGACGCAGAGAGAAGCAGAAGGCTCTGGCCGCCGAGAAGGCGGACGTGGAGCAGGGAGTGCAAGTCTACGAGGGCGAGACGGACACCCCCGCGTGGATGGAGGCGGTGGTGCTCACCGAGCAGTTCGGCCGACTGGCAGTGTACACGCTCGTATTTCTCGTTGCAACGGGCGGCCTGTGTCTGGACTCGGTCTTCCTGCGGGGCCGCAAGATGCGCTTCTCGGCGGACTTTGTCGCCATGTACTTCCGCGAGTGGGACGCCGCGGGGGAACTGGAGATCGACACGGCCGAGTGGATCGTGCTCTTCTGGACTGTGTTGTTCACTGTGCTGCTGTCTGTGTTCGTGGGGCTGCTGGGCGCGTGTTGGATCAACCTGATGGACTGGGACGTGCTGCGATTCGTGCATCGCAGCGGGTTGTACCAACAATGTGTGGCTCTTGGCGCTGCGGAGAGTGACTACGAGCGTCTGCATGATGATAAAGAGGACGACGATGAATCCGACAGCTCTGACGACTCGGATGAAAGCGACGACGACGATGACGACGATTGCTCGTGCGTGCGCAACGCTTCGTTTCGGCTGACACCGCGAGTTGTGCTCGTTCTTCTCGTCATCGCGTTCTTCCTCACTACGTTCTCACTGGCCAAGATGCTGCCGACTGTAGTGGGGCTGATTGCGCTGAACCCAGTGCTCAGCGAGCCCTTGCGACTAGGTGCTGGGGTGCAGTTTGTAGCGGGAAGGGATTCAAGCAGCATCAGCACGAGGCCGTTCAGCGAGTTCATTGAGCGGGAGACGGAGCTCTCCCAGATCTTCGATGAGAACTCGCTGTACCGTCGCACGTTGGCCTTCGACGGTCCGCTGGCCTTTGACATTAAAGTTGGGCGAGAGGAGCGGCCTAATGTGCTGCTGCTTGTGATGGAGTCTTTCCGAATGCAAGACTCGGCGTTCCTCCTGAACAGTGTGCTCGAAGGAGAGGTGGAGGCAGCTACTGCGTCATTGCTCCCACCAAACGTGACGCTCACGCCAAACTTCGATCGATGGGCGTCGCGTGGTGTGGCGATGCGGAACCTGTGGTCAACTTGGCGGACAAGTCGCTCTATTGAAACCTTGCTTTTCGGTCAGATGCCCTACGACAGTGTGACGGAGACGGGCACCACTTCAGGACGCCTGGATACAAACCTCACCGGCCTGCCGCAGCTATTCAAGGCCAAGGGCTACGACACCATCTTCACCACGGGAACGCGCACGGACTACGACTACTGGGATACGTTCTTGCCTGCGCATGGCTTCGACACGGTGTTAGACCGATGGGGGCTGGTGGACATCGTCGAGAACGAGCTGAAGCTCGACAATTGGTCCGAAGGCAACCACATGCTCACGTACTGGGGCATTCACGACGACCTGTCGTACACTGCGCTCTCACACATTATTCGTACCCGGCAATTCGCCCAAAATGTCGCCAAGCAGCAAGCAGAGCGCGATGCGGCCGCTGCCAAGATGAAGACACCGAGCAACGTGACGGAGAAACCGCTCCCAGTCACCACCGCGTCGACAAATCCGTGGTTTGCAACACATTACACCATTTCAAGCCACGTGCCGTTCCATGAGCGCCCAGACTGGTTCTTCCGCTATGCGGCTGAGCACCGAGAAGAGATGGACCAGTTTGAGCCGCTGTACAAGGGCCACGAACACGAAGAGCTGATTCGTGACTACGTCCAGATGAGGTATTTCTCGGACATGGTGTTCGGCCGATTCATGGAGCAGCTCGAGAGGGACAACGTGCTGAAGGACACCATTGTGGTGGTGGTTGGAGACCACGGCCAAGCGCCAGAGCTCGGTAGTGCAACACCCGAGCAGGACCAGATCGCGTCGTCTCGAGTCGCTGGAGCGATTATCGCGGAAGGCCGAATCAAAACTCCCGTGGTGATTGACGACGCGGCCTCGCAGTCCGACATACTCAACACACTGGCCGACATCGTGAGGTTACCCGTGGGGGGTCTGCTGCAGACCAGCATCGGTCGCTCGCTGAAGCGTGTGCCGCCCAAGGGGGTCGGCAAGCGAGTGGCTTTCAGCAACAACCCGGCCACGAACCTTGCGGCGGTGGTGGGCAACATCCGCCTGCACTTCTTCGCCGACGGATCGGACGCAGTGCGCGCGTACCACACGCAGCGTGATCCGCGACAAAAGCACGATCTCATGGGCGAGCTCTCGGACGAGCGTGTTAGCGAGTTGCTGCAGATCTGCGCGGATGGCCGCGCACTGAACGCGTACTTTAAGCATCGGTGGGACCACAACTGCTTGCTGCAGCCGATCTGCGGGCGCGCGCGGCAAAGTGATGTATAATACACGCTGACTGTCCTTTCATCAGACGACCTGCAGGGTGGTTGAATAGACTGATCGATTCATACATGTGCTACTTCGCAGTAGTATTTTTTTTTAAACTGAAGCCTTTGCTTCCTGGTGTTATTGGTCACACTGTGTACAGTAGTACTACAGATACGACCCACAAACTGCAAAGAGTGGTACATCCAAGTTCCTACAGGAAATTATACGAGAGCTATGCGAGGCTGGGATAACGTTAGCTGAAGAACTTTGTGTCAGATAAGTAAGGAATCTCCACCGCGGCCGCACTGCGAAAATTACGAGAAGCAAAGTCGGGCGTTGCAAGAAGCTCCAAAAATACTACTATAGTACAGCATTTGTTATAAGGGAAATGGCCAATCTCGCGCCGATGGCCAATTCGGGGCCGATTCTGTCGACCAATCAAATAAGTTATACGCACCGCTTTGGTTGAGGCTGGGAAGACAGTTGAAGTGTGAGATGCAGATGCAAATGTATACTTATCTTCTTCACGAAGATCGGCTATCTTGCCTATTTGGCGCTTCCATTTGAGAAGGTTAGAATGGGTTTGAGTTAAAGTCCTGCGAATCGCTTACTAGGCTTCGGAGCCTGCGATGGCAAGCAAAGAAAAGATTCAAGGGCGCGGCTTGCCGCGCCCTTGAATCACGCGGGCAGCGCATTGTTTCCACTTCACCACTTTCGAGTATAACGGTTGGTCGACTCGCCACGATTAGCTTGACTAAACAGCGCGAGCTACAGTGACGCAACGAGAAGCGATTGCTCGATCATGTCGTCTAGTTTCCATGTCCTGGTACGACGACGACGGTTACCTCCGGATTGGATCGTATACGGAACTGATCAGAGATTTGAACAGATCTCCTAAAAGGTGTGCTGGGGGTTGCACCCCCAGACCCCCGCATAAAGAAAACTAACTCCGAGTGTGCGGCAACGGGTCCGTTCGCTGGAATGCTCGTCGCTGGGCCCGCCTCCGCAAATACCGCTCACTGCCGTGCCATATGTTTTGCCTATACAAAAACCAAGATAAGACACCTGTTCCAGTGTTCACCGTTTCGCCAGTCAAGATTCTATGATCGGTGTGCGATGACTCTCGCGCCGCGCGAGACGCGCGTGTGCATTGAGACTCGATTCAATTTTACAAGCACTCTGTACATCTACGCCTGAAGCTAGGAGCGTGTAGATGTCTGGGCAGTGTGTTATGTCTGACCGAGCCTTGTAAGAGAGTTGTTTCATCCCGCGCGTAAGACAATATGTCGCTTTAACTAGCATGCAAACGTCAGCTCTTAGCTGTAAGTTTCATGGATCAGTCAATTTCATACTTCTACGGTTGCTCCTGTCAAGTTTGGAATTAATGCGAGGAGGGGGTGAAATCAACAAATTATTAATAATTGCGGCGATATGCTTTCTTGATGAGGGCATTCACGTAGTCACCCAGTGCTTGCCCGATGCACAAGCGTGAGCGAATCAGCTGTGGTAAGGCAGACCATGTCCCTATTTAAATTTAAATTTATTGCGCTTTACTACGCCCGATACTGCGCGCTGCTGCAGCCTCGCCGACGGACCGCATGTTGGAACAACACGCGCCCGCGGTAGTCGCCCAAGACCATGTCCCTATGCGATCTACGAGCTTGAGTCCTCGTCACAAGGCTAAGCATAAATTACCACACGAAGAGCGTGACGAACACAAGCGTGAAAGGATGTAGTTTGCCTCTTTTGTACTAACGTAGTCGTCACTGTCCGGCAGCTCTGCCTTTCAACGGCTACCCATAATAGTCGTTCGCACCAGCGGTAAATCCCATCTCCCCCGCGACTGCAGCGGCGGATCGGTACCACAGCGTTAACCACCCGAAGATTCCATTCCACTTCAACCTTGAGCGTACAAAGATTTCTGTGGCGTCGTGGTAAGATTGCGTCAACACGACTCGTTAAATAGAAACGGCCGGCGCCTCTTGATTGGCGTATCGCAGGACTCCAATCACGTGCGTCAGCGCTGTACGGAACAAAGTGCGCGTCCATACAAAATCCTTTATCACACGTTATCGCGTACAACGTCCATGCCTGTTCCCCAATCGTTGTCATCCTAGTGAAAGGCTTTGGTCCAGCCAAGCCCGCGCAGCTCACACACATTCCAATTCGCCAGCCCGCGCGCAAGCAAGAGATCCCCCGTTCAAGCCAAGCGTCATGGGTCTGCTCGTGGAAGGCAGTCCGCTGGACTGGCCCGACGCCCTGGAGTGGCTGCAGCACGTGCGCACGCAGGGCATCGACCAGTTCCTGCACACGTACCGGCGCGTCAAGGACATCGAGGGCGACGAGCTCAAGTGGGGCGACGAGCTCGAGTACGGCGTCTTCCAGATGGACAAGGACAGCAAGCGCGCGCGCCTGGCGCTGCGCGGCGCCGAGATCCTGCACCAGCTGCAGGCCAAGGAGAAGCAGTCCAAGGAGCAGGGCCGCGACCCGGCCAGCCCCACGGGTGCCGCCACCGCTGGCCCGCAGCCCTGCGTGGACGGCTGCAACTGGGTGCCTGAGTACGGCGCCTGGATGATCGAGGGCACGCCCAGCGCGCCGTACGGAGGCTTCACCAGCGACCTGCGCAAGGTCGAGGGCAACATGCGGCTGCGGCGCGCGCGGCTGCTGGCGCTGCTGCACGAGGACGAGATCGCGCCGTCCGTCACGGCCTTCCCCATGATGGGCGTGGGCGACTTCACGGTGCCGCCCAGCCAGCCGCACGGCCCCGTGGCCATGTCAGACTACATCAGCGACGTCGTGATCAACCCGCACCCGCGCTTCGCCACGCTCACGCGGAACATCCGCCAGCGCCGCACGCGCAAGGTAGACATCCGCGTGCCGGTCTTTCAGGACGTGTACACGGAGGCGAGGCAGGAGGAGGAGCAGGCCTTGTGGAACGCCGAGAAGTCGCGCCCCCACTACGAGTCCAAGAGAGACGTGTCGTCCTCCTCGTCGAGTCCGTACGGCTCGGCGCCCACGTCGCCCAGCTCCACGTCCAACTCGGACGATAACGCGGACGCCATGTCAAAGTCCCCTTCCCCGCCGACGACGCTGAGGAAAACCCTGGACCACGAGCGCACGCGCAAGCTCTCGACGGTGGACAACGACCACAAGGCTGAGCCGTACCCGGGCTTCATCCACATGGACGCCATGGCTTTTGGCATGGGCATGTGCTGCCTGCAGGTGACCTTCCAAGCCAAGAACGTGGGTGAATCGAGACACTTGTACGATCACCTGGGTGTCCTCTCGCCCATATTGCTGGCGTTGACAGCTGCCACGCCTATCTTGAAGGGTCGACTGGCTGACACCGATGTTCGTTGGGCTACGATCTCCGCCGCGGTGGACGACCGCACGCCCCAGGAGCTCGGCGAGGCCCCACCCCCGACGGATGAAGAGACCAAGGCCAAGTACGCCAAAATGGCCGGCAACGGCGTGAAGCGTCTCCCCAAGTCGCGCTACGAAGGCATTTCGACGTTCATCTGCAACCACAAGCAGGGAGAGGATCCGCACACGCTCACGGACAAGTACAACGACGTCGACGTCCCCTATGATGAAGACTCGTACAAGACTCTGATCGACGCCGGCGTGGACCACCTCCTCGCCCTCCACATCTCGCACCTGTTCATCCGCGACCCTCTTGTCATCTACCAGCAGCGCCTGCACCTCGACAACGAGCGCGAGACGGACCACTTCGAGAACATCCAGTCCACGAACTGGCAGACCGTGCGCTGGAAACCGCCTCCGCCGGCCCCGTCGAGTACCGAGGGCCCCCACATCGGCTGGCGTACGGAGTTCCGCTCCATGGAGATCCAGCTGACGGACTTCGAGAACGCTGCCTTCACGGTGTTCATTGCCCTGGTGTCGCGCGTGATTCTCACATTTGACCTGAACCTGTACACCCCGCTGTCCAAGGTGAACGACAACATGGAGGCTGCCCACCGCGTGAACGCTGTGCTGGACGAGAAGTTCCACTTCCGCTGCCATATGGCCCCTCCTGAGAAGGAGGACTGCTCCTCGACGGGTGGTTGCCACCTGCACGAGGACCCTGATGCTTGCGAGCTCATGACCATTGCGGAGATCATGCTGGGCAAGGGTTCGTACTTCCCCGGCCTCATTCCGCTGGTGTACGCCTACCTGGACTACATTGAGTGCGACGAAGCCACGCGCACGCTCGTGGAGAAGTACATGTGCCTCATTGCCAAGCGCGCAACGGGCGAGCTGCCCACAGCGGCCACCTGGATGCGTCGATTCGTGCGCGCCCACCCCGACTACCGCCACGACTCGGCGGTGCCTCACTCGACGGCGTTCGACCTGCTGAACGAATGCCAGCTGATTGGCGAGGGTCTGAAGCAGTGCCCGGAGCTGCTGGGCGAGTTCAAGATCGCTCCCGTGCGTGGCCAAGCGGCTTACCGCGTACCCCTGAAGAGCAGTGGAGTTGCCGCTGAGAAGCGCCAGGCTCTGCTGCAGCGCTACCTGGGCCGCACGGCCTCGAACGTGTGTAGCACTTGCCACTGCTAAGTTAAGTCGCGGTTAGGAATGCTCCGTAGCTCGCTCGCGTGGGGGCCAGCACTGCTCTTCCAGCGGAAGGTGGTGTCTGCCTCATCCTATTATCAAGCTACTGCGGCACAAGGTATGATCAACCAACAATTCGCATCTAATGAATATGTAGTGAGTTTCTAATCTCCAAGTTCACTTTATCAACCATTCGAAGAGGGGAATGTGCCTTTCATAGGCAGCGATGTGCTGTGTCGTCTCCAACCACGTGGGGGCTAACAATACTTCTGGGGCGGCCCCAGCGGGGCCTGATCGTCCTCTATTCTTACGTGAGAGTTGTGCTTGCATCTCCTTCAAAAGCGTTCTGAAATAGCGGGGAAACGACAATTTATCGGGCTCTGTGCTGCTATCAATCCGTTCGGTGTTCAAGTCGTGAGTACTTCGCACTGCTTCTTCCCTACGACCCCAGCCAAGTCGTACGTGTCCGAGACTGCAGTCGACCGTCCCACCAAGCAGGAGAGATCGTTGCCGTTCGCTCCCGCACGCTTCGAGCAGGTGAGCGAGGATTTCGCTGCCGCGCATTCCGTCCCGAACCACCTTCAGCCGGTCGTCGTACGCTCCTGACATGGAGGACGCGCCCGTGCCGCGCAACCCGCCGCCCAAGCCCAAACGTTCCAACGTGCCGACGGCACCACCGGACTACTCTGACGACACGTACTCGGACCAGGACTACAACATGTCGCCCATTCGACGAGGACGTCACCACATGAACCGACAAAATGGCGGGTCTCCTCCGTTGACGCCGAACTACACCGTGCCCCGCCAGGTTAAAGTCCCCATCATTGATGCCGAGCCGGAAACCACAATCGGTGCCGCCGTGAAGATGAAGGGAGAGCTCAGTTTCGAGCGGCTGCTACGAATCGAAGGGGAGTTCGAGGGCAAGCTCAACTCGAAGGGCTCTCTCGTCATCGGTACCCGCGGAGCTCTCCTTGGAAACGTTGACAACATGAAGGAAGTCTATGTCACCGGCGGTCGGATCGTGGGCAACATCAACGTAGAGAAGCTCGTGCTGCGCGACAAGGCCCAAGTGTTTGGCAACATCACCGCCAAGACGGTCAAGATTGAACCCGAGTGCATCGTTGTCGGACGGATCAACGTGAACCCGCAGGCACCCGAGCGTATCAACGAAAAGGGCGAGATCGTCAAGGATGACCCACCTGACAGCACACCTTCAAGCTAGTTGAAGACATCTATCTATAAGAGACGACCCAGAGGCTTGGCTTGAACAAGCTCGATGAGAGACTAACACTACAACACGATAAACAGAAAACAGATAAAGAATAATCCCGCTTTCATCCCAAAACCATGATTCGATGAATGTAATATATACCCAGCACTCTGTGCAGATGCCTACCGCTAGCATGCTGGCTTGAGGCACCTGAGGATCGAAGCGCTACTGAATCTTGTGCACATGCGTAGCTATTAACCAAAGCCTTAGAATTTGCCCGGACGCTTTCTGCCCGTGAACTTGCTGTCGGCCTTGACCTTCTTGCCCTGCTTGCGGTAGCGCTCCTTCTTGGCCATCACCCAGTCCCTGGAAAATCAACGAACAGAAAAGATCGAACGGTAAGCGAACGGTTCTCCTTCATCGGACAAGAAGCGAGCAGCAACGTACTTGGCCTTGATAGCCTCGCGACCCTTGCCACGACGTTGCTGAGGATCAACAATAACAGTCGAATGTTAGCTAATCTCCAACGTGAGCAACAGCGCAAATATACCAAGCAGCTTACACGCTGGTTCCTAGCGCGTCCTTCGTAGGCGATCTGTCCAGCGGTGGCTCCCGTGCCAAGTCCCTGCGGCACCTGCTGGTGATCCGAGTACCCAGCGAACAGACACAGGTAGAACTTCTTGGCCTTGGCACTGTTGGGGAAGTCAATGACGAGACCGCCTGAGAAGCCGCAGCGCATGGCCGTGCCGGAGATCTCCTCCATCTGCTCAGGCGTTTCCGGGTACAGCTGCAGCACGGCGCGGCTACCGGCCTTCAGACAGGTGTACAGCGACGTGAAGAAGCGCGTAAGGCGCTTGCGAGCCGTGTGTTCCTTCTTGTCCGAGTAGCACAGCCACTGCACGGCGGAAATGCTGATGCAGCCGTCGAAAACTCCGGGACGGAAGGGCAGGCCTCCGCCCATGTCCTGCAGGAACACGTCGCCACTACTGTCACGCTCCGAGGCGATGTCCAGCATGTCTTTGCTGATGTCCACGCCGACCCAGGCGTGGCCGTGCTCCTCCAGCGCCACTGCAGCAAACAACCAGACAAAAGCTTAGCTAAAACTCCGCGTAGATGGCTAAACCCTCTGCAATTCGTAGCTAACGGACCTCCACTGAGGCCGCTACCGCAGCCAACGTCCAGGATGAAGGCCTCCTTGCCCTCAGGCAGGTTCAGCAGCTCGATGGCGCGGTACGACAGCTCCTGCTGCACCTTGACGATGCGCGAACTCGAGTTGTACTTGGCCGCCTCCTTCTCATCGTAGAAAAGCTGCCGCCACAGAGAATAAACGCATAGAGTTAGCGCAAAGGCCGATGCAATTGGCTCCAGGTCGGGCCGGCAGCACGCACCTCGGGCGGCGAGATGTGCTCGGGGCGACTCATAGCTGCTCCGGTCTGGCAATGATACACTGCGCCTCCTCCACCAACATTTTGAAGCATTTGGTACAGCGTACCCGTACGGTACGTCTTCTCAGAAAGGTACACTGTACCGCCTGTTGTTGCTCAGATGGTGACGCCCGCTCTTTTCTTGTCTTGTCGGCGCTATTTCTTGCTGTGCTGGACGCGCGCAATAGAGTTGAGCTACTCGACCGCATTTGACGAAGTGTTACAGTAGCATCTGCACCTGAAGCGGCGGGCCACGATGGCGCAGCACAAGGCCGACTTCGCCATGTTCGACCGCAGCATCGTCAAGGACGGCGCCAACAGCGAGATGTCGGCTCCCAGCCTCATGAGCCCGGTCTCCGGCTTCTCGAGCGAGACCGGGTCCTCCTTCTTCTACGGCGGCCGCGGCGGCTACGCCACCGGACGGCCAGCGCCTCCCTACTCGGCCACACTACGCACGAACTTCACGTCGGCCGCCAACGACCAGAGCGGCGGCATGGCAGGAGGGAGACCCAACTCGATGCTGCCGCCCCCAGCCGCTCAGGACGACGCGTCCGAGTCACCCGACGCCGCGTTCCGACACTTCCGCACGCCCGCACACGACCCCAGCCTGCCTTTCTCGGGCTTCGCAGTTGCAGCTTCGCCGGCGTACGGCCGCGCGTCGAAGCGCAGCATGCTGCTCGTCATTGTGGCGATCGTCGTCGGCAGCGCCGTGGGTGTGCTGCTCAAGCACTTCGACGTTGACCCGACAGTGGCAGAGTGGGTCATGACACCAGGCAACCTCTTCGTGCGAGCGGTGCAGTGTGTGGTGGTGCCCATGGTGCTCGTCAACCTCGTGGTTGCCACGGCGGACATCACGAGTAGAGGCTTGGGTAAGCGAGTCGGACTTCGCGTGACGCTAGTCCTGCTTGTGTCGATCATTGCTGCTATTCTGCAGGGAATGCTGACGGGTGTCATCATGCACTCGGTGTTCACCTCGTACCAGAATGAGGAGTCGATATCCACCACGGACCCCATTTTCGGCATTCAGTGTGGCAACGGCAAGTACCTGGCGGCAGACGAGAAGGGCGCCGTGACCTGCTCGGCGACAGAGGTTACTGGTACATCGCAGTTTGCCCTGGCCGACGTCAACAGCGCGCTCGTGCGCAATGAGGCGCTGACAGGAACAAACTCGTCGCTGTCGGACAACGTACTGAGCATCATCGACCAAGTCGTGCCCGACAACATCATGGCTGCCTTCATCTCAAATACGTTGCTCAGTATCGCTGCCTTTTCGCTGCCGCTCGGAGCTACGATCGCGTACAGTTTCCACGGACCGACGAATCTCAACCCGCTGCTGGAGTTTTCCCGTGAGGTGAACGAGACGCTTGTGCACATGGTCCACTGGATCCTACGGTTCACGCCCTTTGCGGTGCTAAGTCTGCTTGCAGGCTCTCTAGCCAAGTCGTTGGAAGACTCGGTATCTGACCATCCGCTTCGCCTGGTTTTGGTGGTTGTTGCAGTGTTGGCCGTGAGTGTCCTAGTGCACATGCTGGTGATAGTTCCAGCAGTTTTCGTGGTGGTCACTCGGCGCAACCCTTTCCGCTTCATGCGCCAAATGCTACCGGCGTACGTGTACAGCCTCGGCTGCTCGTCGTCCATGGCTACGATGCCGCTGAGTCTGCAGTGTACGGAAACCACCCGGGAAGTCCCGTGCCCCATCATGCACTTCGTGCTATCTGTGGGGACGTCGCTGCACATGCCTGGAACGGCCATCTATCTGGCTGTGCTGGTGCACTTCATGGCTGATGTCGCTGGTGTCGCTGGTGCGCAGTCAACTACTGCCATGCTCACTACTTTCCTCGGTGTCTTTTTGTGCACACTCACGGCACCTCCGATTCCGTCGGGAGCGCTTACTGTGCTCACTGCTGCCTGGAACATCGTGTTCCCTGACGCTGCAATCCCGGACAGCCTGTACGCGCTCGTGGTGGCCTCGGATGTGTTTCTGGACCGCCTTGTCACGCTCTGCAACGTGAGCGCGCAAGCCATGCTCTGCCGTGTCGTAGCTGACCAGGTCGAAGTGAAGGAGCCTGGAAACGGCCCGCGTGCGCAGGTTCAGCAGTACGCTTCATGGTAAAGTAGCCAGTCGTAGTCATGATTCACTAATACATATTTGCAGTCGGAGTGTTGTTCATACACGAAATTTTATTTTTTCGCTCGCGAATGCAGTAGGCAGCAGATCCCCCCCTCCAGCATTGCGTTGAGCTCTTCATGCTTGAGGCGGCGCAGGGGTCGACGGCAGCTTCTCGACCGGCGTGGGGGCTGGCGAATTGCTGAAGTACGGGTGCTTCAAGGCCTCCGCAGCAGTGATCCGCTCCGCCGGGTTATACTTCAGCAGCTTGGCCAACAGATCCAATGCATCCTCCGACGCAGCCGAGAAGATCGACGCCAGTGGCGGTGCCGTGCTCGACGTGAACTCGACAAAGTTGGCCAGCGAGCTGACTCCCGGCCACTCGTCCTCCGTTGGCGTACCGAGCGCGTGGAAGATCTTTCCGAGCTGGTCCAGCTCGTTCATCCCCGTGAGATACGGCATGCGCAGCATGAGCTCCGCGAAGATACAGCCAGCGCCCCACATGTCCACGGAGCCGCTGTACTCTCTCGCTCCGAAGAGCAGCTCCGGCGGCCGGTACCAGATAGTGCAGACCATGGACGTCATGTTGCGGTTCGGGCTGCCGTAGACCCTAGCGAGACCGAAATCTCCAATCTTGACCTGGCCGTCGGGCCCGATCAGCAAGTTCTCGGGCTTGAGATCGCGGTGCAGCACGTAGTGGTCGTGGCAGTAGGCGATCCCCTTGAGCAGCATCTGCATGTACGTCTTGATGTCCGCGGCGGTGAGCACCACGGCCTTGTCCTTGATGACGTCATCCAGGTTGCTCGGCAGCAGCTCGAACACCACGTTCATGGTGTCGTTGGCCACGAACACATCGAGCAGCTCCACGACGTTCACGTGCTTGAGCTCCGCCTGCAGCTTCACCTCGCGCAGAGCCGTGAAGTCCACACCGTCCTTGAACTTGCCGCGCTTAAACTGCTTGATGGCCACGCGCCGCCCCGTGCTCTTCTGCACGGCGGCGTACACGATACCGAAGGTACCTTCGCCCAAGACGTCGCCGCGGTCGTAGCGCTCCATGGTTGCAGGCTGTGTGGGTGGATTGATCCGGTTTTGTGACCGGTCACTGAAGCTTTGAGGTGGTGCACATCAGCTTAGCGATGTTGAAGTTGACCATCACTCTGTTCGAGCTTCAACTCAACCGAGAGAGCTTGTGCTCGTCACCACCGCAGCACTACCTGTGGGGGGGGGGGGGGGGGGTAGAGCAGCATGCGACGAGGTTGCTTCTCTCAAAATTATCACCGAGAAGCCCATGGTGAAACGCTCCGGTGTACTCTAGCCCGCAGCTGCCAACGAGAAAGTTGCGGCTTCTCAACGGCATTTCTCCGACGACCGCATTCTGGCTGTGGGACAGCAGAGCAAACTATGACGCTCGGCTATCTCCTCCTCTGCCCCCCCCCCCCTCCGCTCCAATGCGCTCGTCTTGCGCTGCTTACAGGCGCAGAGGTCGGCGACGCATGAACTCTCGACCGTTACGGGCGAGAAAAGTGTAGCCATGTCCCATACAGAAAACAAGTCTTTTCTGCAAGTAATCTAAAGCAAGTTCGCGTATCTTCCCGTAAATTACCGCGACGCTTGACGGAGAGTCGCGGCAGCCCCACACACGCCTCGGCCTTCATTCGCGAATTCGCCAGCACCAAGACAAGTCGAGTCAAGCAGCCCGCTCCCCGGACTTCGAGTAAGCTTCATCACCCAGCTTCCTCGTCTTCCCAGCCCTCTGCATCTCCTTCTTGTCCGCAAGCCTCAAGCAACCAACCACCAACCAACCCCCTCTTCCCACTCTCTCTACTCTTCCATCTCAAGATGCGTGAAGTCATCTCCATCCACCTCGGCCAGGGCGGCATCCAGGCTGGTAACGCCTGCTGGGAGCTCTACTGCCTCGAGCACGGCATCCAGCCCGACGGCCAAATGCCCAGCGACAAGACCATCGGCGGCGGAGACGACGCCTTCAACACCTTCTTCTCCGAGACCGGCGCCGGCAAGCACGTGCCTCGCGCCGTGCTCGTCGACCTGGAGCCCAGCGTCTGCGACGAAGTGCGCACCGGCACGTACCGCCAGCTCTACCACCCGGAGCAGATCATCTCCGGCAAGGAGGACGCCGCCAACAACTACGCGCGTGGCCACTATACCATCGGCAAGGAGATCGTCGACCTGGTGCTCGACCGCATCCGTAAGCTGGCCGATAACTGCACGGGTCTGCAGGGTTTCCTGGTCTTCAACGCCGTGGGCGGCGGCACCGGCTCGGGTCTGGGTGCTCTGCTGCTCGAGCGTCTGTCCGTCGACTACGGCCGCAAGAGTAAGCTCGGCTTCACCATCTACCCGTCGCCGCAGGTGTCGACGGCCGTCGTGGAGCCGTACAACTCGGTGCTGTCCACGCACTCGCTGCTGGAGCACACTGATGTCGCCGTGATGCTGGACAACGAGGCCATCTACGACATTTGCCGCCGCTCGCTGGACATCGAGCGCCCGACGTACACGAACCTGAACCGCCTGATCGCGCAGGTGATCTCGTCGCTGACGGCGTCGCTGCGCTTCGACGGTGCGCTGAACGTCGATGTGACCGAGTTCCAAACGAACCTGGTGCCGTACCCGCGCATCCACTTCATGCTGAGCTCGTACGCGCCCGTGATCTCGGCCGAGAAGGCGTACCACGAGCAGCTGTCGGTGGCCGAGATCACCAACAGCGCGTTCGAGCCGGCGTCCATGATGGCCAAGTGCGACCCTCGCCACGGCAAGTACATGGCGGCGTGTCTGATGTACCGCGGCGACGTCGTCCCCAAGGACGTGAACGCGGCCGTGGCCACCATCAAGACGAAGCGCACGATCCAGTTCGTGGACTGGTGTCCGACGGGCTTCAAGTGCGGCATCAACTACCAGCCGCCGACGGTGGTGCCTGGCGGTGATCTGGCCCGCGTGCAGCGCGCCGTGTGCATGATCTCCAACACGAGCGCCATCGCCGAGGTGTTCTCGCGCATCGACCACAAGTTCGACCTGATGTACGCCAAGCGTGCGTTCGTGCACTGGTACGTCGGTGAGGGTATGGAGGAAGGTGAGTTCTCGGAGGCTCGTGAGGATCTTGCGGCTCTGGAGAAGGACTACGAGGAGGTGTCGGCCGAGACCGCTGAGGGCGAGGGCGAGGAGGAGGAGCTCGGCGAAGAGTACTAGTTATGCTAACCGGGAAGCCGCAGATGCAGTTGCAAATGCTTGACTCCCGGTGGATGCAGAGCTTGAGTTGCACTCTTGTGCCGAGTGGGTGGGGATCGCACACATTCATTCGTAGGTGTCGTCTCTTGTGTTGGAGACGCTACCTCGCTTAGGCTAGTCTGCAGTTATGAATCATGCGCATTGTACGCGCACCTCAGTCAATATAAAGCTCGCATGCTTTTGCCGTCATTGTCTACTGCATTCACACTTGCTGCTTCAGGGCGATCTTGAAGCAATCTTCACCTAAGCAATTTATCTTGTACTGTTGTTGGAATAACAGCCGAATGAAAGCAATGTCATCTTCGCCTTGACGTGTCTTACCAGACAAACGTGCGGATAGCACCAGACAGAACCGACGTGTCCAGCACGTCGTCGCCCACCTGCACTTGGAATTCAGCCGTCTCCGTGTTCTCGTTCATCACCACCAGCACCTTGCGGTTATCGGGCGTCACAAACGCAGTCGCCTGGACGAACGAGTAGCCCGTCGTCACGCACTGGTCAGTCGCTGACGCGAGCGAGCGCAGCGTGCCGTCTTCAGCGTTGAACGTCCACTGCTGGTGGGGCACCACCTCATCCTCGCACTTGTCCGCAGTGACACGCACACCATCCTCCGTCGATCCACGGCTCAGAGACAGACAGATATCGTCGATACGAATGCGTTGCGTGTCCTCCTCGAACGTCCAAGTCTGCTGCATCCATCGGCACTCACCCAGTCGGACTTCGTGGCCTTCACTTGCGGTTGGCACCAGGTTCAAGCAGAATGGCGTGTTCGTCACCTGCACCTTGTTATCATCCGTCCTGTGAAGCGTCTGGCGAGAGCTACCATCGCACGTTGCGAGGGAAGACTGGTAGTCCACGTACAGCTGCGCATCACCAGGCTTCTCGAAGTGAGCAGCAACTTGCACGTTCACGCGACGCGAGCCGACTGGGATAAACCGAGAGAAGTGCTGGATGAAGTAGTACATGGGCTGGATCTTGAAGTCCGAGCCGTCTTTGGTCAAGATGATCGGGGCATCGCAAAGATTGCCCTTGTGGTTGGGGCCACCGGTGTGGTCCAGCAGCAAGTTCCAGTCAACCCAGCCCGCAACGTGATTGTTGAGATCCGACAGAATGTCGTGGCCGTAGCGCTGGGCTCGGAACCACGCGTCCTGCCCGACTGCAACACCGGGACAGTTGCAGCTTTCAGACGCCAGCATGAAGCGGTTCTGGTCCACGTAATGCGTGTCGTTCAGGTGCTCAGGGTAGTCCACGCCGTCCATGTAGCGCTCACCGCCGTCCTCGTACCAGTGGAAGGCCATACCGTCGACGTACTTGCTGGCAGTGGGGTGGTTGTAGATCACCTCCGCCCAGTGGTGTACATTGTTGCGGTTGTGGTCAAAGACCATGAGCGTGAGGTCCGGGTGATCACGGTCCAGAACGGGCCCCAAGTACTCGCCGATAAATTCAGCCTCATACTCAGGATCATAAGCACAAGCCTCCCACGGCGCCGCAAACTCCGGCTCATTCTGCGGCGAGAGACCCCAGAACGGGATGCCGTGCTTTTTGTAGGCCGTGATGAACTTGGAGAAGTAGAGTGCCCATGGTGCACGCATGTCGTCTCTCAGTCCAACGGGCTTCAACGATCCCAGCATGCTGGCGTTGTACTCCGAGCTCGACCGCTTCATCCAGGCCGGAGGGCTCCAAGGCGCCAAGAACAGCTTCATGTCGGGGCGGCGCTCCAGCGCGCGCTTGATGAACGGGATCATGGTCTCCATGTCGTGCGTCACGTCCACATCAAAGTCCACCAGATCCATGTCGTCCACCGTCTCAGCAAAGCTGTAGGACGCCACCGAGAAGTCGCACGAACCCATGGGCACGCGGCCGAAGCTGTAGGCGCTGCCCTTCTCCTTGTCGAAGTAGAGCGTCAGAACCTCCTCCTGCTTCTCCAGCGACAGCTTCTGGAACTGCAGCGCCGCCGCCTCCGTGAAGGCACCTCCGAAGCCCATGATCTCCTGGAACTTGGTGTCCAGGTCCACGGCGATGAACGACTTGACGTTCTTCTCTCCACCCTTCTGCCACTTGAGACCCTGGATCGGCTGCATCATGTTGGTCACATTGGCCACGTACGAGCTCTGGAAGCACGTGACGTCGCCCTCGTCAGGCGTCGCAGTGGCCACAGTCGAGGCCGCCGAGTGCGACCCAGAAGTGGAGAAGCCCAGCACCAACAGCCCACCGGCGATGATGCCCGTGGACGCGCCAATGAGCCCCCACTTGATCCACTTGCGTCGAGCAGCAGCGCGAGCGCTCAGCCGCTCGTCACTCGCAAGCGAGCTCGTGCCGTACGCAGTGGGCTCCGACCGGGACGCCATGCTTCAAACTCAGTCTCAATCCGCTTGGCAACCTCGAGGCGAATTGGATACTGGGCAACGCTGGCTGCTTGCGAAGATCGCAAAAAATTGTTCTCAAACCCTCCTTTGTTTGCATACCCTGTCAATACCGAGTAATGTAGCTATATTTGTTTAAACATTTCACGGTTGAAGACACTCACACCGATGCAAGCATCCCAGTCTCCCTTGAAAGCTGCTTTAGTGAAGGCTTGCACGCCAACCGAGCACATCAAAAGTAGCAGAAGGCCCCCAACCTGCAGTCATTGAGCAAAATGATGTTGCCGGTGGAACACCTTTATCTTTTAATACCCCACGCAAGACGACTCATGTTTGGATATCGGATGTGAAGCACCTGAGTTTCAACACTGGGACGTCAGGCTGCCGTAAAGTTGCAGCGTGCAAGTCAACAAATATCGCGTGTACTTAAGTATTTGTCATCATGCAGCAATCGGCATGAAGTAGCCTCTATGAGCCGTAAGCTCAGGTTTGATCGGAACGTTGAGATCATCGGTTGGGCTTCCGTCGTATTCCTCGTAATCGTGTTTCTTGGCTGTCGGAAGAAGATCATGTAAATCGTACCTGGGCTTATACTGGGATAGCAGTGGCCGATGGGTCATGCTGCTAGGCAGCACCTCGGTAACTGAAGCCGGTAGCTGAGGCCGGTATTCGTGGTCCCGTGTCACTATCTGTCTTTCTCTTGGTGACCCGGTTACTGAAGCTGGTAACTGAGTCACTATCACTTTCTGTCCCAGTCGAGCTAAACATCAATCGTGATCAACTGAACATGACTTCCGCATTTCGAATTCGGCCTACCCGCTCAGATTGGTGATGCCGTACCTACCTATCTACACGCTTCCTGCCTCGCGAGCTACAACGATTGCCGTAATACCACCACCAAGGCCCCCTGGCGACTAGGAAAGCGCAAACGTTGATGCAAACCTTTTCCTGTCTCCTTGCCAAGATATGAACTGCTGCACGTGCGAAACTAGTGCATTGAAAGATACGCGCGGGCAATTGTTTTTAATGAAAAATTTAAATGCAACTACGTAGTATAAGATAGAAGCGACACTCAATCTAGGTAGTATTGTGCGTTTCATGCATTGGCGGAGACGACTTATATATTGACAATGTAGAGGACGACTTGCACGGGATTACGTTTCAGTGACATGAAAGAAGAATTGTCAGAAGCGCAACGAGCTAATGGTGAAAAACAACGAATGAAAGGTTGAATCATCCACCATTCGTTTTCGCTACTCGCCAAACTGCAAGTTACTTGTTAGATAGTTTTCTCAAAGCAGTATTTGTATACAGCATCGGAAAAATCATGTGCTATGAACCGTACTATGGGGAATAGTTTTTCCTCTCGAAGCGTCAAGTACTTGTAAGTACAGCAAAATGCTTAAACATTCTGCTGTTTCCTCAAACCATGGCATTAATGTAATGATCTCAAACCAAATTCGTGGACACTGAACCAATGTTCAACACACTAGAATATCCCCCGACCAGCGAGGCGTTTATAGTGTCCCTCTGTGGCGTAGATCAGCACTTTGACGGGGTAAGTTCTGGCCGTGACAACTAATTTGTGCTTTGCCACCGGAACGACTGGCAAGGACGAGATGACGCTCGAATCCTATGGCTAGTGGTTCTGACACAAAAAGGCAGTCGCACGGCTAGCGCGGCAACATCAACTTCAGCACGCAAGACCACTCTAACGCCACGACCGCTGCGAACGACTAGTTTTCAAGTTGGTAGGGGTGTCTGTGACGCGCGTCTCGTCGACTAGAAGATGTGGCCACGCTACCAAGTGTACCAACATATTGACAGATATGATAGCAGTGTTGCACATCTTGCGACGCCCACAAATTCAGGACCCGAAAATGACAAGACATGCTAAGATGCTGCATTTATTGGCTTTGCAGATAAAATGTCGCCCCGTTTTATGGCCTAGATCGAGGTAGGCCGGTCCACAAATCAGGGCACAAATCAGAGGGGGTAGCATGGACGATCTCGATTTACTTAGATCGACCTCGAATTACGCTTTTGAAAACGCAAAAAGGATCGATTTACCGTAGATCGACCTTGTTCTACTCAAATCCACCAGCAGGTCGACCTCGAGCCCTGATTTCGATTGGCGTAGGTCGAGTTATTAGCCGGCCTAAATAGATCGATCTGTCCCTTTCTTTGACCCCGTTTTATTAAATCGAGATTTATTATAACTCGAGGAGAACTCCAAGTCAAAACGACAAAACGTTTGCAAAGCACAATACTAAAAACTTATATAATCCGCCAGAATTTTCATAAAGGTATCGCTCACGAAGCCGTCTGGATTCATAGCGCTTCTTATCACTTGCTAGGCAAACAAAGCGGTGGATAGTTGAACTTCCAGCGACCGTGGTAGCGGTCGGATTCCTCTTTGATTGTCGTGATATGCCCCCGGATGTTGGCGAAGTACTCCAATGTCGTTGGTAGTCGTGAGACGATCAGACCACCGTGCCCCTCCAGACAGAGCATACTATTTGGTGTCAAAAGCCTGGTTGCTCCCGTAAAATTGCTATCCCAGCCTAAGCGTAGCCCTAGTAATAGACACCTCATGACCAACTTAGCTCCAATCAAGCGCGAAAATGTACCAAGGATGGATTGATGCTAGCATCTAGGTCGAATATATTGTTGTACTCTAGTAGTTTTGCTCTATGCCAAGGCACTGCCTTGGGTGGTGTTCGTAGTCGTAGTCGTATAGAGTCGGGTGTCACGCACCATTTCGCATCTGGACATGCATATATAAGTCGTCGACGGGTGCCTTACATCCAAGTGAACGTGCGGATGGCGCCCTTCGGGATCGTGGTCTCGAGAGCCATGTCGCCGACCTGAACCTCAAAGTTGGCGTCCTCCGTATTCTCGTTGAGCACCACGAGCACCTTGCGGTCCTCGGGCGTCACGAACGCAGTCGCCTGCACGAACGAGTAGCCGCCGGTCACGCACTGGTCACTAGTTGAGGCCCGAGAGCGTAGCGTGCCGTCCTCCTCGTTGAACGTCCACTGCTGGTGCGGCACGACCTCAGCCTCGCAACGGTCTGCCGTGATGCGGACGCCGTTGGCCGTGGATCCGTGGTTGAGCGACAAGCAGAAGTCTCCGACGCGGATGCGGTCAGTCTCCTCCTCGAAGGTCCACGCCTTCTGCAGCGGGTACTGACACTCCTCCAATTGGATCTCCTTGCCCTGCCACATCGCGTCTACCATGCCCAAGCAAAACTTGGTTCCTGTCACTTGGATCTTGCTGTCATTGACCCTCTGAATCGTCTGGCGAGCGCTGCCATCGCACGCTGCGAGTTCTGTGCGGTAGGCCCACATGAGCTGAGCATCTCCGGGCTTCTCGAACCGAACGGCCACTTGGGTCTTGACGCGGCGCGAACCAACGGGAATGTACTTGGAGAAGTGCTGGATGAAGTAGTACATAGGCTGGATGCTGAAGTCCTTGCCGTCCTCGGTCAGAATAATGGGGGCGTCACAGTTGTTGCCTTGGTGATTGGGGCCGCCCTTGTGGTCAAGCAGCAGGTTCCAGTCGACCCAGCCAACGACGTGGTTGTTGAGGTCCGTCATAATGTCGTGGCCGTAACGCTGCGCGCGGAACCATGCAGCGTCTCCGTAGGCAACGCCAGGGCAGTTGCAGCTCTCCGTGGCCAGCATGAAGCGGTTCTGGTCAATGAAGTGCGTGTCGTTGAGGCGCTCGTGGTAGGCCACTCCGTCCATATAGCGGTCAATGTCGTACCAGTGGAAGGCCATGCCATCCACGTACTGCGCAGCTGTGGGGTGGTTGTAGATCGCCTCGGCCCACTGACGAACACTCGCACGGTTGTGGTCGAAGACCATGAGCGTAAGCTCAGGGTGGTCACGGTCGAGGACGGGACCAAGAAAGTCTCCAATGAATTCAGCCTGGTACGACGCGTTGTATCTGCAGGCCTCCCATGGTGCAGCAAACTCGGGCTCGTTCTGAGGCGTCAGGCCCCAGAACGGAATGCCCTGCTTCTTGTACGCAGTGATGAACTTGGAGAAGTACAGCGCCCAACTTGCGCGCATGTCGTCCTTGAGCCCCACCGGGTCCATCGACCCAAGCATGCTCGGCGTGTACTTGTCGTCGCCACGCTTCATCCAGGCAGGCGGGCTCCACGGGGCGAGGAAAAGCTTCATCTCAGGCTGACGCTCCAGCGCGCGCCTGATGAACGGAATCAACACTTGCTGATCGTGCTTGACGCTCATGTCAAAGTACAGCAGCTGTGTGTCGTTCAGCACGTCATCGAAGCTGTAAGAGGAGACCGAAAAGTCACAGGACCCCATCGGGACGCGGCCAAAATTGTACGCGCTGCCCTGCTCCTGGTCAAAATAGAGCGTCAAGACCTCCTCCTGCTTGTGACGAGGCAGCTTCTGGAACTGCAGCGCCGCCGCCTCCGTGAACGCGCCTCCGAAGCCCATAATCTCCTGGAACTTGGCCTCCAGGTCCACCGCAATGTGCGACTTGGAGTTCTTCTGAGCCCCACGCTTCCACTTCAACCCAGTGACGGGCTCCATCATGCGGGTGACGTTGTCAATATACGAGCTCTGGAAGCACGCGACCTCGGCATCCACCGCCGGCGCCGCGTTCTTGAACACGCTTGTCGTGGATCTCAGCGTCGCAGCGACTGCGTCGTCGTGGATCGAGCTGGTGCCCAGCAACGCCAGTGTGCTGCAGATGCCACACGTCGCCAGGCCAAAGACTCCCCACTTGACGAAGGTGTGGCGCTTGGAGGCCATTTGGTTGGCCAGTCGCTCGTCGACCGCCAGGGAACTCGTTCCGTAGGCGGTGGGCTCCATGTTGCTTGAAGACGTGCAGCAGCTCGGGTCGGGGTCGGCGTAGCTTCCTTCCGGCTCGGCGTCGGCAAATTGGAGACTGAAAGCTCGTTCTTGGCAGGCGCGCTTGCAAATCTCACTTCGCTCTTCTGCTGGGATGGCGTTGGATCGCTGCGGACACGTGTGATGCTCCTTTATTTTTGTGTGGAGCGCAGCGATTAACGCGAAAGGGTGCGACTGACGTTGAAGTGGCTGGCCGTTAATTTATCTTGGTCTCTCTATGCCAAGTTGAAGCGGCGAAATGCAGCTCATAAGATCCCAGCAATCGTGGCCGTCCGTTTTCCGTTTCGCGCGTGCGAGGCTTGGAGCAGGCTCTGCGACGCCTGGTGAGGACCAGACACCGGGCCACAGCAGGGGTCTTCACTGCCGATTGAAGATTCGATGCACTTCTATCTGCCTGATACCATCGGAGCTGCACGCTCGGTTTCGCTACACGAGGGTGGTCCGTTGCTGGCGTTGGATTCGTCCCGCAACGGTGCAACTTCAAAACTGAAGTTGTGAGAACGAATTGGCAAATTGAGATCTTGATATGTATGAATTGCTCTACCGGCTAACTAGCTGGACGACGCATTATAATAGCAAGCAGATGCGTTCCTACTTACTTGGCTACGGCTATCAATCGGGCTAGGTGACTTTAGTACTCTTCGCCGAGCTCCTCCTCCTCGCCCTCGCCCTCAGCGGTCTCGGCCGACACCTCCTCGTAGTCCTTCTCCAGAGCCGCAAGATCCTCACGAGCCTCCGAGAACTCACCTTCCTCCATACCCTCACCGACGTACCAGTGCACGAACGCACGCTTGGCGTACATCAGGTCGAACTTGTGGTCGATGCGCGAGAACACCTCGGCGATGGCGCTCGTGTTGGAGATCATGCACACGGCGCGCTGCACGCGGGCCAGATCACCGCCAGGCACCACCGTCGGCGGCTGGTAGTTGATGCCGCACTTGAAGCCCGTCGGACACCAGTCCACGAACTGGATCGTGCGCTTCGTCTTGATGGTGGCCACGGCCGCGTTCACGTCCTTGGGGACGACGTCGCCGCGGTACATCAGACACGCCGCCATGTACTTGCCGTGGCGAGGGTCGCACTTGGCCATCATGGACGCCGGCTCGAACGCGCTGTTGGTGATCTCGGCCACCGACAGCTGCTCGTGGTACGCCTTCTCGGCCGAGATCACGGGCGCGTACGAGCTCAGCATGAAGTGGATGCGCGGGTACGGCACCAGGTTCGTTTGGAACTCGGTCACATCGACGTTCAGCGCACCGTCGAAGCGCAGCGACGCCGTCAGCGACGAGATCACCTGCGCGATCAGGCGGTTCAGGTTCGTGTACGTCGGGCGCTCGATGTCCAGCGAGCGGCGGCAAATGTCGTAGATGGCCTCGTTGTCCAGCATCACGGCGACATCAGTGTGCTCCAGCAGCGAGTGCGTGGACAGCACCGAGTTGTACGGCTCCACGACGGCCGTCGACACCTGCGGCGACGGGTAGATGGTGAAGCCGAGCTTACTCTTGCGGCCGTAGTCGACGGACAGACGCTCGAGCAGCAGAGCACCCAGACCCGAGCCGGTGCCGCCGCCCACGGCGTTGAAGACCAGGAAACCCTGCAGACCCGTGCAGTTATCGGCCAGCTTACGGATGCGGTCGAGCACCAGGTCGACGATCTCCTTGCCGATGGTATAGTGGCCACGCGCGTAGTTGTTGGCGGCGTCCTCCTTGCCGGAGATGATCTGCTCCGGGTGGTAGAGCTGGCGGTACGTGCCGGTGCGCACTTCGTCGCAGACGCTGGGCTCCAGGTCGACGAGCACGGCGCGAGGCACGTGCTTGCCGGCGCCGGTCTCGGAGAAGAAGGTGTTGAAGGCGTCGTCTCCGCCGCCGATGGTCTTGTCGCTGGGCATTTGGCCGTCGGGCTGGATGCCGTGCTCGAGGCAGTAGAGCTCCCAGCAGGCGTTGCCCGTCTGGATGCCGCCCTGGCCGAGGTGGATGGAGATGACTTCACGCATCTTGAGGGGGTTGAGTGGGGGTGGAGAAGGGTACTCTGGAGTCGACGCGCGGCTGGAGAAGCTACGAGGAAGCTGGGTGATGAAGCTTACTCGGGTTCCGAAGACGCTGCTGGGCTTGGGCTTGGGAGGAGAATTGTGAATGGGCAGAGGCGTCGGCGTCCTTTTGTTTGGAGATCTCTGCAACTATAGAAACGACTCGCTCCTTCCCAAGCGGCGGCCAAACTTGTCCGTTTCCACCTTTTCCGCCTTGTATAGCTCAACTTATTTGTGCTGATGCCAAAGTGCTGCGCCAACATTCTGACAAGAGCGTAAGCTGTAGTAACGACCATGTATTGAACTTGTGGCCAACACCAAGAATGCTGGTGCCTTCATATGCTGCTGCGTTTCGCTGTGCTTAATGCATACTTCTCGCTGATCAAGAAAGTATCTTTGTTTTGTCGTATACACCATCGAGGAGAATTTTCTACCCCCTATATTTTATGGTACCAATCGATTCCATTTCGTCTCCTAAGTTCGAGCATGGGTCTCGCCACGCATGGCACGTCTTGGTTTTATTGAAAACAAGCAAAACGTTTGGCCCGAAATAATCTTAGGCTAAGTATAGTACCAATCAAGCCTGTGTTTCACGATATAATTAGACCATCCGTTTGGACAGGGTAAGTACAAATACAGTCAAAATTCGATTTCGTGATTGGCCAAAACAATGATGCGGTTAGGCGACAAAATAGCCCGAGCCGTTCTTTGGTGTGCTGTTTTCTGCTGTTTTTGGCATACAATCGAAAAGGCGATCCAAAGCGACCCTGAAAGTCTGAAATAGAACGGACCAAAAACGAAAAAGTTATGACCAAAACTCTCCTCGATGCTGTCGCGGTCTGTGAAGTCGGATCCTGAAGTTGCAGTCGGAAGCTGAAATGCAGTTCTGTCATGTACATGGGATTCAACGTGTGTATGTCGTGGCGACGGCGCCGCCAGCGTTTTTCGCAATGATTATGATGGCGAGTCCAAGATGAAGAGCGCATGCCACGAAAGACACGAAAACGATGAACTGCGTTTTCATTGCCCTCAATTACTATTGCGCGTTCTAGTCGAACTTTCCGAAGTCGATTGATTGAATCGACCGAGCCAAATCGCCAGCAACCGCCCGAGATTTTGATCTGACTTGAGTTTACTATGTACGCAATAAAGTACGAAATAAGAAGTCGCTCAGTCGATTCCAAGACTTGAAATTTGTATTCAGCGATTTCAACCCATATGGTAAAGCGACCCGAATCGGCAATATTGGCCAGAATTCACAATACTAGTATCTAATGCTGGCAGTGATGGCACGAGCCGCTCCAAAAATCATTTTAGTCTCTGTCAGCCACCACCTCAGTTCGTCGGGCGCGTGGCGATCCAGTACAGCGAGTTGGTCCGCGAGCTGCCGTCGTCGAAGAAGGTCATGTTCTGAACCTTTGTCCACGCGGTGGTGGGGTCAATGATGGCCAGGTCCAGGTACGCGTAGCCCTTCCAGCGGTCCTCCATCGGGTCTTCCACACGGCCGAACGCCTGCTGCTGCAAAATTGGGTACTCCTCCTGGACGTACGCGGGCTTCAAAAACGCATCCGTGATGGGCGTGAACGGGATCATGTTGATCAGATGCATGTGCTCAATCTCAGGTCCGAACCACGTCGTGTACGACACCTTCGTCGCGGCCACTTGCCCCGTCATCTTGTTGGCAGTGTAGATCGGCTCATAAATGTTCGAGCTGGACGGCATCTGCCAGTACGTCTGCGCACCACGGATCTCCATAGCGAGCAGAAGATGTCCCATGCGCTCCACCTCCGGCACCTTGAAGGACTTGCCCACCAGGTACACGCCGTAGTAGGCGTTAACGGCTTCACTCACACTCTCCTGGGACTTGCCGCCGTCGAGGGTGTACACACCGCTGGCAAACGAGTGACTGTCGAACCAAGAAAAGTGGCGCGTAAACGGGAAAAAGGTGCTGCGATACAAGGAACAAATTTCACCATGTCAGTTCAGGTGCAAAGCAACTTTAATACACCCAAACGAGTGAGCACAGCAACTTACTCGCTCTGGTCCGGGCTTGCAATGTCACGAACAATAGCCATCACAGCCGTCTTGTGCGTCTTGACGAAGTCCGGGCGGAACTTGCCCACCACAGCAACAGCATACAAGAAGTAGCCGTAGTGGAAGTGCTGCAACAACAACAAATATTCATAAACATCAGTCGGCATACAAAAGCTGTGCTCAATAAGCTGGTGTCACACGTACGTGGTCGTTGTACCATCCGTTCCCGAAGTCTGTCATCCAAAACACGCCCTTCAGCCCGTTGAGTGAGCACAAGCCACCCCAACTGCGGTCGTAAACGAAGTGGTCACCGTTTTGGCCAAGCATCCACGGGGTCAACCACTCCTCAAGCTTGTCGAGAATCTCGTCACGGATGCCCTTCTCGTCGAGCTTGTCAGCAATCAGAACCAAACGCGCTTGGCGACCAATCTCCTTGCCGAAGTAGTACGGGTCCTCGGCCTCGGGGGTGTAGTTGGAGTCATTGGCGAGCGCCACCTTGATCGCCTCGAGATGCTGCGGCTGAATCTGCACGTTTTCCTCCTGGAACGAGGCCGTCGGCAGCGTCTCCTGCATCACCCAGCAGCTTCCGAGAACCGCCGTCATGTTCGACTTGAGCGTGCGGTGTCCAAACTGTCCAAGCACCTGGAAAGCATCGCTGTCGGCCTTCAGCGTCGCCGCGTGGTGCGGGTTCGCCAGCATCAGTAGCTCAGCGGTCGAAGTCGAGTTCAAGTTCGACTCGCCGAGATCAGGGAAGCGCTTCGTCTTCCAGCAGAACGAGAACGAGGCGTCGACGTCGCCCACATCCGTCGTAATCGAGGAGCCAACCGGGTAAATGGCCGCAGCCTTGTCAAGAGCATCCACGGCCGCCTGCGACGCCCCCTGCGGGACAATCGCGAGCCGCGCAGTTCCGGAGTAAAAGTCCGTGTCCACGAGGCGGATGTTGGTGGGGGTGGTGAGCTCGCCGCGCCAGTTGTACGGGCGGTAGTCCTTCTCGTTGGCGAACTGCAGCTGCAGCGTGCGCACCTTGTCAAAGTACAGGATCCACTTCTGCTGGGACTTGCCCGTGCCCTGCGCGCTGTCTCCAGCGCCGTACACCTCCGTGTCCAGTTCAAAGCGGTCACTCGTCCACGTCTGCAGCTCGTTCCACTGGGCCAGCGGGTCCCTTTGCTCCACCGGCACCCCGTTGACGGCCAGCACCGTGGCGTTGAACTCGAGCACAGGCAGCACGTTCTGGTACTCCACCGTCACGTAGGGCGAGCCACGCACCATGGGCGCCTTCATCCACTTGCCGTCCTCCCCGAAGTAGTACTGGAGCAGCACTGACAGCGCGTCGAAGCCCACGACGTTCCTGGACGTGCTGTTGCCGTCGCCCAGCAGCGCGCGGGGCGCGGTGTCGTTGCCGCCGGCTGCCGGCACCACCTTGTGGCTGTAGGCCGTGAAGCTGGCGTCCACGTTGAAGTACTCGGTGACGGCGTCCTTCGTGGCCACGCGGCGCGAGTCGCCGTACGAGACCTCGAGGCGCTTGGGCAGGCTGCGCACCGTGTAGGGGCTGAGCGTGACCTCGCCGCCGCCGGCGTTGAGTCCGTGGCTGTCGCCCACCATCAGGTTGGACCAGAACTCGTTCGTGGGCAGCGCGCGGCCGAAGCCGCTGCGGCGCACGAGCTTGGGCGGGATCGGGTGCAGCTTCTCCTCGAAGGGCGGCCGCATGGTCAGCAGCTCGGCGTCCGTGAGCTCCACAGGCGCTGGGGCGGCCGTCGTGGGCTCGGGCGCGGCTGTGGAGGCCTCCGAGGCCTTGCGCGAGCCGTCGCTGGCCACGAGGATGCCGATGGTCACGACGGCCACGAGCGCCAGCGGCACGATCACGAACAGCGCGCGGCGCAGCGGGGGGCGCGCGCGCGCCTGGGCCGCGCCAGAGCGGCCCTGCAGCAGCGGCGAGTTCTCGTTCACTGCGGCCATGGAGACTTGGCACCGAGACGCAGCAGAATAAAGAATGATCGGATCCCTTGCGAGGTATCTATCCTGATTCGCGGCCCCATAGTGAAAGCAAGATGTCTGCTGCGACGCGGGACTGACGTCAGATTTGATGGCCGCGGCGGGCTGGTTATCAGAGACCAAACAACGATGGCGTTGGATGGCGATCGCCATGCGTTCGACGTGCACGGTGCGCTTCATCAATGGTTACCCTACCGTACCGGACATTGCTGCAGTTCGGCTGTTGCCTGGTTGCCTGGCCCTGTCGTAGTCGTGTGGAAGCCAACTCGAACGGACAGCAATGCCAATGCGTTGAGTCGAGTCTCGATGTTGGGCTACAGAACAACTCTACCATACTCACTTTCGTCTCTGCACAACAGTGTCAATCATGGTCTTCTACCGGCAGCACCCGCGTTTATCGCACACTGTGGCAAACATGCAGGCAGCAAACTGTTTGCTGTTTGATTGCAGTAATACTGTAGCTCTTAGTTTCTAAAGCCATTCTGCGTTGCAATCTCCACGGCTCGATGGCGAGGAGGAAGTATTGAAAACGACCGATTCTTTCTCGTTCGCAACCACGATTGAAGAGCAGCAGTTTGGTCTTTGCGATACTTAGGAAGCGGGGTATTGCATCATGCAGGCATGCAATTTGCATGCCGTCCACGTGTAACTTAGTCTAAGTAAGTTACTTAGAGGCCGGTACCTTCGGCGCGTCGGGACCACCGAATCTTGAGGCGCACTCCTCCGAGTCAACAGATCCCACGGAGTGAGTAAAGCAAAAAATAGAAGATCGGCGTCCCGTTTTTAACGTGCTGCAGCCACCAAAAGTATCAGTTATGCCGGCGATTCCGGATGCTACTGTGTGCGTTGTGTGACACATATCTTGCCGCCACTTCAATCACAAGCCACCATACAAAACGCCAGTCGAACGCATCCCTCAACCGTCACCACTCCACCTTTTTAGCAGCCCCTGGGTACCTACATCTGCGCAAGCGGCTCACTTCTGAATCGACCGAGCAGCGCGCAAGTCGAAGTCTGCGCATCTTCGCTACTGTAGCCATGACGAGGGAGCCCACAGTCTACGGCACGGCCTCCTTGGCCTCCGACGAGCGGCTGAGCGCGCGCGCGACGCGGCGACGCGCCCTGATCAAGTGGGGCCTCGTGGGGCTCGGCGTCTGCGGAGTGTGCACCGTCTTGGCCATCTTCGGGCTGACGAGGCTGCCGGAGGACGCTGCAGTGGTCCCCACTGAGGCGACAGAGTCGTCGCCCGACGCGAAGGCTGCTGCGCCGGCCCTGGAATCGGAGGTCGCGTGCGTCCAGAGCTCGTACGTGGACAACGTGACCAACATGATGGAGCCGATCACCGGCCTCAAGTGGACGCACGGCGCTCAGCCGAACGCGGCGTCCGTCATTGTTGTGGACGTGGAGACCAAGTTCCAGGAGATCTTGGGCTTTGGAGGAGCCTTCACGGAGGCGGCGGCTCTGCAGTTCAACAAGCTGTCGCCGGAGAAGCAGGAGGAGGTGCTCACGCTCTACTTCGACCAGCAAAAGGGCAGCGCCTACATCTTTGGTCGTGTGCCCATGGGCTCGTCCGACTTCTCGGCGGGATCGTACAGCTTCGACGATGTGGTCAATGACACGGAGCTCACCCACTTCGACGAGGAGGTGAAGCACGACCAGGAGGTGCTCATCCCCTTCATCAAGCGCGCGCTCGAGCGCCAGCCGAACTTGAAGCTGTTCACGGCTCCGTGGAGCCCGCCGGCCTGGATGAAGCGCGCGGCGCTGGACTACTCGCCTAGCATGCTCAACTCCGCCAAGCCCATTGGTTTGAAGGACGATGCTCGTGCGACCTGGGCTCTGTACTTCTCCAAGTTCATCACGGCTTACAAGAACCAGGGAATTTCGTTCTGGGGCCTAACTCCGCAGAACGAACCGCAAGCAGAGGTCCCGTGGGAGTCGTGCATGTACACGGCTGAGTACCAGGCTGAGTTCATCGGAAACTTCCTGGGACCCATGCTGAAGCGCGACCATCCCGAGCTGGTGCTAATGGTCTTCGACCACAACCGTGGAAGTACCCGTCAGTGGGCGGAGGTGATCTACAACCACTCTATGGCAGCGCAGTACGTTGACGGTATGGCCTTCCACTGGTACGACGACGAGCGCTACATGGATGGTGTCGAGTATCACGAGCGTCTGAATGACACGCACTTTGTGGACCCGAGCCGCTTCTTGCTGGCAACGGAGAGCTGCAACTGCCCTGACGTGGGTCACGGCGACCTTGCCTGGTTCCGTGCGCAGCGTTACGGCCACGACATTATGACGGACCTGAACAACTACGTGGCTGGCTGGGTGGACTGGAACCTGTTGCTCGACCACAAGGGCGGACCCAACCACTTAGCGAACATGTGCGACGCCCCCATCATTCTGACGGAGGACGAGACGGACTTCTTCATCCAGCCCATGTACTACTTCATTCAGCACTTCTCCAAGTACATTCCGGTGGGCTCGCGCCGTGTCAAGACGGAGGTGGCGGCACGCTTCGCTGAGCCCGGTGAGCCTCAGCTGTACGTCGACTACCCCTCGATGCTGGCGGCTTGTGACGGCAGTTCTCGCCAGAAGTGGCGTCCGACCGACGACGGCAAGCTGGAGGTCACTGGCACCGGCTTCTGCATTGACCTCAAGGAGATCCCGTGGCAAGGCCACCAGGGTCTGCTGGTCGACTGCAGGTACACGCAGCAGCACTGGACCTACGAGCTTGACACGGGCCGCATTCGTATGGGCGACTACTGCATCTCGCTCAACCACGGCTCAACCCAGAACGGTGTGCGCATCAGCACCGACCTGTGCGAGGAAGAGGTCAAGTCGCACCAGCAGTGGAGGTTCGACGTTGAGGATGGCACGATGCGCTCGTATGCGTCGACGACGGACCAGTGCGTGACTGCTGGCTATGCTTTCGTGCAGGCAGCGGCTTTCGTGACCCCGGAGAACCACAAGGTGCTCGTGGTCATGAACGAAAACACTGAGCCGGCTGACTTTGAGATGCAGGTGGGTGGAGTGGCGCTGGAGACGACGGTGCCGAAGGGTGCGATCCGGACTTTTACCTGGGAGTAAGGGAGCTCGTTGGTTGCAACGATGGTGGCGTACTATGTGTAAAAAGAGGGAGAAGGCTCAAGACAGAAGACAGCAGCTATACAATGACGAGGAGGACAAGTGTAAGCATCAACATCACTACCTAACTCTTGCACAATCTAATGTATATTGTTGCTGCTCAGCTTTCTACTGTAGTTTCATTAGCTTTGCTTCTTCGTGTCTGCAGGGTCCAGCGACAGGTCTCGCAGCAGGTCATTCCACAGGTCGCGATCGTAGGGGTCCGCCTCATTTCCCACTCCGCTGCCGAGCGGGTGATACTCTTGATCGTCGGGATTGTAGTTGTCTGGGGTCTCAATCTGCATCTCCACCGGCACTTTGCGCTTCTTGGGTCTCATCTCGAACACCTCGATCGCTTCCTTGAGGTAATCCGCATCCAGCTCCGCCTTGGGCACCTCCTTCCACTGGAAATAGCTGTCTAAGTGGCGCATGAACTCCGCGCGGACCTCCGGAGCACGACGCTCATTCGCCAAGAAGATCACCGTCTTACGGTGCGACAGCGCCAGCAGTGACTGCACCAACGGCTTGACGCAAGCCTTCTCGTACACCACGTCCGCGCACAAGATGCAGTCAAACGGCGCCTTCAAGTTCGTCACCGGCGTGCCCCTATCGATAACCACCAACACCAAACTCAATCAGCATTGTACCGGGCATTGCAGCTACAGCTATTAGCAGCCAGCGCAACTTCGTACCACGCGTGCTGCTCCACGCGGACGCGCTGCAGCTCCTTGTCCGTCAAGTTCTCCCTCACATTGCGTCGCAGCCACGGGAGCACGGGACCAATGTCCGTGAGCACCACATCCGCCAGGCCTCCAGTGATAATTGCACTGGCGATACCCGCGAGGCCCCCGCAGCCCGCGCCGAGTTCGCAGATGGACGAAAACCGCTGGAACCGCTCGGGCCGCTGCTCAATGAACTTGAGCAGCGTCTTGCTGCTGTCCCAGACGGTCGTTCCCAGCACGAACGAGTCCGGGTCCTGCTCCACCGACACCACTCGAGACTCGCCAATGGGCACCTCCACGCATCGCGCCCAGTGCGTGAACGAAGACTCGAGCTTCAGCGGCTGCGACTCGGTCAGCGCCTCCTCCGCCATTAGAATAATGGCCGGCTCACTTGTTTTCACTATAGTCACTAAAATGAGAGTAGCAATACCCGATAGAGTGACATTGAACTGAAAAATGCCGTATGGCGATGCCGTGTTGATGCAACAAGTCGCCACTCTCCGATCGTCCTCGCCAGCCTCACGTCGGTCGTCCGCAACGATGGAGCAGAACCAGTGGACACCAGCAGCAACGCGTACGCCACGCTGTGACTTATAAGGCTGTTGGTCATTGGAGAGAGCACGGCTGATGGTTATTTGCTGTTGCAGACGGCCCCTTGAGACGACACGAAGCTGCGGCGCAGCAGCGCGCCCTGCAGCTGGAGCAAGCGCGACAGAACCACCATATCTCTCCAGGTGAGTGCTGCAATAACTTTTTTTCTTGTGGGTTGAAAGGTGGCGCTTACATTTGTGCTTTGTCGATGTTGCACGGCGAATAGACGACTACAACCGGCAGGTGAGGAGGTGGACAAGTGGAGAGAGCTGACAGCGCTGGAGCTAATGGTTAGTGTTTTGTGCTATTAGCTGCACCTTTCGTCGTTTTCGTACCTTGCGAACGTGATGGCTCTGCGACGACACAAGATGCAAATGCAGCAAACGCAGTTCCAGTATGTGTTGCCTGTTTGCTTGGTGTCCTTAAAAGAAGTGCATGCAGTGCTAACACACATTTGTGTTGTAGGCGCAGCATGTACTAGCGACGTTGATGCCACCCTAGGATTTTTCTCTCGGAAAATATACTGTCCATGTTTTCACATGTCAGAGAGGTGAAACTGCAATCGATCGGGCTGAATCCACACCCAGCGGCATTTTGAGAGGCAAATATGGTTGCTCACTTCGGTTCACGTGTCATTTCGAACAAGCGTGGATGTTGAACATAACGCTCTCAAATACGGACTACAATCACTAGGGCACGTCAGTTGTTGCCTGTGCCGTCGATATTGGTAGGCGGGAAGCATCCAAGAGGATAAAAAAGAGAAACACAGCACCAGTTCTAGGACCCATGAGAACAACCCGCGATGCAATCTACCGTATTCGGGGTACCCGGACTGGTGGTCCGTGGGATTCGCAGTTCTCAGGAGCGATAAGATACCTACATCGAATTCTGACAACATAGACACACCCGCTCAAGTCGTACATGCGCATTTTCAATTAGTACTACGTATTACCCAATCAGACTCAGATTCCGCTCGCGCATTTCGTCGTCCGCAATACTACAGAACTCTGCCTGAATACCGAACGCCTGATATATATATAAGGGCTCTAGGTTTATATTGTGATCTCAGCGTTACCGGAGAAAAGGCTGTACTGAATTAGTTTATCTTAGACGGGTTTTGACGCTTGCTTGGTTAATCAAACCCGAGTAAAGCAGTGCTGACAGCGCTGACCTTCGACCAACCGTGTTCGCACCACATCAGTGCGGTTAGTAGCTCTACTTTGTACTACTCCTAGAGGGCTTAGCGGGTAGTGCGCAAATGTGAAAGTGGAATCGTAAATACAGAGAAGATCGCACAGACAATCAAAAGGGCGCCAATTTTCAAACTGCACAGCTTAGTACTTTTAGCGAAACAAAGGTATCCTGGGTTTTTACATCAGTATCTTTGCCCATCTCCGTTCGTCCTGTTGTTGGACCTTGAAGTATTATTTATATGAGGTTATGTATTGTGTACCCGTTCGGTATTGAGGCAGATTTCTGTAATTGTATACGTTATACTGGTAGTATAATGCTTTGCAAATAGCAACCGCGCTAGGATAGGATACTTTGGAATATTTTTTTTTACTATATTTTGAGCTGGAAAGTATACTTTACTATCAGTGAAACATCCGCCCTCAAAGTAAGTGTTAATCGCAGTGAAGAGCTGACAAATTACGTAGCAATAAAATAATTGTCCTAAACAAGCCTGCAGCTTAAATCTTGCGCCTGTGCGGTTGTAGCTCGTCCACGCTGGCAGCAGTAGGCCTTGCAACTCATCAGCATCAATAGGCCTCGCTTCAATTGTGTTCAACCCGTAGTTCCCTTTTCCGAAACCTTTTGTGAATTCCGTGATGGTGAAGGAGTCGTTTATTGCCATGTAAATCAGGATGAAAATACCCCCACCAGTGCCTCAATGACACAAGATGTCAGCAGGATCAAGATCTGTGACGCGCGCACAAGGTTCCGGCGGTCCGCCAAATTGGTCCGAGCCGATCTCGGTCCGAGTCGGTTAGCAGGAGCGCCACAGGTGGCTGCAGCGGGCTCGCAGCAAGTTGGTGGTTTGTAGAAGTAGGAGGCTAGGCATCCAGAAGCTACAGGCTCGCTCGCAAAATCTACTCAGTTCCCAATTTCATTCACATCAATCAAGTCCACGTGAGAAATGACAAAATATATTTTGTGGGCAGCCAATAAGAACATTTTCTTTATTTTTGTGAGTCTGTTTTTTGCCATCCACGATATATCAAGTGATCACTACGACTTACCTATGCTTTTTTGCATAAGTCTGAACTAGTAATTGGAGGCAATATATATTGTAAGAGCCGGCTAAAACGCCCACCTCTAGCGACACCCAATCAGATCTTAATCGCCAAATTAATCAGAGTACAAATCAGGGGTTAAGTCGATTGTGATCCATATGTACGCCAGACTGCACGATTGCCCAGTAAAAGTTGGGCATTCTGCTCCAAACGCATCTATATCGACTGGTTTCCCATAAGTCGATCGTCAGATAAGACGCTGCGCGCGGTCCGTGACGCCCCGCCATCTTGACGGGAGTTCGAGATTGGCGCCCGTGAGTGAAGGTCGCAGCACCGTCGCGAATGGCTACGTCCCGAGTTGAAGATGTGGTGCACACCACGGCTCAAGTCGCAGGAGTTTCGCACCTAAGACGCACCTTCCTTAGGTTCGCGTACCTACGAGTCTTCGGCGACTCTTCGGCGGCGTCTGTTGGTGCTAGAAGATCCGAAACGGACACGTTTAGACTTAGTATTTGTATTGGACTATAGGAAAGACAAGATAGAACAGATAAGCCCTTTGGGCAACAACACAGAACAGCTTTTCCTCTCAAGCGACAAGGCCTCGAGCGCACGGTGGACGACCCGTGTCCAAGGTAATCTTGTAGGGAGGGAGATGCCTGTCGGTGAGCGTGCCTACTAGCATAGTGGTGTGCGTTTACCCCGGCAAGGCCAAGAGAGTAGAGGAAGGGCCGTGTATTGAAGGCGAGTTACCGCCGTGTATTGGGTCGCAGCTTAAGTGCTCCCCTTTTGACCGTCGGAGAGTTCTCTGACACCCTCGCGAACGGCCTACCAGTGGCCAGGACCCTTCCTTTGGAGGGACCGCGGGGTTATTGCGTGTGAAGAGCACTCCAGTCGTCGCTCGTGACTGGAAGTGCTGGGTTTTGCTGGTGGCCTAAGGAAACCACGGGACATAAGGGGAAATGACCAACCCGAGGAACGGGTGTGAAGCTGGGCCTTTAGGTTCATATTCATTAACCCGACAAGCCTGCTGAGTTATTGCTACTCATCGTGACTCAGTGGGTGTTGTCTTAAGGATTGTGCCTACATCTACTAGAAAATCGGCGTGTTCCTACCCATGGTACGAAGTGGCCATCGACTCAATTGGCCCTTTCGGTAAACAGCAATTTCGAGGCGTGACCATCATCGACACTAGCACAAGGCTGTACGAGTTGCACCGATGCCAGCAGTGACGAAGCGGCATACATCTTCGATCGCTACTGGCTTTGCCGATACCCGCGCCCCGCTCGCATCATTTACGACCAAGGCACGGAGTTCAAGAAGGAATTCGTGGAGCTGCTGGAGAGCTACGGGATCGAGATGGTGTCAACAACAACTCGCAACCCGCAAGCCAACGGTGTGATTGAGCTTCTGCACCGCGTCATTGGCGACAAGATGAGGACGCAGGAGATCAACACGGCATCCGACTGGGAAGTGTTCCTCCATAATGTCACCTTCGCACTTCGAGCCTCGCACCACAGCATGTTGAACGCATCGCCGGCTCAAGCGGCGTTTGGCCGCGACATGATCGCGGACATCGTACACAAGACGGACTGGGCTGAGCAGTACCAGCGCAAGCTGGACCAGATCGCTCGCAACAACAAGCGCGAGAATGCGAAGCGCCGCGACTGGAAGTACGCGCCTGGCGACCGCGTACTGCTCAAGAATGATGCTGGCGTGCAGCCCAAGATGGCGCCGCTCTACAGTGGACCTTACGAGGTGATTGCTGTGCGCGAGAACGGAACGCTGGTGCTAGACAAGGGTCGCTACATCGAGACGCTGCACATCCGTCCCGTCGTCCCTGTCAAGTCCCAGCGTGGGGAAGAATGTCAGCAGGATCAAGATCTGTGACGCGCGCACAAGGTTCCGGCGGTCCGCCAAATTGGCCCGAGCCGATCTCGGTCCGAGTCGGTTAGCAGGAGCGCCACGGGTGGCTGCAGCGGGCTCGCAGCAAGTTGGTGGTTTGTAGAAGTAGGAGACTAGGCATCCAGAAGCTACAGGTTCGCTCGCAAAATCTACTCAGTTCCCAATTTCATTCACATCAATCAAGTCCACGTGAGAAATGACAAAATATAAAGGTGCTCGCAGTTAGTAGATTTCGCCGCTATTATACAATCCTTTCTGAGAGTAAAACTGCGGATGCATCATTTAACAATATCGCGCGACTGTTGCAAGAATGCCGTTCGATGACAAACTCGCCTGGGCCGCCTAACGACAGTTCTTCGACCTGCGAATAGTATTGAATTGACACTTGGCCCTTTTAGAAGTATCCAAACAATTATTGTGTGGAATCTAGACCATTTTGAATCGATGATGACTTCGTGGCGACTCTTTTGTCAGTATTCAAACTACGAAGACAGTCCGGAGTTTGCCGCAGAGTTGACTAAGTGTTTACTGTTATCTATATTTTCTTGACGTGGTGGCGTATATTTAGGCACTTATTTGGGAGTAATGTACGTTAAGATGGCTATTGGAATCCGCATATCTTCGTGAGAAAGGCACATTTAGTATCCTAATATAAGAGGGGGGGGGGGTACACTAACATCGTATAGCAGTACCGCATTGCTCATGTCAAAGCGAATTATTTGGCGCCGTGGATAGGGCACCGTGCCTCCAGATACCGTAATTTCGCAGTCCTAGGCGACGTTTAATCCTTAGCGACAGGGTGATCTAGCCAATAAGAGTGTCGTATTTTTACCATGTGGCACTGACTATGTTTACCTTTTTGCGTGCTGCTAATTCGACGCTCATATCGCATTCTAGCTTTACGCGACTACAGAGCACGGATCGCCCACGCACCACCGGGCAGGGCAAACGACGCAAGCAGTACGAGCGACACGCTGTCGCATACAGCGACAAAAACCTGGCTTGACTTCATCGACAGTGGGTTCTCAGTCAATCAGTGCACCGTGTACTTTTACGGAGAGCTGCCCCGAAAGGAACACCACGCAAAGAATAAGTCGCTCAGCAATGGAAGAAAGCAGCCGGGAAAATTAAGGCGGCTTGCGAATCGGGTCGGGTGGGCCGCTTCAACGGGGTGCCGGGCACGAAGTACTGTGTCACGCGGCAGTGGCCACTGCCGCGAGAGCAGGTCAAAGCGATCGACGACTTCTTCGAAAGTCGTCGCAAAGCTGGGCAAGTGCGGGAATCGAAGTCCCCGCACAGTGCTCCGACGTTCTGTGTCAAGAAGCCACAGGGCGACTGGCGCATCGTTCATGCGTATAACAAGCTGAACGATGCGATGATACCGGCGCAGACGCCGATACCTCGAAAAGATGTTATCATCGATTCGATGGCCAGGAGCACTATCTACAGTGCTCTTGATCTGCGCGATGGGTTCTATCAGATCATCATGCGTGAGAGCGATATCCCTCTCACGGCAGTGAGCACGCCGAGCGGCATGCTCTGGGAGTGGCTAGTGATGCCGCAGGGTCTGAAGAACGCCCCTGCGACCGTCAACAGTTGCGTGACGCACTTGTTGCGCTCCGTGCGCGACTTCGCAACGAGCTACTTCGACGCTGTGTTCGTCCACAGCCGGGCTGCAGACGGGATGAGCGATGTTGAGATGCACAAGGTGCATCTACGGAAGCCGCTTGCGCTCATGCGCAACCACAAGCTCTATGCGAACCTGAAGAAGTGCATCTTCGGGGCGAGCGAGATAACCGTGCTCGGGTGTCTCGTTGGGAAGAACGGTGTCCGCCCTGACCCTGAGAAGGTCAGAGTGATCAATGAGTGGCCGACGCCGTCGAACGTCAAGGAACTGCGGCAGTTCCTTGGCTTGGCCACGTACTTGTGCAAGTACGTGAAGGACTACGCGGGCATGATACACCCGCTGTCACAGCTCCTGAAGAAGGACGCCGAGTGGGTTTGGACTGCTGAGTGTCAGCAGGCCTTCGATGCAGTCAAGCGGGGCTTGACAGAGGCGCCGATCTTGGCGTTGGCCGACCAAGATCGCCCATTCCACGTTGTGTGTGACGCATCCGACTTCGCAATCGGATGTGCGTTGATGCAGCACGATCACGAGGGTCGTGATCGTGTCGTCTACTACCAATCGTATCAGCTGAAGCCAGCGGAGCGCAACTACCCGGTACATGACAAGGAGCTCCTTGCCATGAAGTACGCACTCGCGAAGTTCCGAGTGTATCTACTCGGAAGCAAACCGTTCGTGGTCTATACGGACCACGCGTCGTTGCGGACGGCTGTGAAGTCGCCGCACATCTCGCAACGGATGGCGAGATGGCTCTCATTCTTCGCAGAGTATAACTTCCGGGTTGAGTACAAACCCGAAAGACTCAATGTGGTGGCCGACGCGCTCTCGCGTCGACCTGACTACGCCACGACTGATGCCGACGTCAATGTCATTGACGCCATGCGATCGAGCACCCCGACGTCGTCACTGCGAAGCTCTTGCTGGCCTACGGCTCAGCGCCTTCTGACCAAGCTCGTCAGAAGCTGCCGAAGCATCTTCGTGCTCGTGCACACCGTTACCGGGTGCACGACGGGTTATTACTCTACAGTGCAGTCGACGACAACGCGGACCGCGTTGTCGTACCCAATGACCATGACCTGCGACTCAGGATCATGTATGAGTATCACGATGCACCGACTGCGGGACATCCGGGCCGTGAGAAGACATACCTTCTTCTCACGCGAGACTTCTACTGGGCCCACCAGTATAAATGGGTGCGCAAGTACGTCCGTGCGTGCGAGGTTTGTCAACGTGTGAAGCCTGCGCCTTTCGCGCAGGCTCCCTTGCAGTCACTACCAACTCCACGGGAGTGTTGGCAGTCCATGTCTTTGGACTTCGTGTTCGGTCTTCCCCCGGACAGCCAGGGGAACACGGGCGTTGTGGTCTTTGTTGACCGCTTCAGCAATATGGTACATCTTGCCGCGGTACCCGCTGAAGTGACTGCGAAGCAGACTGCACGTCTGTTCGTCGACATGGTGTTTAAACACCATGGCATGCCGATCGACATTGTGTCGGATCGAGACCCGCGCTTCACTGCGCACCTTTGGCAAGAAGTGTTTACACTTCTTGGGAGTCAACTTTCGATGTCGACTGCGGACCATCCGCAGACGGACGGGCAGACCGAGCGCGTGAACCGCGTGCTCGTAGACGTGCTTAAGAGCTACGCTCACTCGTTCCAACACTGGAGCGAGTGCCTGCCGATGGCGGAGTTTGCCATCAACAACTCGGTGCATGTCTCGACCGGGCATACACCCTTCTACGTGAATGCCATGAGGCACCCACGCCTCCCGAGTCTACTCGGGATGGTGGCTCCTTCCATAAGTGGGGGAGGATGTCCGACTGCACCGCAGCAGCCGCAGAATGCCGCTGCCACTTGCACAGTCTCAGCCGCAACGACACGAAGTAAAGCCAAGAACCGCGCGTCTGTGCAGGGCACAGACGCCGACAAGCGCACGAAGAACGTGTCTGTGCGGGGCACAGACACCAACAAGAACAAGAAGAACGTGTCTGTGCGGGGCACACAGACACTGACAAGAACAAGAAGAAGAAGAGCGTGTCTGTGCAGGGCACAGACACCACGAAGACCAACGCAGAGGCAGGGCCTACTGCTGGAAGCGAGCTGAACGAGTTCAGCTCGGACGCAATCAACTTCGTGCAGCGCAGACAAGCCGTCATTCGGTTTGCCCAGGATGCTATCGCAGCTTCTGTCGACCGACAGAAGCTGACCGCAGACAATGTTGGCAGGGGCAACACAAATGAATTCAAGAAGGGTTCATTGGTTTTGTTAGCTACGCGAAACCTGCCTAAACATGCGGTTTCCGACTTCGGGGCGAGCAAGCTCGCTCCGCGCGTCCTTGGACCATTCACAGTATTGGCACGGCATGGCAATGCTTACACGCTAGACATTCCGTCTAGCATGCGTCTCCATCCAACGTTCTACGTCGGAAGGCTGAAGCCATACCTGCAGCACGAGCTACCTAGCTTGGCTGAACGGAAGCAGAAGACTCGGCGGTAGCCATCGTCCTCTCCAGCGCGACTTCGCGCTGGAGCAGCGGGTCGAGCTAGTGGTCCAGCTCGGTCGGAACGATCGAGGCGGTCTGGGAGGCCGCCGCAAACCGCGAATACTTCAGAGCGCCGAACACAGCGCTCTGGAACTACTCCACGACCGGGACTTGGTCGTGGGGAGACACGAGATCAGGGTCAACACCAAGTTGACCACACACGGTGTGTGTTTCCGCCACCGCCGCCGCCGATTCGTGATACACACGGCTCAACTCGATGGATTGTTGAGCGGATTGTTCATCACAGTATCCCGAGAACGAACAGGCAACCAGTTCGTTTTCGTATCCGTTGGAGAGGATTCCCTCCCAACCAAGATACTTGGGAGCCGCGGAACGGCTTGCTCGAAGACGTCCCGGACATGGTGAGGCCCACCATGCGCTGCACACTGAAACGTAATGCAAGCGCTGCTGTTAACAGCAGCACCCGAAGATACTTCGAGGGCAGACATAGGTACCTGCCCCCCGCGGCAGCGACGCGCTTCGCACGTTGCCGCGCATGCTACTCAGCAGCAGAGAGGTTCTCCGCTGCTGCGCCAGCGGTCTTCAAGTTCGACGCGCTCGTTCCATTACGAGCGCGCTCTCTTCAACGTCACGCATTGACCAAGCGGTCGATGGTAGTTGACGTGCCGGGACCGGCACGTCTAACCTTGACGGGGGGATGGTGTAACGGGGTTACACGCACAAGTGGCTACAGTCACTTGTAACTCTAACAGACACGACGTCTGTTAGAGGTTCGAAAGAATTTCTCGTCCTTGGTGTAGACACACCAAAGGCTACATACATTTAGGATCACCACGACGGGTGATCTATAGAGACTTAGGATTCCTATTGGTTGAGAGCAGCATCTTTTAGCCAATGAGTGGCATGCAGAGCATTGAAATTCTGTCCTCCAGCCGTTGGCAGATTCCTTGTTTAAAATATTACATTTAGAGGAAGTCAGAAACATAAAAAACACAAATAGCAGTTCTCATCTTTTACCAAAACCCGCTACTTGGAGTCTTTATCTTGTTTAAAGTATACTCGTGGATCTCGAGTATACTTAACTCAAGTAAAAGACACCTACGCTTCCTCATACACGTGCGCATACGTGTATGCCGTAGTAGTAAGCCAAGGTAGGCCCATTACAACTGCGGTGTTGAACGACCTCATCACTACGCAATGACGGCCGACATGGTTCCTGCAGCGTTGGACATGGACAGTTTCACGCCATCAGGACCGATGCAAAAGGTAGTTGATTAAGTATTTGACACTCGCCATAATGCCCCTCCCCCCCGCCGTAACGATAGCGTAGGCGCGGGCCCTCGTCGCTCGTACTTTCCATGCCCGAGGTTTATTACAATCGGATCTCCACGCTTTGCTTGGATCTTTGTACCATGTGGCCACGAGCATCTGCCCGTTCTACAGCGCCTTCGTGTGGGTCAGGCAAACACGCTCCGACGCACTCGCGTCGCGGTCACGCGAAGATATAGTTAACCACATCTGGCGGTGGTACATCCTCGCCGACTAAACGCTAAACGGTGTGCCTCTTGACTACTTCAGGCCGCTCCCCGAACCCGATTTCACCGACGCCACAGATGTGTAGTTGCCGGTCTATGTACACATGTCGCATCGACAAAGCTAGCGTTCACATAAGGGGACGGCCAATTAGGGGCCGATTGGCGAGTCAACCACATAAAACGAATATAGCTTGGGGTCCAATACACAAGCGAAGCAAGTTGAGGCAGTATTGAAAAGCCCTCGATCTCAGCTTTTTTATACTCGCCTCAGCCAGGAACCAATTAAATTAGCGCACAGCGGTTCGCGACGCGTGGAGGTGTGTCGACACGGTCAGGTCTAGGTTTATCATCGAAGGGCACACTAGCAGCATTTGAGTCTACAAAATAGGTTATCGTGGGAGACCAGGTTGTTGGTTTACCAGCCTCGCAAACTTTAATTCGTCACACAGCGTATTCCCAGTTACAGGTAACGTTCCGGAGACATCGAAACCGCAATTAGCGAGGTTACAAAAAATATCTAAAGAGCGAAAAACGTTTTTGGAAGCTCTAAGAGGTGTCGGGAGGAAGGAAAAGACTAACGCGAAGGCTATGTCCAGTTCGTAGTTCAGAGGGCCAGCTTCTTTTGCCTGGCACGTTCTCTATATGCAGCAACTTAGGGACAATAGACCGTCCTTCCACTCTCAGTGGCAAGTCAGCAGTGCAAGGATATGCAAGGCCAGTGGTAAACATGTGTTGATTGAATTAATACAAAAACAATGCATGTGCAGAAGCCCAGTAGATCTCTGCTCCTAGTGCGTCAACACGAAAATCACCAAACTGACAAAGGCGCCCGTTCACCAGCTTTGCATGCCCACCTCATGTCGAACCTTAAGCTCTGTTAATTTCCGCTCGCAATGCCCTTCACCTCATGGTGACACTTTCGGACACTTGCTCTTACCCACCTTTAGGCTCCCGCTTTTTCGGCTTCTTGTTCGAAGTGCCAGGGTCATCTGCGGCGATGGGACTTGGTGTCGCTTGCGGAGAATGGCTGCGCAAGGTTGCGGGCTCCACATTTCCAATTGAACCTCTGAGCGAGTGCTCCAGTGCTGCATCAGTAGCAACTTGCAGTTGCTTGGGAGAGGTGGACTGCTTTTCTTGGTCTGCAGTCATGGTAGACTTGTTCCCCTTATCATCGTCATCAGCGGAAACATTGGGCGGTGTGGTGTACCATCGTACTAGCTCGAAGCAGGCAGGGATTGCTGGATCAACCAAATCCAATGTCTTCACGCTCGTGGCCACGCGGCAGTCTCCGTAGATAACAACCTTAGCGTTCTCGAGCGACAGCACACTCTCTGGTTGTTCCGACGTGACCTTGTCAACTTCTGCTAGCCACAGTGTGCATTCAACATCAGTATCGCTCATGTCTTGCAGAGCCACCGTGCGTTTGCGTAGAATCCTCCCGTCCTTCGCTGTCACGTCGTCCGGCTTATCAACACGCACTGACGCCGATGACGCTGACAGATGTGCCCTCTGGATGCGATGCTACGTCCTTCAGTGAAGTAACATTGCAATCCACTAGGCTGATAGGAACACTGAACCCGCCTCGAGTATCGTCGAACCACTCCTGCAGAGTGATCACTTCAGGTAAGTTGGGATTCGGGACGACCATTGTGTACAACAGCGTCGATCCCGAAAATCATTCACCATCACTTGCCGGAACGCGTACGGCTGGTGTGTAGTCTACCTCTGCAAACTCATTCCACAGAGTGCAAACAATCTCCACGTTCGACGAATCTGTCAGCTTTAGCTCTCGCTTGACTTGAACCCCATCTTTGCGGTCAACAACACTATCCAAAACACCGACGTCCATAATCATTGGGAGGATGTCAGCTTGTGCGTGCACATCAGCATGAGCGAAGTCGCGAATAGTTGTGAAAGCGTAGTACACGTGTTCAATGGAGTCATCATCTTCAACCGGAGTCAAGCTAGCAGAAGAAGCCAAGACTATTTCCTACGTGTGGTTCGGCTTGCCAAATCCACGCGCAGCTTTTCTGACTATTCCACCAGCGAACAAGAAGACGCCGTCACCACGCAAGATTGTAGCCAAATTCTTGGCGTCATTGTTAAATGCTCAGGCACAAATTCGACTTTCCTCTGCGTCAACAAGCTTTGCATTCATCACATGGCCTCTTCCGTTTGCATTCGACCACTGCCGGACTGGAGACAGAAACGCGATGCGTGCAACAACTTCCCATGGCACGCCCAGCACTGGAGAAATATCGCGAATAGGATGGCGTGACATTGTTCAAGCGCAATAGTCGAAGTGAGTTCTCGCACTCAAATGAGAGAGTCTCGACACCGTTAGGCAAGTCTCGAAGAGTCCGACGTGGGCTCTTTCGCATAATGCACATACTCAAACATTTGTCAAAATACAGTACCAATTGGTAATTTGGTCGACCTACCGTTTCAGTTGAAGTTCATGGACTCAAACACCATTTCAAAACGTGCTACGACAAGGCGAACATGAAAGCGCAGCAGTAGCACTCCTATCGCGTACGAGCTCCATCTCAAACGGATCAACAGCGGCGTAGCCGTGCGCGCCAACTTCAACAGTTTCGTGAAGCTGTGGCGGAAGAATAGCAAACAGCTCCAGTTTCGGCTCCTGTATCTGGTCTTAAACGGAACGCAAACGATGCCAACCTGGAGATGAAAACGGGCCTTCAACCGAAACGTGCAAGAAAAGCTCAAGTGTTGCGCGAGAATCGAACCGCAAGACTTGCAGAGCTATTGGATCGCATTCTGGATGCCACGACTCTATCAAGTAATGACATGAAAACGTTGCGTGACGGGCAGGGCTTTAGCACCCCTCCACGACTTGCCCTGGCGTATTTTCACTGTTGCGCTCAGCATCCTGACGCTTTCGCTCACAACGATGAACACTTAAGACCTCCCAATGGTAACCCCGGAGAACGGGGTAGTGAGCGGAACGGCCGTACTTCAGAAGCCCAGCCTACTGTGGAAGATCGGCTTCTAAGGGTTTTAGACGACCCACCAGGCCAAGAAGAAGCTATTCGGTGCCAACAATCCGTGCAGCAAGATATACCGGGGGATATTGCTGCTTGTGCATTGTGCTGCGAAATCATCACGAATACAGAGTCCTGCGCCATGCGAATGAAGCTGTCGGAGCTGCCAGTAACGTTTAAGGCAACGCCACAAGAACGCAAAGAGTGGTATGGTGGAGTTCCTGATGGTATCTTGAACGAGTATTGCCAAGTTGTCGTGAGCAATGGGAACCTGCTCTACATAAATCCGGATCTGGTAGTTTGTGATGATGAGGTTGTGCTATGCAAGACGCGCGCAGTAAATCCGCGGAGCTCGCCATTTAGTATCGCTTGTGGTCATGACTATGGTAGAAGTGGTAATCTTCCTCAGCTCAACGAAGTTGCAACCAATTGCATATCTCCAGTCCGCCGCTTTTGGGTCTGGCAAGCACATGACAGGGCACATTATTTGCTTTCCGTCGAATGGTCCTAGTCAGTGTTCGAAGGCGCTACCTCATACGGATATGGATTACATTCCTCGGGTGACGTTTGTTGGACCAGAAGAGCAATGGCGTGTTGAGCAGCACCGTTTTCAAAACTTGTTTTCTGTGACGAGGTCGGTGAAACCTTTTACGCCCAGGTGTATAACGGCAGCCCAGAAAAGGTATATGAGATACTTTTCGGGAAGGTAAACCCTGAACGCAGATTTCCTTGAACGCAGGTTCTGGGGGGAAATGCGGCCAGGGTGCCGTGGCACCTTGTGAATCCCTATCGGTGTCGTTTATCTTCGGGGAGACTGGAACGACCACCCGGTGAGTTGTCTGTGGGATTGAAAGCCTTGAGTTCGTTGAGCGTAACGTTCACTTGTCTGAATGCACTTCTCCGAAATGACCGAAGCTCGAAGCGTGGGCGAAGGATCAGGGTTACCACCACAAGTTAGAACCCCAGAAATACACACCACCTTCAGATAACCAATACAAATGCAGAGTTATACACAAACACACAGCCGCCACTTATTCTTAGACCCTTGGGCGGTGGGCGTACACCAGTCAACTAATCTGCGATGAAGGTACTGGTCAACCTTGAACGCACTTTCACAGGCGCACCACCCTCAGATGAGGGAAATATACAGACCAAATACAATCCCATCCTAAACGTAGTCAATCAAACTATTCTCGGTGGCAACTGCTACCAAACCACCCGAGATATCAATCGTTAACATGAAATGGGACACCACCCTTACCTCGACGCAATGGGTCCAACTGGGAAATGGAATACGTGGATCACTTCAGCAGCCGGAGCAGACTGATCCTCACGTAACTGGACTTGAATGTGTGTGGGGAGCTCCGCACTGCCCTTGTCCTTAAAGACAGCGGACCCGATTCCTCGACGACTTGCGCAGTAGGGGGTAAACCGAACTCACTGATTGTTATCTGCGAGACTATCGCTAGGTTTTTTGTGTAAAGGTATCTCTCTCGTAGCGTTCTTCTGTGTTCTTCTGTGTTCTTCGCCACGCGTCTGGCGAATATCTTGACTTAAGTATACTGGAACTGTTGACGTAGACAATCTCCACTGGATTCTTGCTCAGCTTCAATGTGCCCATGTCTTTCTGCATGACTGGCTCTTGAAAAACCTTGGCCGCATGCGGCCAAGGTTCCCTTGAACCTGCATTCCTTAAAACCCGGTTTCAGAGTCAGCAGGCCTGAACGCAGTGCGTCCAAGGTTTGCGTCCAAAGGCGATTTGTGTCCAAGGCTGAAATCATATCCAAGGCCTTGCGTCCAAGGGTAGGTTGACTCTTCACTAGGTCGTGGGGCACTTGGCGGGACTTCTTCCGGGTGGCCAGCGGTTTGGACACCATGCACTCGACTTTACTGGGGGGCTGAGCTCCGGGTACACGAATTCGATGTGCGTTCAGGGCCTAGGCGAGGCGGGACACCGTACACGATACGTTCGTGCAGGCGTTTTCGACGGCCTCAATGTGTCAACCCCCTTAAGGACGGGGGCGGCCTGGACAGATCGAGTGCGTTCAGGGTTTTTCATCTGAACGCAGTCTTCCAGGCCTGAAGGGCCCATCCTAGGCTTGAGCGGACTTCGCTCCGCGGAACACAGCCGAATTCCAGCTCAGATCTTGTCGCACGGTGTACAGCCGGGTCCGGTTTCAGTCTCGGCCAATCAGAATGGCGGATTCAGGCGGGTCAGTAGACAGGTGATGACCGTTTGAGGTAAAACCTCGTTCAGTCTCGTCACATTTCCGTCCCCGAAGATTCCATATTTCGCTGGCTTTCTGTACTTGAAAAAAAAACGCACTCTCACTGGCTGGAGGACGATATTTCCAAGGATAGTTCGTGGCGCCGACGTGCGGCACTAAGAGAATTGGAAAAACAAATTCGAGAAAATGCTGTTGTGGAGGCATCGGATTCGGCAAAGCGTCTTTATTATGTTTCTCAAGACACCAACAACAACGACGATGTAAACGGAACCTCATCTGCGGCAGTGGACGTGATACAAGAGAAGGCGGCTGTACTGAAGTCACCCTTGAGAAGATCGTTGGATGAATCTGGTGTTTGTGTTGTCGACGCAATGTTTGACCTTCTCTCAGGCCAAACAAGAGCAAACCATCGCGAGTCCTCTGATTGCGAAGCAAACTACACAATCCCAATAACACGCGCAGCTGAACCCGTCGTGGAATGGGACGCAAACGGAAAGTTGTTTGCGGGCGCATTTTCGACGCTGTTCCTAAGAGGAGGTGATATCCTGCCGAAGGGAGCGATGCCAAAGCATCTCGTCGATCACCTTTTCAAGTACTATGACGGTCGTTTTGAAGAAGATGTTGTATTTGTGGCAACGCTTTTCAACCAGAAACAGCGTCTCGCCGCCGTACGGAAGGCAGCGTATGTCTGTGTTACACATGGCAAAGCTCTTCTTAAATTGGCGAAACTAGCGAATGATGATGGATTCAAGCAACAATTGCTCGACGCGCAGAGCAATCCAACGTCAACAAGCGCGAAAATGCTCAACGCGCAGTTACTTCGAGTGCTATCCATCGTCGGCGAACCAGTTCCCTTTTCTCCCTTCGAAATCGCTTCAGCTCGGCCCAACCTAGCTGCTCTCAGCTGTCGATACGGACTTGCGCACCACTGGACTACTTTGGTGCCTCGTGAGCATGACGATCTTCGATTACATCGAATAGCGCAACTCCGCAAATTGAAGCAGTGGAATCAACCAGAGTGTGTGTTTTCGCGTGCAAACTGCGCGTGGGATGATCTTCCGTATGAACTTCGTCGATCACCGCGTATGCGCTTATCAGTATCTGCAAAATTTCCTGCTCTCGCAGCTCAAATGTTTACAGCCAGGCTTAAAAATGCTATACGAGACACTTTGCGGGTGATGAAAGTAGTTCAACTCGAGTTAGTAGAGATTTCGATCAGCGGGAGGCTGGGGCATTTGGAAAGGTAGCTGCGTTTGGTGCAGTTGTGGAGCCGCAAAACGATGGTCGACTTCATGCTCATATGACTGTCTACAACTCTACGTGGTCGCTGGAGCTGCTTACACGATTAATCCCGTCTCCTCGGCTTTGTGAAAAAGCAGCACGTTGGTTGGACAGTGTGTCGCACACGCAACTATCGCTAGCAACGCACAATATCGAGAGGAGTGCCTAAAACGTTCTGCTGACACTACTGCATCTGTAGCCTCGACGTTGTTGAGGCCTTGTGAAATGGAGGTTCCGTCGGCGCAAACGGCATACAACCGGTTTAAGCTAGTGGCAGAACGTTGTGCTGCTGCCACAAACTTTCACCGCCACTCTGCCACTTGCCTAAAAGGAAAGCAAGGACGTTTTAGGTGCCGCCTTAGCCGACCCGCGGGAGTTTTCGAGGACGATACAAGACCGATTGAGTTGAGATTGATACGCGAGGGTACTGGTACGAAGCACAAAGAGACAAAGTTGTGAGCTTTCCCGTCTCCGAAAAACCTCTCGCGGCGATTGATAGTGGTTACGATTTGGCAATTGGTGTGCCCCCACCTTGACCCACCCATTACCTGGGAACAACATCGGCCAGAGCGGGATAAAATGGTTGTCGAAACTAACCATATCTTAAGCGCTCTTATAGGAAGTCACACGAATTCATCTGTTTTGGCATCTAAAGATGCTGGCGAGGTTGTGAATGAATATCAGCGACAATATATGACTAATGATACAAGTGGGCTCAAATCCACCACAAGTGCAATGATGTCGGCAATAACGTACGCTGAAGAGCACGGGAGTACCGCGGAAGACAGTCACCTACCGATTCGCCAAGGTCAATACCTCGCAACGAGAACGGTAAATGCGTTTAACGGAGGACATGATGGCCCCACGCCTTAATGGTGTACGCTCTACTCGAGAACTCATCATTGCTGCCGTCTGACTCATTTTGGTATATTTTCCCGCATGGCTATTTACGAGAAATTGCAGCAAGAGCCGTGGTCGCTCCAGATACGAGTTCAACTGAAGGTCAAAGTATTCAGTGCGAACTGCAGCAGATAATTGATGTACTCGATGGAGAACAAGACGAGCAGGCTGAAATCATATTTGACGAAGATGATTCTAGTACTGATCGAAGTATGCACGCACGCAATTTTCGGGGGTGGGGGGTAGCGAGGTCGTCTTTCTTACTCAAGCGGAGTCATACCGCGATCGTGGAAAGCATTTTGCAGAGCTGTCACCAATTGAGTTTGAATCAATTGTGGATATCCGCAAAGTTATGTCCTCTTCCAACGATGAAGATGTGACTATTCAACGAGGAAGGCCCCACAGAGTTGGTTTTTCGTTTGCATCGAGCCACCCATTGTATCCACACTACGAGGGTTGTATACGAACAAAAATTATGGCTCTGATGCTTGGAGGTCCCCCTCTTCCGACGTATCAAGCGGCATTGAAATCAGAAGCAAAGATGGACACCCTCGCCAAGTACGTTGTAGTTCAAGGTTCGCGTTATTTTACTCGTCTCTAACATAGCTACTATTACGTACAGGGCAATCATTGGCACATACACACCCTGGGATCTTCAAACCAGGGCGCCAATGTTTGAACCATCGGCTGATGGTCTTCGATCCCTATTCAAGTGCTGGGGTACCCGTGAAGCATCGCTAATTAATCGCCAGCGCTTTCGCTCGATTTCGAATCTTCTAAAGCGCGGCTATCGTAATGAAAATAGTGGCCGCACTTATTCAGCATGGCGTGCTCGGAATGCCAACTACTGGAATGGGCTCTCCTCAGATGATACACTGGCTACAGAACAAAATACAGCGCAGGAAACTACTGGGTCCGCAATTGGTTGTGCAGAAGCCCTTGGAATTATTACAAATGACGAGGACGCTTTTCAGCTTCTAAGCTTGACGACGCACTACAAACCAGATGTCCAAGTCAAAATCCGCTCTCCAAGAGATCGATTTTGGAAAACGATTCCTGAATCAATGCGTGAAACTGTGACAAAAAGAATATCTGGCCGTTGTGGAAACGATTTGGGGTACTGTGGCAACGAGCTGGTCGGGAATACGTCTAGCGAGGAATCGACAAAGAATGCAACAAACAATCCCTTTCGATTAGCTGATATCGCGAAGCAGATACACACCTTACCACCGCCCTCGACAGTGGATGGAAGTGAAAGCCGAAATAGTGGCTACTGTGGCGATAAACCTACGTAGAAGACCTTCATGTCACCCACGACACTCAACCACGACCAATACCAAGTGCTAGACCAGGTTGTAAATGAAGTCATGGACGCTGTGCATGGAAAGAGGTCTTAGTCGCTAACATTGCTACACGGGAGTGGTGGGACTGGAAAATCGTTTGTCATCCGACGCATTCAAGCGGATTCGGAGGCTCGAGGCGTCCACGTCATAAACACTTGTCCAACTGGAGCCGGAGCTTGTCTGTTACCTGGTGGCCAAAATATACACTCGGCCCTTAAAATCGCCACGAAGTCAAAACTCCATCTGGAGAAGAAGTGAATGGGCTTCACTGGCCTGATCATTTGAACTTGGAAACAGCAATGATGTCAAACAGTGCAGGTGAAACGTACAAACGTCGAGTGATAACTCCAATTGGAATCAAAGCTGACAATGACAAAGTCAAGTTTTCGCACATCTCGAGAAGCACTTCGATGAAACCACCTCGCTACATTCAATATGCAGTTGATTTGGCATTCGCTAGCACCGTATGGAAAGGAGCAACGATCCTTAGGATACTCGTGTTCCTACAAGAAACACAGCCTGCACCACCATGTCAATTTGCGCACCTCTTCGTTGGAACATCTCGCGTTGAAACAGTACAGGGATTACGCTACATACCTCTTACACCATCGTTCTCTCGCCACGAATTTCTCCAGCTTAGACCAGACATTTTTACAGTGAAGTGGTTAATGAGTATGGGTAGTGACTAGCCGATCACGACCGCTACGCGGCAGTGAATTTTTTGTTTGTTGGCGCTTCGCTCGCTATGCTCGCTCCGGTTACGTACGCTTCGCTATGGCAGTAGTGGACCCGTTGTTCGCCTCATCGGCTAGATGCACTACTCTCAAAGTCAGGCTAGTAATAGAGGCCGGGGCGGGTTCTGCAGCCCCGCAATATCTTATGGTGGGGTCGCCTTCGCTGGGCTCGGCAGCTAGTGGAATTCGTACTTAGTGAATAAGCGTGACGATTTCTGTGACCGACGGACAACGTCGTTCTGATTGATTCTTAGGACTAGCCGAGCGCCGCCGCTACGCGGCGGAAGGTTTTGGGGTTAGTCGTAGTATTTAGGGCCGCCCACCTCCGCTTCGCTCCGGTGGGCTTTTATCCACTATAAAAGGTTCGAATTTCGTTGTGCGTAGGTATAAAAAAGGTTGAAAGTACTATCAGTAGAGTAACGTTTCTGGTATCAGCTTCGTAAATATTCCACCGCTAGACCTACATCAGGGTGTCTATAAGTAGTTGCATGTTGCAAGGTTAAACATTCTATTTTGTACGGTACTCTGTTGTAAACCGGGTCCACATACACACAATTAGTTAATACGATTACAAAGTCGCCATTGTAGTAAACGTAGTTGAAATAAGCATTGGCATGAGCTACTACTTGCTGTGGCGGGGTAGATGTTGCTATCGACGGTGTGGTCAGTAAAGTCTGTATACGTGTTGTTTTATCACATTATCGCACTACCATAGTTTCTATTATATGGTTCGTAGGCTATGCCATTTAGTAAGTACAGCCTGTAATCAGGCTATAAGCCCAGATAACAATCAAAGTATGCGCTTCGCTGTTCCTGTACTCAGCATTATATAAAGTGCTAATCGTCTTTAAAAACATTCCGTGTATTTATCTTGCTACATCGTCCCTCTGCAAACGCCAATAATTTTACGTGGTCCGTGCGCTATGCTAATTCCGTCCCATGCAATTAGCATACAGGTATGCACGGCCCAATAATGCTGGCATGTCATATGAACTACATACACAATAACACCCTCAGTTTACTTAAAATATCTACTATCCCCATAACAGATTATCCTACCGATATGTACACGTAGTGGCCTCGGTTGCTATAATGTGCTTATCCCCAAAAAATAGTATAGTAAAAAAAGGCTGGGCGCGCTGTAAATAGTTTATCCACCTCTTGCTCTACATGTACGCGCACTGCTATCGCTTACAACGTTGTTGCTATCACCTACTACGTGCTCCTATAGCTTTCTACGTGCTACTATCGATAACTGTACGTTCCGATCGTTTACTACGTGCTCCAATCGCTTGACTATGCGCTCCTATCGCTGACTACATGCTGCTATAACTAACTATGCGCGGCTATCGCTTACTGTAACTTCACATTTAACCAAGCTCGCTGCATTGCTACTATACTAAGTAGTTCCAGCTATCGCTGCCACTATGCACTACTCGCAGTGCTATTATATGTTTGGGCGGGCTCTGCTATCGCTGCTACTACGCGGTGGACCAAATAGTATCGTAGAGGTTAATATGTAGCCAAGCGTCACGGCGGGGGTGACGTAATCGCCCCCGTTCCGTTCGCCTCGTCGGCTCAGTGCACTACTCGCCGTGCTATTAGTACATAGTTGTAGGGCAGGCCCTAGAACGCACGCGGGTGCCGCCTTCGGCAGCTTTGGGGTGGGGCCTGTGAAGTATTGTGACCCGGCAGTGGGTTCGGTCGTGTTCCTGTTGCCTCCTGTCGCAGTTGAAGCTTTGCTCTCAGGCATTATCGCCCAGTGTAGTTCACTTGAGTTAAGTATTGCATACTATAGCCTACTGATAACGGAGACTGCACTCGGGTGCGGTTCTCTCGCAATCCCAAATACGCTGAGTGGGCGAGCAGTGTGTCGTGGTCTTCTGCGCTTATCGTCACAGGTACTGAGCCCAAGCGCGAGAAGCTTTGAGGGCCAACGCTCTTAAGCTTCAGTTGCCAGCCACCCGATGGCAACGTCACAACCGACGAGTGCCGTGGCTACGTCAGCTGCGGGCACGACTACGACTACGACGAACGCTGTGGCAACTACGGTTGGAAGTAGTTTGACGAGCACCAGCATGGCTACGGCGACAAGTGGTGTGGTGGATCCGCTTACGGTGCCTGCTGGAGTGGTTACGTCGGCCGTGAGCAGTATGATTGGAGGTTTCACGTTCCCCAGTGTGACGAACAATGGAATTCCATGCACGACACCTCTAATGGCTGGCATGAACACCGCGATGCTGTCTGGAGCAGCGGCTGGTTACGGGGTTACGCCTTCAGGGTACATACGATGTATGGATATGGTTATCCTGCTGCCGTACCAGCAGCAAGTGCTCCTGTTGTGTGTCATGTTGGAGGTGGAGTGCCTGGAATCAAAGACATCCCGAACAAGCCGCCTGTTATGAAGAGCAGTTTTGATCTTTATGCAGTGCAGCTGTGTTCATGAGTCTTCGGGAGCACCGCCAATAGATGCACATGGACGAGGAGAACGTGTGGACACATCCACCGATGACTCGGAGGATCCGACGGCGACGGGAGAGCCGGCGGCAGCCGGGCTCTGGATATACCAATGGCTGGTCAGGGAGACCCAAGTATACTGAGATCAAGTCAATCGGAACCCGGGAGTAATCCGTCTGATGAGAGGCACCAACGAGCACAAGGAGAACATGAAGGAAAGCAGGAGGGGAAGACTAGAGAGTAGTTTGAGAGACGATAACATTTAATCTCACTTCGGAATTTGCCCCCTCAACCACACGCTACAAACCAACAGGTTAACAGCCGCAACAAGCTCAAGCCCTCCCCGACGACCGACATGACGACGTCCAGCAAGAAGGCCGAAGCCATCCTGGGAAGTAACAATTACTTCCACTGGGAGTTCGCGATGCGTATGACGCTAGCGAGGAAGGAGCTGCTGGCGCACGTCCAAGTGTTGAAGGACCCGACGGAGATGACGGAAGCCTGGATGCTCAACGACATGAAGGCGCTCGGTCTGATGGCTCAAGGCGTAGCTGTGGAACACCACACGAAGATTCGGTCGGCGACGTCGGCTATCCAAGCCTGGAATACTCTACGCGAGTTCTACAACCGGACGACGATGCATAATCGGGTCACGATGACTCGTCGGCTCCACGAGTTCAAGATGGAGGACGGTGCGACGATGGCGAAGCACCTGGACAAGTTCGACGAGCCCATCGTGGGCCTTCAGACGCTTGGAGAGCCCCTCGATGACTCCCTACAACTCGTCATCCTGCTGAGCAGCTTGCCGGCGGAGTACGAGTTGATCGCATCCATCGTCGTGAACTCGAAGGACGTGACCCTCATCGAGGTGAAGGAGAAGCTGCTCAAGGAGTACGAGCGGCAAGAGAAGAAGGAGACCACGGAGCGCGCATTGAAGGCTACCTCGATCGGAGGTAGGGGCCAGAACGGGAAGTTCGGCAAGGGCGGCAAGGCATTCGACCGCAAGCGCAACGGCGGACGAAAGGTCGGTGGCTTCAAGGGCAAGTGCTTCAACTGTGACCAAGTGGGCCACATAAAGCGGGACTGCCCGGAAAAGGTAAATAGAGACATCGCCGAAGACTCGGTGTTCGCTGTGGCGGAGAATCCATCAGCGGGTTGGCTGATCGATAGTGGGGCGACGGCTCACATGACGCCTCACCGCGATGACTTGTTCGAGTACAACGAGTCGTCGGCGGACATGTATGTGACAATCGCGGACGGGAAGACGATCCGCGTGGCAGGGAAAGGGTCGGTGCGCCTAATGAGCGTCGACGGCAAGCGCATCAAGATGGTGGAGGTGCTCCACATCCCCGGACTCGACCGGCGACTACTCTCGGTTGGGAGGTTGGCTGAACGCGGCATGAGTGTCGAGTTCCAGCGGAAGTCGTGCGTCATCTGGGACAAGACGAAGGCGATCGCTTCGGGGAAGAAGGTTGGCAAGGCGTACTTGCTGGACTGCCAGCAGGACATGGCGCACTACACCGAGTACTCGGGAGTCGACCGAAAGTGGGAGCTATGGCACGCTCGTATGGGACACTTGAACGGAGACGCTATGGCGAAGACCCGCGAGGCGACGGACGGTCTCCCGACGACTCAACAGCAGACAAAGATCCTGTGCGGAGGATGCATGAAGGGCAAGCAGACGGTCGCACATTTCCTGTCGCGGTCGACGTCGGCGACGACTCGACCGCTGGAACTAGTTCATACGGACGTGATGGGTCCTATGAAGACGAAGTCCAAGGGCAGAGCGAGGTATGTTCTCACCTTTGTCGACGACTACTCGCGACACTTCGTGGCGTACTTCTTGACCAAGAAGAGCGAGGTCGTGACCAAGTTCAAGTCGTTTATGAAGCTGTACGAGAACCAGTGGGGGCAGCGCATTAAATGCCTGCGCTCGGACAACGGCACTGAGTTCGTGAACACGCCGATGACTGAGATCTGCCGGGTGAATGTGATTATGCATCAGAAGACGGTCCCGTATAGCCCCCAGCAGAATGGCGTGGCGGAGCGGATGAACCGCACGATCATGGAGAAGGCTCGAAGCATGCTACACTACAAGGGCGTGGCTTCGATATGGTGGGCAGAGGCGGTCAGCACTGCTGTCTACCTGATCTACCGGTCGACGAACAGTATGCACCCGACCAAGACTCCGTACGAGTTGACGTTCAAGTCGAAGCCTCGGCTGGACCATCTTCAAGTCTTCGGGTCGATTGGTTACGCCCATGTCGACAAGTCGCGACGCACCAAGTTGGAGCCGAAGAGCTTCAAATGTATGTTTCTTGGGTACGCCGATGACTCAAAAAGCTACCGAGTGTACGATTTGGAGTCGAACAAGGTGAAGGTGGCCAGGTCGGTAAAGCTGGACGAGCGCGAGGTGAACGGCATCTACGACACGTCGCCCAGCGAGAACTCGCCGGTCATGGAGTTGACGGAAGATGTCGAGGATGCGGCACTGCCCGAGGAGATACAACGACCTGCCGCCGACGAGCCGATGGAATCAGTGGAAGAGACCGTCGAGGACACGGAGATACACAAGGTAGAGACATCGGAGCCATCCATGCAGGAGCTAACAACGTATCAACAACTCGCGACACCGGTATTGAATGATGACATGGTCTTCCACCCCGAGCCGGAACGGACCCGGCGCGCCCGAGAACCGGTACTACTGCTTGGAGATGGTTCCGCAGACGGCGAGGAGTCGAAAGAAGATGGTCCCGATGACTCGGACAACGATGATCACTTCTGGCCACCGTCTCTAAAGCGACCCAGGGTGGACGAAGACAGCCTATTGGCTGAGGCGGTGCTGGCCTACGCCGCAGACGTCGGCGATGCCAATGACGCACCCACCATGTATCAGCAGGCCATGCAGAGCGACGAGTCGTCGGAGTGGGTGAAGGCAATGAATGCGGAGCTCAAGGCACACGCGGACAACGGATCATGGACGCTGGTCCGTCGGACACCGAGTGCTCGACCGATCGGTTATCGCTGGGTGTTCGCAAAGAAACGCGACGAGCACGGCCGAGTCATCCCGTATAAGGCCCGCCTGGTGGCGAAAGGGTTTAAGCAGAAGTATGGCGTGGACTTCTTCGAGACGTACTCGCCCGTGGCCAACATGAACTCGATCCGAGTGGTGTTGTCGGTTGTGGTGGCCGAGGCGTACATCACCGAGCAGCTGGATGCGGACACCGCCTTTCTCAACAGCGGGCTGATGAAGCGCGTGTACATGGAGGTACCCTACGGAATCATCAACGCGAAGAACATGATGTGTCGGCTGCAGAAGGCGATCTATGGTTTGAAGCAGGCGGCAAATGCCTGGCATAAGACCATCCACCGAGTCTTCGTGGGCATCGGATTTCGGAGCTGCGGCGGTGACCAGTGTCCATACGTCAAGGGCGAGAAGGGCAGGTTCGTGTACGTCTGCCTGTACGTGGACGATATGATCATCGCAGCCAAGACGAGCAGCGAGATCCAGGAAGTCAAGGTGGCGCTCAAGAATGCGTTTAAGATGATGGAGGTGGGCGAGGCCAAGTTTATCCTCGGTATGGAGATCGACCATGACTCATCGGCGAAGACTCTCATGATCAAGCAGACTCGATACATTGGTGATGTGGTGAAGCGGTTCAACCAGCAGGACGCCAAGGTGGTGGTGAACCCGTGCGAGTCGGGCATGAAGTTGTCGCAGACTCAGTCGCCGATGACTCAGAAGGAACGTGAGGAAATGCAGGCGAAGCCCTACCGAGCACTCATTGGCTGTTTGCTGTACATTACAACGTGCACCAGACCTGATGTGGCGTACATCGTGACCCAGTTGTCGCGCTTCCTCGAGAACCCCGGGCAGCAGCACTGGAAGGCTGCCATCCGCGTGCTCAGGTACCTGAAGAGCACCCGAGACATCGGCATCGCCTACAATGGGAACGCGAAGAAGGTCGAGGTGACGGCGTACACCGACGCCGACTGGGGCGGCAATCTTGACGACCGACGCTCGGTGTCGGGCATCATGGTGATGATTAGCGGGGCGCCGGTGGTCCTCAAGTCGAAGTACCAGCGCACGGTGGCGCTCAGCTCGGCGGAGGCCGAGTACATGGCGCTGAGCCTGTGCACGCAGGAGGAGCTGTGGACCCGCGCCATGCTAAAGGACATGGGTCACGAGCAAGTGGCAGCTACCCAAGTATGGGAGGACAACCAGGGCGCGATCGCCCTCGCAAGCAACGCTGGGTACAACGCGAGGACCAAGCACGTGGATATCAAGCATCACTTCATCCGCGAAAATGTGTCCCGAGGACTCATCGTCGTCAACTACGTGCCGACGGAGGACCAGCTCGCGGACATGCTTACCAAGGCGTTGGGGACGAAGAGGCTCAAGTACCTGATCAGCGCAAGGGGAATCGTCGGGACGGTCGTGCAGCATTAGCGGCGAGTGGGAGTGTTCATGAGTCTTCGGGAGCACCGCCAATAGATGCACATGGACGGGGAGAACGTGTGGACACATCCACCGATGACTCGGAGGATCCGACGGCGACGGGAGAGCCGGCGGCAGCCGGGCTCTGGATATACCAATGGCTGGTCAGGGAGACCCAAGTATACTGAGATCAAGTCAATCGGAACCCGGGAGTAATCCGTCTGATGAGAGGCACCAACGAGCACAAGGAGAACATGAAGGAAAGCAGGAGGGGAAGACTAGAGAGTAATTTGAGAGACGATAACATTTAATCTCACTTCGGAATTTGCCCCCTCAACCACAAGCTACAAACCAACAAGCTGCAGACATATCTCACTCGCTTGGGTTTGTGGGGCATCATCGATGGCAGTGATGTTTGCCCGCTCTTTGATGTGAACCGGCAAGCAGAGTTTGACGCTCGTGACAACGCGACGAGGGAAGCCATCCTGCGTGGAGTTCCGGAAGGTGATGCAGAGATGATTTGTCATGAGAAGTCAGCAAGGGAGATGTGGATAAGGTTCGAGAATAAACAGACGAAACGTGAGTTCGCCAACTACATCTTTGCGCGTGAGCAGCTTTACTCGAACAAGTACACTCGTGATATGGATATGAGTGGCTGGTTGAGAGAGATGCAACTACAGCGGCGAGATCTGTCTCACTATGGCAAGGTCATTAGTGATGAGGAGTTTGCTGAAATCCTGCTCGCCAATGTGACCCGTACGCACCGCGAAGTAGTTCGCCAGTTCTCTCGCCACTATGCTGCACTTGCTTTGCCTGGAGCACAGCAGATGACACCTACTGCTGCGCAAGTGATGAACGCCTTACTTGCTGAGGAGGACCTCGACGAGAAAGTGGGGGAGGAAATGCCTCGCAGCATTGGTTCGGCCAAGAAGGCCGCCAATAATCAAGGCAAGCAGAGCAATGGCAATTCTGGCACTGTCAATGCTGGAAAAGGCAAGAAGCAGCGAGGTCGGGGGAGATACAAAGCAAAGGGCAAGGACGCCCCTGGCAAATCCCGTAGTGGTAAGAAGAATGACGGCTGCTGGAATTGTGGCGAGCTGGATCACATCCGCGCACACTGTCCAAACCCGAAGAAGACCGACGGCCCGCAGAATCAGAAGCCGTACGCTGGCATGGAAGCCAAGCGTTTTCAAAACAAAAAGGGCGGTGATGGTGGCGGGGCCGTGAGGACCATTGATGCATTGACACAGCGCAAGATTGGAGCGACTGTGGTTGGTCCTCGACGCCGAAAGCCTCGCGTCATGGAGTGGGTGTTGGATACGGCGACCGATGTACATGTGTGCACTGATTTAAAGTTGCTGGACAATTCACGGACGGACCGAGAGCATCTCTTCCTAGCTTTTGATGGACAGCCAAAAGGCGAACGCATGATTGGGGATGTAAGTCTTCAAGTAATGAGTGTGACCTCTCAAAAGGACGAAGTGTTGACATTGTCTGGAGTTGTTCACACACCGACTGGCCCCGATAATCGGCTGAGTTCACATCTACTTGAAGAGAGTGGATGGGAGCTGGACTTTACGCAGAATAATGGCAATCGGGTTTGCACTTTGACGAAAGATGGTTCGAAGGTGCAGCTGAAGAAGACCCGGGGCCGGTATCGACTTCAGGCAAGACCAGCAGAAACCCGAGAGGTGCGTGCGGTGACAACTGCGGCTGCCACAAATCTGAGTGCAGCAGGTGCGGCGAGGGCAAAAGAGTTTGAGCGCTGGCACATGCGCTTTGCTCACCTCAATTATCCTGCTTTGCGTCAAATGGTAACGCAAGGAGCTGCTGTTGGCTTTGATGGACTCGGTAGTGCTGCAGACTGTACCGGTGGTCGGGACGAGAAGTGCTGGACCTGCATCGCTTCTAAGCAGAAGCGTATGTCGTACAAGAAAACTCTAACTCGACGAGCAATGGACCCATACCAGACGTTGATGTCAGACTTTGGTCCTGTTGGCGTGAGTACGTACAATGGATACTAGCATTTCCAACTGGTTCAGGATGAGGCTACGCGATATGTATGGGGCTTCCTCGTGCGAGCGAAGGAAGAATCACGAGCAGTGGTTACTTCGCACCTGGAATGGCTGCTAGCGCAGGGTCATCGCATCGAGGTATTTTCTACGGACCAAGACAAAGAGTTGGTCAACAACAAGATGAAAGCATTCCTCCGGGGGAGAGGAATAGAGTTCTTGTGGACGAATGCTTATAGTCCAGAGGAGAACGGCCTTGTCGAGAAAATGAACGGCGTTATGATGGCGAGGGTCCGGAGTCTGTTGACGACCGCCAACATGCCGTCTAGTCTGTGGGGTGCGGCCTTCAAGTATGCTCTAGAGGTTGTGAATGTGAGTCCGTCAAGCGCTCTTGGTGGAGAGACACCCTACGCACGGAGATTCGGAGAGCGTCCGGATGTTGAATTGCTGAAAGTGTGGGGATGCATTGTGCATGTGTTCACTCCCAAGAAGCTGCGAGCCAACAAGTTGGAGAACCCTGGGAAGCTGGGTATGTTTGTGGGTTTTCCTAAGAACTCGGATAGCGTTCGGGTGTTGAATTTAAGGACTGGAAATATCGAAGAGCGTCGTTCGGTGGAGTTTGATGAGGGCTGGACTGTTGAGCGCTCTTGTGTAGAGCACCTGATTGCGAATCGTTATCAACGTGGTCGCAATGTCCTTCCTGATGTTATCCCGCTCGTACGTCTCCCGGTTATGGCTGCAGTGACTCATGATGAGCTGGCTGCCCCTCCTGCAAAGCGCCAACGTCTGGTGCCTTTGGTTGATGGTCATGACTCGCGTGCAGTGGTGGAGCAGACTCCGTCAGCATGGGATTGCCTGTGTCTGAACCTAGGAGTGAGCCTCCAGCGGAAGCAGCCCCTGCTGCTGTCCAGCTGTCGCCTGCGAGCGCGCCGCAGCAAGCGAGTGAAGCCTTGGCGGCTGTCGATCAGGATCAGCACGAAAGTGACTCTGAGGAAGTTGAGGGCGTACTTAACCGTCGTCGCTCAGTTTCTTTGAGAGAGTTGCCAAATTGTTGATGACAACCAAGACGAAGACGGAGATGATGTTGCAGAGAGTGATGAAGTTGTCGCTTCCAGTGAACCGGTGGAGAGGGCCGAGAGCTCAGTGGGAGAAGCAGTTCTGTCGTCAAGTAGTGATGATGAAGATGATGATGAGGAGGAGGACACCGGTGCAGGGCCATCATTTCGACGCTCGACGCGCATTCGCAAGCCAAATGTTCGCTACTGTGATTATGACATTGAGCTCCCAGAGAGTCTGGTTATCCAAGCAGTCAACTCGATGCTGGAGCCAACATCCACGGATGCTGCATTGAATGCTCCGGATGCAGAGAAGTGGGTGGAAGCGTTGTACAACGAGTTTGGTGAGCTCATTCGTAACAACACCTGGGAATTAGTGGAAAGGCCGAAGGGAGCCAAGGTGCTGAAGAGCAAGTGGGTGTTTGTTCGCAAGAGAAATGCCCGAGGTGAGGTGGTCCGACCCCGTGCTCGTATCACAATAAAGGGTGTCAACAAAAATATGGGCTGGACTACTGGGAAACCTACGCTCCGGTGGTGAGTGCAGGGCAGTGAAGCTGGTGCTCCTGCTTGCATTGGACTATGGATTGCTGGTCCGCCATGTTGATTTTGTCACGGCATTTTTGAATGGCCCCATTGACTGTGAGATTTACATGGAGCAGCCCGACATCTTCGATGATGGGTCTGGGCGAGTGTGTCGGCTACTGAGGAGCTTGTACGGTCTCAAGCAGGCCCCACGGATATGGTATCAAATGCTGGACAAGTATTTGCGAGAACACGGAGCTGGTGCTCAGTGAGGTCGAGAAGAAGTTCAAGATCAAAGACCTTGGTGAGGTCAGCCACTTGTTGTCCATGGAGATCAAGTACGTTCCGGGGAAGATGCTGTCTATCTCGCAGCGTGGTTACATTGACCAGCTGCTCGAGCGTTTTAAGATGGCCAAGTGTAAGGCGGTGCCGACTCCGCAGGCCAAGGGAAACTTCCAGCTTCCGGGAGATTCGGATAAGGAGCCTGTATGTGTGAACATGGATCCGGATGTTGGTTATCAAAGTATTGTGGGTTCATTGCAGTACTTGGTTTGCTGTTCGCGGCCGGATATCGCGAACGCCGTGCGGACGCTCGGCAAGTTTCTCAACTGCTACACGAAGGAGCACTTCGTGTTGGCCAAGCGCGTCCTCCGGTACCTGCAGGGTACGCGTGAGTTTGGCCTGGTCTGGTTCAAGCCAGAGTCGCCTGGGATGCAATTGGTCGCTTTTGCAGATGCAGACTTGGGGAATGAAAAAGATGACCGTCGATCGATCACAGGATTTGTACGGCAGTTGAATGGTTGCACTTTTGCTTACAAGAGCAAGAAGCAGTCTATTATGACGGACGACACGTGCTGCGCCGAGTTCGTGGCTGCTAGTGAGTGCTCCAACATGGTGATGTGGACGCTCAACTTGTTCAAGGAGCTGAAGGTCATATCGACGCAGCCGACGGTTCTCTATGACGATAACCAAGCTGCAATTCAAGTGATTGGGCAAGTAAGCAGCAGCTACAAGGTCAAAAGCGTGGATCTGATGTTTCACAAGATCCGAGACTTTGTGGAGCGGGATGTGTTCGAGGTGAAGTACTGTCCGAGCGAGGACAACATCGCGGACATCTTTACGAAGCCACTCGGACCGCAGCAGTTTTGCAAGCTGCGCCAGCGCCTGAACGTGTTGCCCGTGCCGGTCAGCGAGTAGTTGCGCGCGTCAAGCACAACTTTGGCTCGCGAGAAGTCAAGCAATACGAAGTGGGAGTGTGAAGTATTGTGACCCGGCAGTGGGTTCGGTCGTGTTCCTGTTGCCTCCTGTCGCAGTTGAAGCTTTGCTCTCAGGCATTATCGCCCAGTGTAGTTCACTTGAGTTAAGTATTGCATACTATAGCCTACTGATAACGGAGACTGCACTCCACTGGAGGGTCTCTCTATTAGTTGTTGTTAGAATTAGCCGAGCGCCGCCCGCTTCGCCGCGAAGTTCGCGGGCGGTAGTTATGTGGTTAGGCGTAGTAGTAAGGTCAGCCCACCTCCGCTTCGCTTCGGTGGGCTTTTATCTTTTTAAAATGTTTTTAATATCGATTGTGGGGATTAGAAGTGTATCTGTGTCGGCGGGAGTACTGTGGTTGATATCATAACCCCGCGTAAGAGTTATTATCAGTAGATGTACATGTATGCAGTAAGGTACACCATACGGTAATATGTTGTAAACCGCGTCAACATCGGTGCAATTTGTTAACACGACCACAAAGCCGAGCACCGCGGTGGTAGTTATGTGGTTCGGCGTAGTAGTAAGGGCCGTCCACCTCCGCTTCGCTCCGGTGGGCTATTTTCCCGTCAAATGTCGTTAGTTTGGACTGTATGCATGTAAAAAGGTGTTTGTATGTTGGGGGTCTCTTAGGGCTGGTATCAGCTTCACGTCAGAGTTACTGTAAGTACAGTGACACCTCTATAAATGACACCCAGTTCGCTCGGTCTAATACGCTGTTTCAGTTAAGGAATTGATCAAATAAAGAAATGGGTACACTTCTAATGGCTATATTTTCATATGTTAGGTGCAAGGGCTTTCTTTACCTGGTACCCCTCCAGCATTTTCGTACTCTTGTTTTGTTTCGTCTTCACACAGACAGAACTTAACCAATAACGGTAGGCACGGTATTGTCTGTTCCTACTCCTTCTTCTCACTAGCCGAGCGCCGCCGCTACGCGGCGGTGATTTTTTAGTTTGTTGGCGCTTCGCTCGCTATGCTCGCCCCGCTATTGGAGCAGACTGCCTACACTTCGCTACGGCAGTGGCGGACCCGTTCCGCTCGCCTCGTCGGCTCGCTGCTCTACTCTCAATGTCAGGTTAGTATTACAGAGGCCGGTGCGGGTCCTATGAGGGGGTCGCCTTCGCTACGTTCGGCAGCATTTTTAGCCAATCGTAATTAAGGTGATATTCCGTTACGGACGGCGTCTTGCTCCAATTGATGTTTAGGATTGGTATTAGCAGAATCGCATCCCCTCAGGTTGTACGTGAGTTTCAATACAGTGAGGTTATGGGAATATTTGTTGTCCCGATATCCTGCCACCATGCCTGCAGTTTTATCTTTTGCTTGGTATCTACTGCATAGCCCCTAGTTGTCTCGACATCATAATATTTTAGTTTTTCGTAAAATATATATGTACGCTGCGCTGATTGTAAAATACTGTGGCTAGCTTATTTATCACAAGCTTGCAGTTACTGCAAGCTGGTGATAAATTTCCAGCTAATTGAATATCAGCATCTACTATTCAGATCTCATTATACTACCGACACGTAACATAAACTATCGATGCCTTTTAGCAAAGTTGCAGATACTTCGAAGGATGTTTATCACATTGAGAGCCAAGCGCTGCCGCTAAGCGGTAGTTGTAATCCGGCAGTTTTATTATAGTAAAAGTAAGCTGGGCACACTGTTAATACTGTATCCACCTTCAGCTTACCTTGCGTAATATGTACTTGCGCTGCTATCATTTACTACGGGCTCCTATCGCTTTCTATGTGCTGTTATCGCTAACTGTACGTGTACGACGCTTACTATGTGCTTCAGTATCACTGACTACGTGTCGCTATAACTATCGGTGCGTTGAAATGGCTTACAATGTGTTTATATTAAAACAACCTCCCTCCATTATTAATATAGTAAGTAGTGGGGCAGGCCAAGCTACATGTACACTACTCACGACGGAGGATAGAACGTGTCTTGGTTAATTCACAGAGCTGCTGGGTTGAATACCATGATGCTACCGATAATTTTTGACTTTTTCCACATGGTTTTCTTTCGTAAAGACGAATAGACAACACAAAACGCGAATGCATTGAGCGCAAACGAATCCAATTCATTTTTCATCGTCTCGATTGGAATGATACGCCTTGAGGGCGTACTTCATCGTCACCTGATGAGTTTGTTGTGCTCGGCTCGCTCTCAATTTCGTTCCCGTCGTTCAACTGTGGCAGGGTCATCGATGACTTGGCCGTGTCAGCTTGCTCTGACACCTTCTCGTGGCTGTAGGATGCGAGTCTGTTGAATGTACGCGAAAGCCGCTGCGCCAATAGCTGCGATGGGTACTCGATCGTGTAGTATGATACCGTCGCCAACAAGATCGTCAGACCGAACACCTCGAACGTAGTTGGTCTCCAGCTTGACCGACGGAGTAGCGATCACGAACACGTGCAGCAAATACACGGAGAAGCTGATCTTGCCCAACTAGCGGAGAACAATCCACTCGAAAATCAACGACATAGTGGACGGCTGAATCATCTCGATCACGAACAGCAGCGACAACTTGACGCTCGTGAACGGCATGATATAGTGTTGGGACGGTTGAAGCGGCATCCCCAACCAATTGAAGAACAGTCCACGGAAGACGACGCTGAGGTAGGCTGCGATCAAGACGGCTTCTAATACTCGGAGACCGACGATATGCAACGTGTTGAACTTGAAGCCCGCCCTCTTGATCCACGCTTCCAGCTTGAAGATGACGGCAGCCATGGACCCCGCGACGAATGTCGGGAGGTGCTTGCTCAACGGTTGATGAGGATAATTATCCCTTGTCGTGTAGAGTCCTTCGTGAATAGCCCAGACGTAGAGCGGAAGGAACGCCATCCACCAGAAGCGACGCATCTTGAGCACCGCCAGTACGAACACGGGTAGAATGAAGTAGTACGAGATCTCCAGCGGCAACGTCCACATGAGGTAGTGGCGGTGTTCCGGGTGAAAAGTGAGCGTCTGGAACAGGTTGAAGTCCTCAGGTCGGTTTACCTTGTAGTACCGCTGTTTGTATTCAAACGGCATGAGCCACAGAGTGATCGCCACCAGTGCAAACAACGGGTACACGCGGAAGAACCGCTTGGAGAAGTAGTCGGCCGGCGTCCACCCCCACATGCGGAAGGACGCCTGCTCTGCCATCAGCTTGATGCTCTTCTTCATGAAGATCATGATCAGCAGGAAGGACGACAGCACGAAAAAGCCGTCGACACCGACAGCGCCCATGTAGATGTCGTGCATGTATCCTGTGTGTTGCGTGACGACAAACACGACGGCGGCTCCTCGCACGCCATCGAGGAACAAAATCTTCGCTACCGGCGACGCTGCCGGGTCATTCCGTGGGAATCCTTCGGTCGCTTCGGTCGTCTTTAGCTCCGGGTTCTTCGATCCATTTTTGAGTGCGACTCGATCTTCCACCACTTCGAGGCGCACGACAGCGTAGCTTTCGGAGGCAAGTCGAGGAATGCGCTCCTCGTTCTCCACTCCACAGTGGAGTCCACTCGTCGCAGCCGTGAACTCTTGGTAAGTAATCGCGTTATTCCACAAAACGACGGGTCGCGAGCAAGTGTCTGCCAAGGGTTGCCTCCAAGGTGCTGATTAGCACAATTTATTTGTTTCAAGCAATATAATTGGTGAAGAAAATCACAGAAGGCAACTGTGGATACTCTTCCGGAATCGCGAGCGTCTATCATGGCGATCGAAGAGGAGCTCAAGAGACTGCAGGCCCTCGCTGTTGAGCAATGGGAGCTACGATCCTCTGAGCTTCGTAGCGTCGCTGACAACCCCCAATCGCTCGTGCAGCACCCGTCGGCACCCGTCGTGTGCGGCGCTTTCGTGCTCGGGGTTGGCGTCGCCCTGCTCCTTCCGCGACTGCGGCAGCCGTTCCGTCGGTTTGCAACCGTGGAAGACCTGCCCAACAAGCTCTTCCACGAGGAAGGGAAGATCAAGGCGCTGGCTGTGAATTTCAGCGACGGCGACACGTTCCGAGCGCGTCATTTGCCGCTGCTCCGGGGAGCCGGGACCTTCGAGGGGAAGTTGTCGGACCACACGCTGCAGATCCGACTCGCGGGCATTGATACGCCGGAGACGGCCAAGTTCGGGAACCCAGGCCAGCCGTTCGGAGATGACGCTAAGAAATGGCTGGCTACGACACTCGAGAGGAGGAAGTTGACGCTCACGCTGCTGCACAAGGACCAGTATGCACGCGCAGTGTGCATGGTGCAGTATGGGCGGTGGCCGTTCCGACGTGACGCGTCGGAGGAGATTCTGAAGGTGGGGCTGGGACAAGTGTATCGCCAAGCGGGTGCGGTCTACGGTGGCAAGCAGGAGGTCTACGAGAAGCTGGAGGAGAAGGCGAGGAAGAAGAAGATCGGGATTTGGAGCCAGGGCAAGAAGATGGAGAGCTCGAGTGACTACAAGGCTCGCATGCGGGCAAGTTGAATTCGACGAGGATTGGCCGTGCGCTGTAGGTTTTGAGCTTGTGAGCTCCGTGTGGTGTGGTGACTTGAAGCGTTTTAAGTTGAGTGCTGTCTCGCATGGTACTTTACGCAACTAGCTGGCACTTCGGTTCCCCTTCAACGTCACTTCATACTGTAAATTCAATGGCAAAAGATACTGTCTTGGCGTCGAGGGCTCTCGTCCGTGCAAGGGCATCGCCACCTTACGCCCACGACGCATGGATGGCACTTGGAGAATCGATGTCACATCGGTGATGCGTCCAGCAAGCATCAGCTTACCCATGTCGGTAAATATCACACTAGACCTTATTGCCATATTTGGTCAGTGTGTACCGTCACTTTTGCTTCAATCGGCAAAATTGCGTCAATGTACGCTCAAGCTGGATGGCATCGACGCGGTCCGGCGGGAGGCGGCGTTCGGCGCCCAGCAGTAACTTCAGCTGCTCGTGTCACGTGCAACTCGTCTAGGGCGTCCTCAGCTACAGCACAGCAACGTATGGCACCTGGAGGGGCTCTCCGGGCTTCAAACCAGGCGTCAGAGCGAGGTGCCAATGCTCGGAAAAGCGGTTCGACCGAGCCAGAGGCCGCTCCGTCGCGATGGAGGGAAATGCGGCAGTCGGTGCGCACGAAAGCGACCCTGGAGACGGAGGAGAGCCGCCCCGTTAATGCAAAAATCGCAGATCTGTGCCCCGAAGACCGGGAGAAAGTGGCCAAGCTGGTGCGACGTATAGTTGAGGTGAGACCTTTAGCCCTGTCAATTGAGAGCAGCTCTAGTGTAAATTATAGTGTAAGGCGGCTGTATTGCTAAGCGTTATGGGGTGTGAACGTATTAGGTCGGGACTCTGCACGAGGAAGGAGAGAAAGAGTTTAATAGGCAGCGAGAGGTGCTGGAGGCGGAGGTGAAGGAGCTGCGAGAGCAGGTGAGACGAGATGCGGAAGAGATCCAAGAGCTGACGGCTGAGCTGCGGTCTACCAGGAGGAAGGCGCAGCTGTTTGAAGAGCGGGTAGTGGTGCTGGAGGAGAGCACCAATGCCGAGACCCGATCGAGGCTGGAGGCTGAGCAGACGCTGGACCTACTGAAGCTGGAGGTGGACAAGCTGCGAGCGCTCGTGCAGCGACAGCAGGAGGAGATGCGACAAAAGACGCAGGAGCAGCAGGAGCAGTTTGATGCCGAACTGCTGCAGATGAAGGAGGAGCTGAAGGAAGCGCAGGAGCTGCTGCTGAAGGAACGCAACGAGCGGATTCTGGAGAAGCAAACGGCTCTGGATCAGCGACTTGAGCGCTCCGCGACGGCAGGTGAAGAAAAGCTGGAGCGACTGCACTCGCTGCTTCTTGAACAACAGCAGGAAATGCATTTGAAGGTGAAACAGCAGCAGGAGGAAATGCAGCGTAAGGCCGAGGTGCAAAAGGAACGATATAAGGCAGAGATGAACCAGCTTAAAGAAGACCTCAAAGCAGCGCAAGAACGGCTCCAACAAGAACGAAGAGACCGCGAGATTGAGAGGGAAACTAAACAAACTGCAGTCAGTGAGCGGCCCGTCGAACCAGCCCCAGTGGTGCATGCTGCAGATCGAGACAGCGACGTTCCTGTTCCAGACCCGCTGATGTTTGCTTCGAGCGACCGTATGCCGGACCAGTTGTCAACAGATATGGAGGGCGACCTCGCCATTTTTGAGGAGGTGAAGGATCTGTACGCTGAAGACTTGTTCGCGTCTCGTCGCTGGGGCGAAGGGATCCCTGCAGCAAGTGCAGCTGCTGCAGTCCGGCCAACAGGCATGGAACCTGCACCTTGGCATTTCAGCAGTGCCGACTTCACTCCACCAGATAACGGCAGAATACCTCTTGGCCCTGCCTTATCGACGCAGGAGCTGACCGTACAAGAAGCCATCGAGAGGGACATGGAGGCCTTGCTACGCAGCGAGGCACTGCGTACACTGGGCACCCTTCAGTAACGCTCCCTTCCGGCAGATTGGCCGAGGAATTAGACGCGAAACTATGTCTATATTATTGTGGCCGCACTCTCCAGCTCTCTGTTGGTGGTATTCTGCGTGCCTTTCTTGCTAATAAGCAGATTCCGTCTAGCGAGAGCTATCATAGCACGCCAATGGGTTAGTTTTTGCACGCTACAAGTTGGCCAAGTGAAATTGACGTACGTGAAGAAGCAGGAGCGCTCGTTATTCGCCGCGGAGAAGCGCCTGGTGCTCGCTTGGATGGAGACGATGACGTTGGCAAGCATGGGGGCTTCAAGTGGAACGCGCGCTGTTTGATCACGCTTGTGAAATTCATCGCTTCTGTTCGAGTGGGCTCGGCTTTGCATGACCGACATGGACGCTGAACCTTGCTCTGCCTGCGGAAGAGTGTCTGCAGTACGTCGACGAGTGAGCAAAGCCATCCGTGTACCCAAGTTAGAATCGCCCCCGTTCCGTACCAATGAAGTCGACGAGCTACACGAGCATGAAGCTGTTGGCTCAGCGGAAGACAAGTCTTCGGACTTCTCCCCACCCCAGCAGTCCGGCACGAGACGACCATGTGCAACGTCTATCGAGCTCTTAGATGCCAAGCCCCAAGCAGCCTCAGTGATGAACGTTCCTGTCTGAGGCTGCACCAGGTGCTGGTTAGTGGGAATTGAAGTACGCGGCGAAAGCGGATCCGGGTTTGGTGCTGGAAGTGTACAAGTATCCATACGCTAGAGAGAATCACAATGTTAGCTCCCAGCAAGCAGCACGCTGCGCTGTATCTGTGCTGAAGGACTTACCGCGAACGTGGATCGGCGCATTCGTGAGGCAAAAAGTGGCAGCTCCGGGCCTTCGTTTGATTCGTCCCCCGCTCGAACTTTTACCCCCGGTGACAATGGCATGGCGTGGAAGTGCTGTTCTAACGGATCTTCGTCGAAAAGGGACTCCTTCTCATTGTCGCCACTGATGCTGTTCGCGCTACCAAACGCTCCAAAAGCTGGGAACGCCAGGCTTGGGCGGGGTGTGATTCTCCCGTTGCTAATATCGGGGAGGACGCCTTTCGCACTAACGCTGTACCGCTGTGGAGGAGATCTCTGGACTGCGTACTCCACCTTCACTTCCTCCTCTCGCTCGCCGAAGCGCAGAACTTTAGCTGGCTGCACGCTGTGAGCTGATCCTGGCGGGTGCGGCCTCCGTCTCGCTGATGTAATGGACGATGGAGAATGTGACAGTGGAGGTGGCGAGCGACGAGTTCGGGAACAGCCAACGCCGTTGTCCTGACGAAGAGTCTCTGTGTCAATGTTGAGTTGCAGCCCCGTGTCAGCGTTAGGGCTGTTGCAGTGAGGGTCCCACGGAGGTGGAGTGCCGTCATGAGCTGGGTCTGCTGGACCAAGTGCGTTATTTGTTGCAGCAACATGGTGAGCTGCTACGTTTCTTCTTGGAGACACGAGATGTTGCCTGCTTGACGAGTGTCCGTGGTGGTTATCGTGAACTTCGGTGCTGTATGGGACTCCTGGTTGAGGTCCTGTCACTTCTATCTGGGCTGTAGACGCGCCGTGCTGCTTCTTGCGCATTTTGCTCTTCTGCATTAACCGAGACGACGTGACTGACGCTGGGTGGGTACGTGAACGCGTTGTCGTAGTGGTCCCGCTTTGGTGTTTCGATTGGTACAAGTCTCCGTAGTATATACGTCTTCAAGTAGTAGCGCTTCTGAGCTGCTTTGATGCGCGAACCTACTTCAACGCCGTTATGGTCTTTTCCTTTCTCACAAGCCTTCATCTTCAGTTCTCCAGGACCTCTGAACAACAATAAGTTGACGAAGATGGAGGCCAGACATGGCGAGGGCGACATCAAGTACGAGAGGCTACTTAGTACGGCATGTGCCTTTCCCGGCTACTATCCGCGCACTGCCACATGTTCTCAAGACGATTGATGAGATGTTGATGTCGTTTGAGGAGGCGCTGGTGGCAGCGGCAAGGATCAAGGACGGTGGGTGGGTATTGCTGCTGCTGAGGCGTTACGAGTTCCCAGTGCTGGATGCCATCGGAACTGTTGCTGGCAGCGGAGACTACCCTGCTACGACGAATTTGGATGCGATGGGCTGAGTTCAAGAATGAGTGTTTGCACTTCGCGGCGATGTGTGCCGCTGCAAACAACCAGGATGAAGTGGCCAAGCGGCTGATCCATGATCTGGTCACTGCTCCGAGTGCTGTTGCAGACAGTGAAGATGATGCTGGGCGTGATGCACGCGTAGTGATACTGAAGATGGCGTTTAAGTCTGGAAACTACGACTTCGTGAAGTCGCTCACGAGGACTGTGGCACCGTGAGTTTTTCTAGCAACGTGCTGCCGCAGGATATCGCTGGTATTTTGTGTGAAGTGGGATGGCGAGGCGCTGAAGATTACAACAAGAGTACATTGGATCGAGCTTCGTAGCGGTCGCGCTCATCCGAATGCCGGTGTGGGGGAGCTTTGTGTGATGCTCTACTAGTATTAGCCTGCAGGTGCTACATCTGACAGACGAGCACGTTTGAATAGCAGCCGGGTTGAGTAAAACCATGTTTGACTTGAAGATTTCGGTGTACTTCAGTACAGTGTAGTTATACATGCAATACTCTCGTGTGCCCTTTTAAAAATGTCTTGTAGTGAAGCCAATGGAGAAGGAGATTGCTTCGGAGCCATCAAACGGCGGTGGGCGAAGACAAACTTCCCGAATACGACGGCGAAGAGAGAGGGAGGGGTTGTTCGCGCGTTGACTCTGTCGAAGATGCAAAATGATGTGCTTCGAGATGTTCCAGAAATGGGTGAAGAATGGATACCGGTATTCCCCGAAAGACGTCAAAGCCGATATCCCCAAGAGTCTCTACAAGGCGTTCAAACAAGACGCCACCCAATTTAGGTTACGGAGGTACTATCGCCTCGCTGCGTTCTACGTAGCTGGGAAACTCGGATGCGGCGCTGTAGAAGAATCGTCTAGGTGTAGCTCATAACACAAGTAAAGGTTCTTTCACAAGCCAAGCAACCATAAAGCGTTTTCATCCTACGTGGGAAAATCACACACACTTCGCTGGGTGTCCGATTTGGATTGCAAGTATGGCGTTTGTCGACCGAATAACTCGGCGGGATTGCCATTGTCGGTATTCACTGACGAGGGGTAAACTTGAAGAGTACCGGTGAGAATCATACAAATTCACCTTTGCAATTGTTATGGCTCAGTTCCTGCACGCTGATTGGTGGAGCACTTCATACATCTACTCGCTGCACAATGTCGCGAGCTGACGAGGTGGTGCTGCGCGTGCGGGCGTACGGGCAGCAGGGCGTGGAGTTCGCGCTGTCTGGGCCCAAGTCCAACGAGAGGAGAGGGCAAGCTACATGGTGGCTGATTTCAGCGTTGGTCCTGAGCTCGGGGGCTCTGCTATCGTCTGTTGAGTGGGGTGTATCATCCCCCTCATCGGTTCTGGTGCTGGGTCTGGTGCTGGCTGCATTGGCCGTTTGGGTCTTCCAGGCGACAGGCAACGTCATAGTCGAAGGTCTCTCTTGCTGCCCACTGATATCAATGTATTGCTGGTAGTACTTGGCTCTGACGGCTTGATATTCTATACAGAGTCGATGCTGGTGGTGCCGGCGCTTGGGGTCAAGTTGAGCAAGAAGCGACGCAACGGAGCAGTCACCAGCAAGGTGAGGACTGGAGACAAGGCAGATAGAACTGCTCTGTATAGAATGCTAACTCTATTACGTATTGTGTGGGACAGTTTGTGGACGTGGAGAAGATCTGCGGCGTGGCGGTGAATGAAGCCATCACGTTTTCCAACGTCGTGTACTCGTTGGTGCTCATGGTGGAGGGGCAGAGCGACATGGTGCTGCCGTTTGAGGTAAGCTGGGAAGACGACAACACCATTCCATTGCTCCCAGACGTGATGCTAACATGAATATGTGCAGACGTTCCGGCCTCGGGTGACGATGTTGCAGGAGATTTACCAGGAGACGAAGACGTTGCTGTTCCCCAACGGTGGTGACCGGAAAATGCGACTGCCTCGTGAAGTAGCGCCCAAGCCGTGGTGACCGCGAGGTTTTTGAACTACGAACTCAGTTTTTGACTGTCGCTGTGCTTCGCCTTTCATTTTTATTCGGTTTAATGTGTTGAAATGTTCAGGGGCTGACAAACTCCCCTACAGGAGGCGGTTGCGAATGTCCTCGAGCTTCTTTAGCACCTCAGCGGGCGTTCGGTCGAGGTCTTCAGCCACGCTTGCCTGCTTCTCAACACTGAGCGAGCTGAACTGCTCGCACAGGTCGCCGTCCGTGACGTTCTTCACCGGGATGTAGTACGAGCGGTACGACAGGTGGTCGCGACCACAGAGCGGGGGCTGCTCCTGACGCATGTACATCTCCAGGTGAGTGTAAAAGTCCACGTCCTGTCGGGAGGTAAACGGGATGAGGGCGCCGATGCGGCCCATGATCGTAGCGTAGATGATCGCCTCAATGCCTCCAGGGACCAAGCTCGTCCGCACCATGCTCGTCACAACGTCGCCGACGTGAAACTGTGCCACCTGCTCTAGTTTGTTCGGTGCACCGTTCAGAAGTCCCGAGTCCCACAGAATTCGGTTAGCGGTTGGGTTGTCAATCTCGTCCGAGACTTCGGATGGCAGTCGAGAAACGAACACGTTGCCGAACTTGTCAGCTCCGCACAGCGTGTCGTAGTCCAGTAGTACGCTGCTCGTGATAAAGCGCGGCACGCAGTCGTCGGCAAAAATCACCAGTTGGTTCTCGTCCTTCTTGTACTTGACGAAGTGGAAGGACTCGTGCATGTCTGAGGCGTAAATCCGATCACCAGCAGCCTTCAGCTCCACCAAAATCGACGGGAAGTTGCGGTTCTCGCACTTGCGCAGCATCTTCTTCTTGCCCAGGTCGTAGATTCGAAGTGCACGGCCGACGGAGACCAGGAGACGCCCTTGGAACTCGCACATGGCGTGCGGGATGTCATCGATTTCGGTCGTGTGAACAAGCACCAGCTGCATGCCTTCAACAACACGGTAGACACGCAGATAGCCCCCTGCAGGCGCCTTCTGAGGGTGCAGCTGCATCTTCTTTACAGTGCCGACGATAATAAACGCTTCACCTCCACGATCATGGAACACACACGAAGCAATACTGCGGGCCCGCTCGTCCACGTCCAGCTCTTCACAAACCACGGTCTGGCACGATACTGGGTCAACGATGCGCACGCAAGACGCCCACTTATCCTTCTCTGCAGGAAGAGGACCACGCGGGAACAACAGAGCCTCGTTAATTTCGTCCTCGTATTCGTCATCCTGCTCGGCGGCACTTCGGATGTCGGGGATCCGGAGACCGTGCTGCCTCTTGTACGCCGCGCCGTACTCGTTGTGGTCGCTTTCAATAACAACCAGTCGTCGCGACGCTGCGTGAACGACCGCCTTGCGAGGTGTGTAGCGCAGGTTGCACTTCTGCTGGTTAAACGTATCTCCGAGTTGATCCACAGTCAGAATCTTCATCCCTTCATTTGTCAGCGCAACGATGCCACCCGGACATTGCTCCGAGTTGAACGAACTCGCATACGAGAGCAATTCGCACGACAGTGGCGTGAGGTGTCTCCGTGTCTGGTGGAAGTACGAGATCCATGAACGACTTGAGAGCGCAAGGATTGAGCGCTTGCCTTCCACCGCCACACGGAAAAGCTTCACAGGGTTCGTTCCAAGGAAACGGGACCGAGAATCCGTCAAGTTAGCTGTAATTGGGTCGATCAGCGACTGCTGCAGCACACCGTTATCCAGACCAATACTCAGGAACAGTGATTGAGACGAGTGCTCCGAGTCAGGCGTCGACGGCTCACTCTGCAGCTGGGCTAGGCAGAGCGTGTGTGGGTGGGACGTCAGCGCCAGCGTGGACTTTTGTCGGAAGAGGTCGTTGGGGTCGAGCGAGAGGATACGGACCGTGTTGTCCCAGCTGCCAACCGCCATGAACTGGAACCGTTGGCGGCCCTCAGGGACCTCTCCGAGGTCGAGACTGCACACTTCAAAGCCCAAGTCCAGCTTGCCCTTCTCCGCGAGCTCACCCGACTGACCCAGCTCAAAGTAAATAATCTCGCCACCAGCGAGAGAGATCACAACCTGACGGGAGTTGGCAGCACAGTGCTCAATCACCTTCTTACCGGGGGCCTTCCACTCCGTAACGGGCTGGAACTTGGGCACGTGTCGGATTCCGTTCGCGTGGATCTGCAGCTTCGAGTCGTCCTCGAGCAGCGCCACCAGCAGTGAGCCATGGTCACGCAGGAATCCCGACTGCGTCACTTCCTCCACCGTTTCGCCCACCTCCAGCACCAGCGTCGCGTCCTCAAAGCTCACCACAATGTACTTATCGTACGGGTCCGCGTACGACTCCTTCAAGCACCACACCGCCTTGGCAACACCAGGGAGCGCGCTCGCAGCCATCTCCGTGATGGGGAGACCGTGACGCAGCACACGCAGCGACGAGCGGTTGCTGTTTCCACACAGCGCGTACATCTGCGGGGTCTGTTCATTCGCCAGGTCATCCACCAGCAGCTGCGTGACCGGACTCAAGCTTGGCATACTGCTCGCTAGCTGCAGATTCGTGAGCTTCCTCAGCGGGAACGTCGATAACTCGGTCGGGTCCATGGCCAAGCTGGAACACTTGGCCGTGTCGTCGCCCTCTCCAATGCTCAGGAACTGGAATAAATAGTGGTTCGAGAACTCGGACGCGCAGAAGAGCAGGCCCGTCTTGGTGATGCACATGGACGACGCCACGGGCACCGTGTCAAAGAACTGGATCTTGATCTCCTCCACGGCGTTGCCCGAGTAGTCCAGCGAGATCTTGTACAAGTCTCCCAGCTCGGACTGCAGCAGCACGAAGAACAGGTCCCTCTGCTTGTGCGTGGCCGCCGACACAATGACGATATCCCTGGGCTCTCCCTGTCGACGCGGGATGGCGCACGTGAGCTCCGGGTGGCCCTCGTTCTTGTACTGCACCGTGTTCTCTCCAAGCACCAGCACTCCTCCAGGTCCGTCACCTCCTCCGGGCACCGCCACGAGCATATTGGCGCTGCGCACGACCTGTTCACTCCACCTCCTGGTCACGTGGTTGAGTCCGAGGTCCAGCTCGTAGTACACGAGGCTCTTGACCGCGTCCCTGGCCGCCTGGCCCGTCGGGTCCGCGTCCGCCTCGGCGTAGTCCAGCTCCAGGCAGGCGAAGATGGGGTTCTCGAAGCCCACGTCCAGCCCCACGACGCCCAAGTGGATGGCGTTGGAGCGATGCGCCTCCAGCGGCGACGAGATGGTCAGGCGGCTGGACGCGTCGCGGTTCATGACGTACACGAGCTGCTGCTTCTCCACGGCGCCGACGAGCAGCGCGCGGCCCTTGGGGTCGGCCGCCAGGTACTGGCCGGGCGTGATGCGTCTGCAGCCCGTCTTGCCGTACGTCTCGCTCTGGCGCGCCTCGAACTGGCCGCTACTAGGGTTCACCTCGAGCACGACGATCTTGCCCGAGTCCGAGCCGACTACCAGGTAGTCGCGCTCGCCCCCCGTGAGCCGGAAGGGCTGCAGCGCGCGCACGACGCCGAAGACCTGCGTGGAGATGACGACCTCGAGCCGCCCCGCCTCGTCCGGCCGCAGCAGCTGCAGCACGTCGCCGCGCGCCGCCACGAACTCCTGCGCCTGCGGCGCCGAGAAGTTGCCGTACACGGCCGCGTGCACGCCCGTGGGCGGCTGCAGCGTCAGGTTCAGCAGGTGCATGGGTCTTCTGCTGCCTCCGGGTCGAATGGCCGGGATTTGGGACTGATAGAGGGGAGTGGTGTGGTGCACATGAATTATGTACGATGAATATAGCGCTGTGCGTACGGTACAGGAAAAAGGCAACTTCAACTAGCGGCACAAGTTGAAGCATTGTCAACCAGCCGTTAGGCCTCGTCGCTTTGACATGAAGCTGGAGGCCTGTTGCGGCGTCACAGTTGCTTTGGCAATGCCGCGTGGCAGTCGAAAGAGGAAGGCGGAGCCAGCGGAGGTGGAGGAGGAGGAGGAGGAGGCGGCCATGGACTTGACGGCGTTCTGCGAGGGATTGCTGCGTAATGAGTTGCGGATCAAGGACTTGAAGGAGGAGAACACCCGCTTGGAGGAGGAGAACGCCCGCCTGCGGCAAGGATTCGGCGACCCGGACGTCGTGATCAACAAGCTGCTGGAAAGCCTCCACCACTAGCATCCTGCGCAAGGCGCTCCAGCCGAATGCGCGGCCTCCGCGAGGCAAGGTCCGGACGCTGGTTCTGCACGACCAAGCGCCGGATTTACCGACAGCAGCGGTGGCGAAAGAGGAGAAGCGAGCGACTCAAGCCCGAGCTATCACGCGGTCGCCCAGGAAGAGAGCGGGCAGCGTTTACAGCAGCGCGGCGTCGGAAGCGGGTGAGGAATCGGCGGGTGACACTGCGGACGACGAAAAGACCGAGACGGCGTCGATCAAGAGTCAGAAGTAGGAAAGGAGGTGCATTCATTTGTGTGAGAGGATTTCTGTTAACTGAAGTTAATAGTAACTTGGGGAAAGTATCCTGTTGCAGCACTTGTATGAGCTGCCATCCCCCGGGTTATCCTACCGTTGGGCACTAGCATCGTCGACCACGCCCCTTCCACCCGTTGGCTGTTGCGTTCACTTTGCCTTTTTCACTGGAGCGGGTGGGTCTCAACCGGAAGAAGATGGAGCCTGAACCTGACGACGGAACAGGAGCGTGGAGATCTCGCACGATCTTAAGCGCGAGCTTGACCGTCGGCGCGCGTTCGCGTGGGAGCTGCTCGAGAAAAACGAGCGCCTGGTGCGGATGATGGAGAGGCAGCACGCAGTGTATGAAGAGCATCTGAAAGAGTTGGCAGAGCTTCTTCGCAACGCGACTCTCGATCATGTAGCTGGAAGCACTGAGGGAGGCCCTGGCGGCAATGACAGTGGCCCGTAGTGTGCTGGCATTTCGGAATCGTGTCAAAAGTGACCCAGCAAGGGATAATACGAGACGTGCTTGCACTGTGTGTGTGGGTGTTCGTGGACGAAGTGCAGATGGTTTGCTTTGGTGCTTCGGAGCTTCGCATGAGGATCGTAGTGGTATCAACAGTTTGGGCAAAGTGTTGCAATAAAGACCTCATGCTCCCTCAGTTCAAACTTAGTTTTCTTAACCTTTACTTTAAGTTAGTCGATTCCACGTAAAGTTGCATCTTGATTTTTTGAAAAGTGCTGGTGCCGAAGTAGCTTCAGTTTAAGGGCACTTAAGCGAGCAATTTTCCGCCATTCCTGCAAACCCACAACGGTCGAACAAAAGCTACCTACGGCCTCTACCTTGGCTGCCATCGACGAGTAGTTTGTGGTTGTAAGGGGTATGATCACTTCCACTGCGATAGATACTGACAGCATGTCGCTTCACCTCACTCATTGTCGTGTCTTTCCTTTGATCCTTTCATTGCAGAATTCGCCATGGAGGCCCGCAAGGATCGCAAGCGCAAAGCGGCGGAGGTCGCCGAGTCTCCTGAGTTCGTGCAGGCGGCGATCACTCAGCTCTCGTTGGCCCTTACCGAGAACGAAGTGAAGTTGAGGGGAGAGATCCGCGCTCTGTGCGAAGAACTCAGTGGCCTGAACAAGCAACTGGCGGACAAGAGCGAGGAGCGTGAGATGTGGAAGCAAGACGCGGCCTTCCTGCACGCAGACGCCGTGATCGACCGCGCGCGCTTGACGCTCTGGCACAACGGCGACCTCAGTCTCCTGCGCAAGGTCATTGACCCAAGAACTCGAGCGCTGCGCAACACCGAAGCACGGGGCGATCGCACTCTCTACTTGTGCGAGTCTGCACCGAAGAAGGCCAACGGCAAGGCTCCGTCGAGCAGCTTCAGGGCGTCGGACGTCTCCCCGAAGCACGAGAGCGAGGAGGCCAGCACTCCAGCTCGAACGCCGACGGAGTCGGCCCCCGACACGAACCAAGACGACAGATCGGCCGAAGCAAAGGAGGACGACGACTACGTCCGCATCCCAGTGCCGTCGGACAAGGAAGACTCGGCAGCGATGGTCCCGCTGCCCGCTGGTAAGGAAGTGCCGACTACTACGATGACACCGGAGCAAGAGACTCCGGCTACGGACGACCAGGAAAACCCGGCACCTGTGCAGAAGCCCGCGTACTTTGACAAGAACTTGGAGGCGACGGAGCAGGAAGTGGCAGAGTACACGCTCATGAACTGCGGCGCGTGAAGTACTGGCTTGAGCAGCGTAGGCAGATCGAGAGTTTCAAGCTTGGCTTAGGCACTTTTTAACGTTCACAATGTGATGCAGTTTCTTCTCTGTCGTGCCCATTTTGTAAGTCCTTGAATGCCGCCATGGTCGATCAAGGTGAAGAATTCTCAAGCTCTTGCCTGCAGATGAAAAAAATCTATGCCTTCATTTATCGAGAAGATTACCTCTCCGATCCATAAATCGACACTACAGCAAGGCAAAAGGTTAGCTGGTTGTTGCTGTGCGCCGTGCAGCTCGGGTCAGATGTCCGGCAGATTGAGGTTTGCAGGTTTGGCTTGGTAACGTAACGCAGTGCCGTTTTGTCTTCAGCATTTGATGCTTGATAGGTGTGTTCCTATGCAAAACTGACCACGCACGCTATTGTTGGGGCATGGCGCTCAACGTTATTCATTTCCCATCGTGCTGCAGAGTACAAGGAGCGGGTTGTGACGCGCCAGCCAAGATGGGGAACTCGCCGCTCTCTCGCGAATTTTCGGGTCGTCGCCTGTCGTCCGAGGAGCGCGAGGCCATGAAGCGGTTTGGCGACGAGGAGATGCGGCTGCTACGAGAGACCTTCAAGGGCCTAGCCAACGGCAAAGACGGCGTCAGCGTGGACAAAGAGACTTTCCTCAAGTGCTTCCCCATGCGAGGGCTGCTGGGCGAGCGCTTGTTTGAGGTGATCGATAAGGACGGCTCCGGTACGATTCACTACAACGAGTTCGTCTACGGCCTGGCCATTCTGTTCCGCGGGTCACGAAAGGAGAAGCTCAAGTTCGTCTTCGACCTCTACGACCTCAGCGAGTGAGTTGCAGCTCTCATTGAGGTATTCTCTCCTCTCTAACTCTAGTTGGGTTGTGCTAGGTCTGGCTCCATTTCTCGGCACGAGCTCCTGACCATGCTGCACCAGTTTCCGGAATCTGCGTTGGAGCTTATCAAGCCGAAGATGCAACACGAAGAAGCCAACAACTCTCCAGAAACGTCAAGCCCGAGCAAGCTGGTGGGTCCTCAAAGCTGTGCGGAGAAGAAGAGTGTCTTACTGTCGTCTAACCCAACCGTTTATTGTGTTTGCCGATAGATGGATGAGGTCGAGACGCTCGTAGACCTGGCCTTTCCGACTCCGAGCCCACCTAACACGCGGCTCACGTTTGAGCAGTTCTGCCACTGGTGTGAGAACACGCCTGGCGTCACAAACGTACGTAGCCCTGGTCACTTCTTCAACCGATTCATACTTGCAAACGTTGAGGTGTTTGTTTTCGTGCAGTTTTTGATGAGCGTGTTGCCTGTGGAAGACCAAACCATGTCGAATGGTAACGGCAGCCTCAGTCCCCACGGCAACGGAGCTCCTGTTGCTCCAGTCGACGGGTAGGTTTCCTCTATCGGTACAAAACTGAAGAGAGCTGAGTCTAATATTTTCTTACGGACTGTAGATCCAGCTTAACCCCAGGCAGTCCCTGTCCTGGAGAACAAGGCGAGATGCGCAAGAAGCGCAACTCGTTCGCAAGTCTGCACGTAATGTAAGTGTAAATTAGAGTTTGTTTTGCGCGAATGAGTAGCACACTGACAAACTTATCGTACTTTAGTCGCCCAGCGGCAAAGGCGGCGGAGGGGGCCAGCAAGAAGGAGCTTGAGAAGACCCGGAATCTGCTGCAAGAAGCTAAACACGCTTGCAACGTCGAGAGCGTGACGTCCAAGATCCAGGTGGCTCTGGCTGAAGTGGATCGGTTGCTCTCGCTGCCAGCAGGAACTACAGGGACGACCACATCAGTGTCACGATGTGGCTCCTTCACCAGCTCTAGCGGGAGCCCAACACCTTCGCAAGCGCTGGACGAGATCCCTGGTGCCGTTCTGGTGGAGGACTCGTGCAGTGTCTCGGGAGACCTGTGGAAGCGAGGCTTGCGCCTGCGCAAGATGATCAAGCGCCACTACGTGCTACAAGGCAACTTCCTCTACTATTATGCGTACGTTCATGCTCCTCCCTTCTTCCTAGACCTTATTAAGCTGACACACACCTTGACCATTGATTGATGCAGTTCCCCAGACGACACGGCACCTCGTGGCGTGACGTTCCTAAGCGACTGCTATGTGGAAGTACAGCCAGCCCAGAACGAGATCGTAGAGAAGGGCGTGCACTACTTCGGCATCGACATCGTTCCAGAGCCCGGTAGCTCTCGTGAGAAGCGCACAGTGTTTGCTCGTTCCCTTGACGCTCAGAAACGTTGGGCCGCAGCTCTGCGTCAAGCCACCGACAAAATCGCAATCGAGGAAGTGTACGACGTTGGCGCTCAACTCGGCCGTGGACGCTTCTCCAAAGTCTGCGAGGCCACGCACAAAACCACCGGCGTCAAGTCGGCGGTCAAGATCATCGACAAAAGCAAGCTGCAGCCCACGGAGAAGGAGCTTCTGCGCACAGAGATCGCCATCTTGAAGCTCGTGCGCCACCCGAACATCATTCGCCTCTACGACGTGTACGAAGACCGCCAGTACATTTTCATCGTCACGGAGCTGGTTTCCGGTGGTGAATTGTTCAATCGGATCGTGGGCCGAGCGAGGTACACGGAAGCCGAGGCTCGGCTCGTCATGCGTCCGCTGCTTGAGAGCGTCAACTACTTGCACCGGTTGGGGATCGTGCACCGCGATCTCAAGCCGGAGAATATTCTGTGCGGTGAAGCGCTCACAGACCTCAAGATCGCGGACTTTGGACTGTCGAAACTCGTGCACCCCGAAGAACTCATGAAGATGCCGTGTGGAACGCTGAACTACGTGGCTCCAGAGGTGCTGGCGCTTGTTGGCTATGGTCGTGAAGCAGATATCTGGTCCCTTGGAGTCATCATGTACCTGTTGCTGCGTGGAGAGCTTCCGTTCTACGGTAAAGCCAAGAGCGAGGTCATCCAGAAGACTCTGCATGCTGAAGTCAACCTCGAGACGGACTCAGCCTGGCGCAACGTCTCCCCCGCAGGCAAAGCGTTGCTGAGAGGCTTGCTCACCAAAGACCCAGCGCGCCGACTTACAGCTCAGGACGCTTTACTTCACGAATGGTTCTCGGCCAAGTCCCCGCGCCCGTCGATAAACAGTGCTACGGGTGGGGGCCTGGTGGCGACACCACCGAAGGACAGACATTAGTCTCCGAATCGCAAGCTTAGCTATCGTTTTCGCTTTGATTTATTAGGAAAAAGAATACCACTACACTATGCTTGCTCGCTTGGCTGTGCCTCTGTTAATGACTGTGTTTGCTCGCTGCAAGCGCGCAAGATGCACTTCAAGTGCATGGGCTTGGGCTGTTGCAGAGCATTTTGCCTGCAGATCAGCTAGAGCAGCGGCTCGTAGTGCGGTTTGCTCACTAATGGATGAAACGGAGTTCCTGCGAGTGACGTCGAGGTTTGAGTTGGTAAACGACTTCGATCGGGTAAAGGCTCCCGTATTGTGAGCTACGAGGCGGCGGTGACGAGGTGATAGAATCATAGGAAGCGACGTCAACGGTTCGTGATCGTCAGTGCTGGTGCTAGAAGAGGTTGCCACGGTCTTCAAAGGTGCAGGAGGACCGCGATCAAGTGACGGTTTCTGTGGTGATAGTGCAATGGCTTCTGGGCTTGTTGGAGTGGCTTGTGTTGGTTTAACTGTCGATGAAGATCGTGCTCGATCGAGCTGCCATCTTTCATGGAGCAATAGAACACTCCAGAGAGGACCTGATGTTGTGCGGTGGCGTCCACAATATTTGCAGTAAGTTCCACTCGGCTCAATGACTCCACAGTTCGTGCACCGGAAGCGTTCACGTAGTTTGCAAAGCACTTCACTGAACCACGCGCGAGTCAAACGACCTCTTGCACATCGTTGAATTACAGTAGCTGCTTCATTGCGTTGATGACTTCTAGTCTCTTCAAGTCGCTCCTGCTTGAGTCTAGCGCAAAGTTTTCTGGCCGAGTGACCTCGAAATACGCGCTGCAGAAGTAGATTATTGGTTCTGTAGCGTACAAATCTTGCTGCGCTCTGTCGAGTCCGATACACTTGCTGCAGCTTTCTAGCAGCTTCATCCGCCAACTTCAAATTCTGAACTCGAGCTCGCCAGGAAAAATGAGCGAGGCGCAGTGCAGCCATTCGAAAAGCGTCGCTCAGTATCGCTAAACCATCACGGCAGCACCCGCGACGGTAGAGTTCGGTCTTTGCTCTGTGTCGGACTTTGCACATTCGATAAAAATTTGCAATCGCTTGTGCGCTGCTACTCCGAAGAGTTTGTCGCTGTCTCTCAACTTCTCGAGCGGCAACTCGCGCCTCCACACGCTTCCGCAGCATCCACCGTCGTACCCAACCCAAGAGCTTTGCGTGGGCTCGTTCAAGCCGCAGTTCTTGCCTTACACGGCGATTTCTAACACAAAGCACGAGCCAGTCGTGGACTAACTTCCGCTGTCGGTCTTCCTCTAGCTGCTTTTGCTGGCGACGAATGGTAGCGAAGCGCTGCACCTCCTCCATCTGACGCTTTCGAGCGATACAGTGCTGCAAGAGGACGTTCAATTGCGTCTCCCCCTCCTCAACTTCGCTCAAATACTTTCCAATTGCTTGTCGCTTGACGTATCGCCTGTAACTCTCCCGAATCACGCTCGAAGCAGCAAGATGAAGCTCCCTCCGCAGCCGCTGGACCTCTTGAACGCGCAGCGATTCTTGGCGACGCAAGAGCCACACCTGCACTTGACGCTGCAGTAATAAAGCCGCCAATTCCTTCTCCCGTTTCGCACGAGCATTTTTTCTCACTCGAACGTTGATTTTCTCCTCTTGACACTCGTCATGATTGTTGTTCTGTATCACGTCATTCTGTGGCTGTGGACTTGCAGTCGGGCCCCACTTCTTCGGCGATACCTTGCAACTAACTGACACTACTGGAGATCCAACTGAGCTGGCCGAAGTCGCTACTGTTGAGCCGAAGACGCTCGCCGGAGACCAGTCGGCGTACGTGTACTTGGACATCACTCGAAATGGCAACACTACTTCCACCAGAAAATAGCAGTCGACCGCTGATTGGCTGACAACTTCAACTTCGTAACGGTTATAGTGTGTGGGCCTTCCTTCGATCAATACGGAGCCATCAGCAGAATGGCGCTGCCTCCTCCTCGTGGCCACTGGGACGTGACGTACCTGGCGACCAAGTATCCGTGGCTTCGAGTGGACCAGCAAGCGCTGGAGGAGTTCCGGTCGCCATTTCGGTGGGTGTCCGACGTCTCGCCCCGCTCCCCTTCCAGTGATGACGCGAATGAGGGTCAATCCAGAGCCAAACCGCAGCACCCGAGGAAAAGAGGCACACGAGCCAGCAGCAGAGAAGAAGGAACCATACGAGGCAAGCGTGGTCAGCGCAAGCTAAAGAACAAGTCGAGGGCAAAGCTCAGCTTGATCCTACGAAATCATGCAAAGATCTTCTCGAACACCAGCAGTGGCGACGAATCGAAGAGGAATAACAGTCCAGGCAGTGAGGAGACAATGATACCACTGCTGAATATCTCTACGAGACCGGGGCCAACATTGATGCCTCTTGTGTCAATACCAGCACTAACGATACAGTCAGAACAAGACCGATTTGAGGACTCAGAAGCTGTACTGGGGAATTTACAGCAAGACCACGAGCTGCTCGTCCAGCTTCGCAAACACAAGAGAAAGCAGAGAAAACGCAAGAAGCCGACGAATCTTCTGGCTTTCAGCTTCCCGGTTATTAGTCCAAAGCCTGCAGCTTCGGTCCCGCGAGGGAGTAAGCTGGACTCGATAAAGGTTCAAACAGTCTCCACTCCCAGGACCTTGATGGATAAATACTCTCAACAAATGAAGGAACTTGCCGATGAAGAGCAGCGGCTAGAAGAGAGCGTTATGGCCCGCATTGCCGAGCAGAAGGCTCGTCTACCGTTGACTTTCCTCTTTGAACGCAACCTCATGCGTCGTTCAGACGCCCAGCAAGATGGTTTACGCATAGTGACTGCGATTTTCGCCAAGCTGCAGCATCGAATGCTCTTCAACAGCTACACCCGCTGGAAAGAATACGTCAGCGACGCTCGACGCGAAGACAAGAAGCGTGAGGCTCTTCGACTCGCCCAGCAGCGAGCTGTAGCACTCCTCGAACGCGTTTCTAGCGACGCCTACGTCGGGACACTGGCTCAAGGTTTCCAGCGTTGGAGAACTGTAGCGCGAGCTATAATAGAGCAGGAGCGACATCAAGCAGCTCGAGTCATCCAGAACGCTGTTCGAGCGCCACGATCAAGACTTCACCTTGAAGCACTCCGTCAGGCCGCCCAAGCCTTAGATCGCCGTCGAAACCAAGCTATCCAGTCGCTGTTGCGGTTCGAGCGCTACGGTACAAACATGAGGTGGAGCACTCTTCGCATTGGCTTCGACTTCGCCAAACAGAACCGTGCAGCACGAAGCATACAGCTATTCCTGCGGAGAGTAGCGCTACGACGGTGGATAACACGTCGCGTACGGCGTCGGGAGGGAGCTGTCCGGATTCAGACACAGTGGAGGGCGTACGTCGCTCGACAGCAGGTTGCACACCGTCGCGCTGAGCGAGCGATCCGCTTAGCCCTCGAGAACAAGGCTGCGACTCAGATGCAGCGAGCTGGAAGAGGATTTCTCGCTAGAAGCGAAGCGTATCGACGGAGGCTACGGCTTGCCAAGGCAAAGAAGACGGCGCTCCGGCTTCAGCGTTGGTTGAGACACCAGTGGTTCCTAGCCACACTCCACCCAAAGTTTCGTGAACGCAAGCGACTTATTGAAGAGGCTCGAGCTCGCGCTGCCGCGGAGGAATTAGCACGAATCCATTGGAAAGCTGCCATCGCAGTGCAGTGTGTATTGCGAGGCTTGATAGCTCGGAAGATTTACGCGTTCAAGTTGAGGGCCCATCAGATGGAACAAGCTGCTATTTATCTGCAGCGATTTTATCGTCGACGGCGCGGATTGTACGCGCTCGGACTACGCTTTGCTGAGCGTCAAGAGCGAATTGCTCAGTGCCGCCTGCAGGCTGCGATTGTGCTTCAATGTGCTCATCGGTGCTTCTGTGCGAGACTTAAGCGACTTCTCCTCGCCACAGAAAAGGAGAATCGAAGGCAAGGAGCCACAACTATTCAACGACATATTCGTGGGAGGATGGCGAGGAATCGCTACCGATCAACTCGACATGCGGTTCTGGTTATTCAATGCAGCATTCGCTGTGCTCTAGCACGACGTCGGCGTATCCGTCGATACGAAGCCGTCCTGGAACTTCAAACGTGGATAAAGGGCGTGTACTCCTGTCGAGCAGCTAGACAAATATTGAACAAACTACGAGTGGAAGCCAAACGACGAGAAGCTTCAGTGGTTCTCATCCAAAAGCTTGTGCGCCAGCACGAAGCTCAGACAACCGCGCGGTTGTTCCGTGAGGCGCTCAACATCGTAAAAGCTGAGCAACGACGATACTTTGGCTCTGAAAGTGGCGGAGTTCAGAGTGGAGTAGGCTGGGTGACACACCAGGCGTCTTCGGAGCTACTGACGTACGTGACGCAGCGATTTCTGGAAGATAGCTCGTGCTTTACGACGAAGGAGTTGCGGTGGCTGCGTATACAGGTGCAGGCGGGGCACGAACGCTTGGCACGCGAAGATCACGCTGCTGTGTATCTCCAGCGTCGATACAGAGGCTACGCCACGCGTATGGCCTACTGGGTGCACCGGATGCAACTGGACGAGCTTCGTCGGCTTAAGGAGAAGAAGGCGATCATTATTCAGAGTTATGCTAGACGGTGGCTAGCCAAACACTACGTTCGGCGCCTGCTAGAGCAGCGGAGACTGGCGGAGCTGAAGGAAGCATACATCCGCGAGAGGAAGCGGAAAGAGGAGGAGAGGCTCTGGAAAGAAAATTACGACCGAGAGCAGATGGAGTTGTGTGTGAAGAGAGCCCAGGAAGCGGCCAACCAGCTCCGTGAAGCGCGACGAGAAGCTGATCTGGCCCGTGTCAAGGCTGAAGCTGCTGAATACCGAGCGAAAGAGCTCGCTGCAGAGCGGGAAATCGAGTTGTTGTTGAAGACCCCCGTGACGAAGAAGACTGGTGATAAGAACGACGAAGAGAAGAAGGACGACGAAGATGCAGACGAGGAAGATCCGTGGATGCAACTCAACGACGACTATGGAAATGTTTACTACTACAACGAGAGCACGGGAGAAAGTAGTTGGGACCCACCACCTCCTCGCAAGAAGAAGACAAAAGTCTCACCAGAGGATGAAGAAGCTGACCCCGAGGACGCGAAAGCCCAAGAAGAAGAAAAGCCAAAAGAGATCGATCCACTCGAGGAGGTTTTACGGGAGGGCAAGTGTATCAAATGCCAACAAGCGCAATCGACTAAACGTTGTTTGGACTGCGAAGACACCAAACGAGCGTTTTATTGTAGATCATGCTTCAAGCAGCACACATCAAGTTCAACTGAAGAGAATTCGACTGCTATCAAACACGATTTCGAGGTTGTTCCAGAGGCCGCGGTCGTTCCTGCTCGCTGCGAATCTGGGGTGGAATGTGTCACCGATGAAGATAGTCCTCCCACAAATTCTAACAACCAAGAACCAGTCGAGAAAGGTCTCGCTGCTTACTACTGCTACGAGTGTACTCCCCCGCCACGGCTCGATTCCAGTTCTGAATCGACAAATACGCTGACTGGCGCTGTGGCTGGTGACAGTGAGCCAACCCCTTCTGGCTGCTTCTATTGCGAGTCGTGCTTCGCTCACGACCACGAGACAGCGAAGAAACTCCGTCATGTAGAAAAAGCGCTACGATTCCGTCGCGGAGCTCTGCTATGTTGCGACTGCGGTCACTCTCTCGCTGTTCGGCAGTGTGATACCTGTGGAGGCGACAAGTTCTGCGAGGCGTGCTTCATCTCGACGCACGCAGGCAGCAAACGACGGACTATGAAGCACATCTGGACGGAACTAGACGTCCTACGCGACCTCCTCGTGCACGAAACAGACACTTATTGCGTCGAGTGCGACGTCCGTGCCAGCTCAAGGCTCTGCAATCTCTGTGGCGACGGCTTCTGCGACGGATGCTTCGAGAAAACCCACGTGAAGGGAGCCAAGCGCCGCCACACGTGGCTGCCGTGGTCTGTTGCTGCGCAGCATGGCGACTGGATCGAGATCAATGATGACAAGGCCACCATCTACTTCAACGTCGAGACGAAGGAGTCGACCAACGAAAAGCCGAGCGTGCTGCTCTCAGGAGAAGAGCGACACCGCCTCCAATTAGCAGAGCGCGAGCAGCTTCAGCGTAGTCGGCAGGTCGAGCTCGAGAGTGAAGTGGTGATGCTCAAGGAGCAGCTTCGAGAGCTCCAGGCCCAAGACCGACCTGGAAGTCGCGCTCGAACACCAGGTGGGAGCGTTGATACCAACCACAGCAAAACCAAGGCAAAGCCGGCCAAGCGTGGCGTTCTCAGCAGACTCTTTGGTCGTAAGCCCCCACAACGAGATCTCACCCCCGAGGAGCGACAACGGATCGCTGAAGAGCTCACCAATCGGGTACGCGCTGAAAAGCAGCCAGTGAGTTCCCCCGTTTTCCAACAAGCCATGGTGCACGAACTGGCAGCACTTGCAGTGACATCACCGCAGCTCAACAAGCCGAAATAGCGATAGTATTTTAGGGAGTCAGGGGTGAATGAGTCGTTGTAGCTTCCCATGAAGACTTGAATTTTAAGTGTGTTGTTGCGCCGCGCTTTTGCCACGAGATCAGTGACGGGAGGAGTGTCGGACGATGCCAAGATGACTTCGGAGGTGCCAATTCCGGGTCAAGAGTCTCGACTGCATGATGACAGCGGCAGTGACCAGCACCCTGCATCTTCACTAGAGCAGCAGGAGAGTGGAGCCACCCCAGTTGAAGCAGATGCGTCCAGCGTAACAACGACCATCGAAAGCCGCCGATCATGGAGCTTGGATGATATCGAGGGTCTTGTGCTGGAATTAGTGGACGATATCGCGATTGGTAGTGCGGGGCAGTCCATGCAGAACGTCATCGGCGCTCGATTGTTCGATTACGTGGCTGCTTGGAGTTCGAAGGTACTAGAGGAGACGTTAGTATCGGCCATAGCCCCAACAGGAGATGTGAGCGTGGATTCCAATGATGCCAGCACTTTAAACGATTCCAGAGTTCTTCTAGGGCGTCGTAATTTACCACTAGAGCCGCTTGATCCTCCCAAGAGCAGTCCGATCGATGACACCTACCAACGGAGACTGATACCAATCAGAACACCAAAGCGGGACCACTACGACAACGAGTCACTCCACAGCGCAGTGAAGGCAGCGACTCGATCGCGTACTCATCCAGCGTCGGTCACGTCGTCTCGGTTAACGCAGAAGAGCAAAATGCGCAAGAAGCAGCACGGCGCGTCTACAGCCCAGATAGAAGTGACAGGACCTCAACCAGGAGTCCCATACAGCACCGAAGTTCACGATAACCACCACGGACACTCGTCAAGCAGGCAACATCTCGTGTCTCCAAGAAGAAACGTAGCAGCTCACCATGTTGCTGCAACAAATAACGCACTTGGTCCAGCAGACCCAGCTCATGACGGCACTCCACCTCCGTGGGACCCTCACTGCAACAGCCCTAACGCTGACACGGGGCTGCAACTCAACATTGACACAGAGACTCTTCGTCAGGACAACGGCGTTGGCTGTTCCCGAACTCGTCGCTCGCCACCTCCACTGTCACATTCTCCATCGTCCATTACATCAGCGAGACGGAGGCCGCACCCGCCAGGATCAGCTCACAGCGTGCAGCCAGCTAAAGTTCTGCGCTTCGGCGAGCGAGAGGAGGAAGTGAAGGTGGAGTACGCAGTCCAGAGATCTCCTCCACAGCGGTACAGCGTTAGTGCGAAAGGCGTCCTCCCCGATATTAGCAACGGGAGAATCACACCCCGCCCAAGCCTGGCGTTCCCAGCTTTTGGAGCGTTTGGTAGCGCGAACAGCATCGGTGGCGACAATGAGAAGGAGTCCCTTTTCGACGAAGATCCGTTAGAACAGCACTTCCACGCCATGCCATTGTCACCGGGGGTAAAAGTTCGAGCGGGGGACGAATCAAACGAAGGCCCGGAGCTGCCACTTTTTGCCTCACGAATGCGCCGATCCACGTTCGCGGTAAGTCCTTCAGCACAGATACAGCGCAGCGTGCTGCTTGCTGGGAGCTAACATTGTGATTCTCTCTAGCGTATGGATACTTGTACACTTCCAGCACCAAACCCGGATCCGCTTTCGCCGCGTACTTCAATTCCCACTAACCAGCACCTGGTGCAGCCTCAGACAGGAACGTTCATCACTGAGGCTGCTTGGGGCTTGGCATCTAAGAGCTCGATAGACGTTGCACATGGTCGTCTCGTGCCGGACTGCTGGGGTGGGGAGAAGTCCGAAGACTTGTCTTCCGCTGAGCCAACAGCTTCATGCTCGTGTAGCTCGTCGACTTCATTGGTACGGAACGGGGGCGATTCTAACTTGGGTACACGGATGGCTTTGCTCACTCGTCGACGTACTGCAGACACTCTTCCGCAGGCAGAGCAAGGTTCAGCGTCCATGTCGGTCATGCAAAGCCGAGCCCACTCGAACAGAAGCGATGAATTTCACAAGCGTGATCAAACAGCGCGCGTTCCACTTGAAGCCCCCATGCTTGCCAACGTCATCGTCTCCATCCAAGCGAGCACCAGGCGCTTCTCCGCGGCGAATAACGAGCGCTCCTGCTTCTTCACGTACGTCAATTTCACTTGGCCAACTTGTAGCGTGCAAAAACTAACCCATTGGCGTGCTATGATAGCTCTCGCTAGACGGAATCTGCTTATTAGCAAGAAAGGCACGCAGAATACCACCAACAGAGAGCTGGAGAGTGCGGCCACAATAATATAGACATAGTTTCGCGTCTAATTCCTCGGCCAATCTGCCGGAAGGGAGCGTTACTGAAGGGTGCCCAGTGTACGCAGTGCCTCGCTGCGTAGCAAGGCCTCCATGTCCCTCTCGATGGCTTCTTGTACGGTCAGCTCCTGCGTCGATAAGGCAGGGCCAAGAGGTATTCTGCCGTTATCTGGTGGAGTGAAGTCGGCACTGCTGAAATGCCAAGGTGCAGGTTCCATGCCTGTTGGCCGGACTGCAGCAGCTGCACTTGCTGCAGGGATCCCTTCGCCCCAGCGACGAGACGCGAACAAGTCTTCAGCGTACAGATCCTTCACCTCCTCAAAAATGGCGAGGTCGCCCTCCATATCTGTTGACAACTGGTCCGGCATACGGTCGCTCGAAGCAAACATCAGCGGGTCTGGAACAGGAACGTCGCTGTCTCGATCTGCAGCATACACCACTGGGGCTGGTTCGACGGGCCGCTCACTGACTGCAGTTTGTTTAGTTTCCCTCTCAATCTCGCGGTCTCTTCGTTCTTGTTGGAGCCGTTCTTGCGCTGCTTTGAGGTCTTCTTTAAGCTGGTTCATCTCTGCCTTATATCGTTCCTTTTGCACCTCGGCCTTACGCTGCATTTCCTCCTGCTGCTGTTTCACCTTCAAATGCATTTCCTGCTGTTGTTCAAGAAGCAGCGAGTGCAGTCGCTCCAGCTTTTCTTCACCTGCCGTCGCGGAGCGCTCAAGTCGCTGATCCAGAGCCGTTTGCTTCTCCAGAATCCGCTCGTTGCGTTCCTTCAGCAGCAGCTCCTGCGCTTCCTTCAGCTCCTCCTTCATCTGCAGCAGTTCGGCATCAAACTGCTCCTGCTGCTCCTGCGTCTTTTGTCGCATCTCCTCCTGCTGTCGCTGCACGAGCGCTCGCAGCTTGTCCACCTCCAGCTTCAGTAGGTCCAGCGTCTGCTCAGCCTCCAGCCTCGATCGGGTCTCGGCATCGGTGCTCTCCTCCAGCACCACTACCCGCTCTTCAAACAGCTGCGCCTTCCTCCTGGTAGACCGCAGCTCAGCCGTCAGCTCTTGGATCTCTTCCGCATCTCGTCTCACCTGCTCTCGCAGCTCCTTCACCTCCGCCTCCAGCACCTCTCGCTGCCTATTAAACTCTTTCTCTCCTTCCTCGTGCAGAGTCCCGACCTAATACGTTCACACCCCATAACGCTTAGCAATACAGCCGCCTTACACTATAATTTACACTAGAGCTGCTCTCAATTGACAGGGCTAAAGGTCTCACCTCAACTATACGTCGCACCAGCTTGGCCACTTTCTCCCGGTCTTCGGGGCACAGATCTGCGATTTTTGCATTAACGGGGCGGCTCTCCTCCGTCTCCAGGGTCGCTTTCGTGCGCACCGACTGCCGCATTTCCCTCCATCGCGACGGAGCGGCCTCTGGCTCGGTCGAACCGCTTTTCCGAGCATTGGCACCTCGCTCTGACGCCTGGTTTGAAGCCCGGAGAGCCCCTCCAGGTGCCATACGTTGCTGTGCTGTAGCTGAGGACGCCCTAGACGAGTTGCACGTGACACGAGCAGCTGAAGTTACTGCTGGGCGCCGAACGCCGCCTCCCGCCGGACCGCGTCGATGCCATCCAGCTTGAGCGTCCATTGACGCAATTTTGCCGATTGAAGCAAAAGTGACGGTACACACTGACCAAATATGGCAATAAGGTCTAGTGTGATATTTACCGACATGGGCAAGCTGATGCTTGCTGGACGCATCACCGATGTGACATCGATTCTCCAAGTGCCATCCATGCGTCGTGGGCGTAAGGTGGCGATGCCCTTGCACGGACGAGAGCCCTCGACGCCAAGACAGTATCTTTTGCCATTGAATTTACAGTATGAAGTGACGTTGAAGGGGAACCGAAGTGCCAGCTAGTTGCGTAAAGTACCATGCGAGACAGCACTCAACTTAAAACGCTTCAAGTCACCACACCACACGGAGCTCACAAGCTCAAAACCTACAGCGCACGGCCAATCCTCGTCGAATTCAACTTGCCCGCATGCGAGCCTTGTAGTCACTCGAGCTCTCCATCTTCTTGCCCTGGCTCCAAATCCCGATCTTCTTCTTCCTCGCCTTCTCCTCCAGCTTCTCGTAGACCTCCTGCTTGCCACCGTAGACCGCACCCGCTTGGCGATACACTTGTCCCAGCCCCACCTTCAGAATCTCCTCCGACGCGTCACGTCGGAACGGCCACCGCCCATACTGCACCATGCACACTGCGCGTGCATACTGGTCCTTGTGCAGCAGCGTGAGCGTCAACTTCCTCCTCTCGAGTGTCGTAGCCAGCCATTTCTTAGCGTCATCTCCGAACGGCTGGCCTGGGTTCCCGAACTTGGCCGTCTCCGGCGTATCAATGCCCGGGGGGCGCATGGGAGATGGTGGGATTTGTCTCGCGACCACTTTGACCACATTTGACCACATTCGACCAGATTTGACCACAATGTTGTCTCGATGGTATGTCTCGATCCTGGTGGAAAAACAGATGTGCTATGAAAGTTAGATTTTATTGCTATACGCTAAAGAACTCTATTATCGTACGAGTAGTATTCTTCTTCGCTAGCAAACACGCAGGATTTTGAGACCCTTCACCGCACTTTAAGTGCTTCTGGCGGCAGCTCGAACACGAAGTCGCCTTGCTAGCTGGAGCGAGAGGTGGAGCAATGCTGTCAGATACCTCGTTGCCGCTACTCGCTGGCTTGGGACAATTTTTTTCTGCTGTTCGACGTTATTTAAGGCGACAGCGTAGTTGATTATCCGTGAGGTTCGCGTCAGGGTAATATTTCTTCAGCTCCTGCTGCAGCAATATATATTTTCCACGAGTATACACCAGCGAATCAGACAGTTTACGCAACTCAGCCAAGTGCTCTGGTGCGATAGTAGATGGCCGAGGCCGTTTTGCTGGAACACTTGATTGTCCTGCATCTTCACCAATCCCAACAGTGTCACGACAAATAACCTGCGGTTGTAGTCTTGCTGGAGGTGTGTCGTCTGCATTTGCACTAGTTGTAGTGGTCGCAGCATCGATGTCATCGTTCGCTGCAGTTTCTTGATCTGTAAGCAGAGTTCTTAATGGCTCGGCTCGTTTTTCTTCTTCATTAAGGGCTGGACAAGATAATGGAGCGTCTGTGGGGTTCGTGACCATCGCTAGTCTCCTCTTCTTTCGGTTTTGGGCCGCCTTCAGCGCTTCCCAGCGCTTCTCCCGCACCGATTCATCAAGTTGACCAATTCCAGCGCAGACACAACTTGCAAAGTCGTAGATACGGTGGAATAATCGTTTACGAGCTGTGCCGGCCTTGAACTTTCGCAGAATCTTGAAGACATCGCGCATCAAATCAGCCTCGCAGTCTATCGGTGGACGCAAAGCCAGGGAAACAGCTTCTTGAGGAGCAAAATGGAATATTTTTGCTTGTTTTCGAGCGGAGCTTGTACTTTCAGGATCAGCACCAAGCGATTTAATTTTTGAGACCATCGTAGCATAGCTCCGCTGTTGTAGCCGTATTTTAGGGTTCGTGTTGTTGCAAGCAACAATATTGAACATCATCGTTGTTATCATTTCACACGTGCACCATTCACGCTTACTAGCAGCCTGCTCGCTGCGCAGCTGCCTGAGCAGTTCGTGTTCCTCCGTAGAGAAGCCCTGGTCGCCTTCACACTCGGTACTTGCCAGTCGAATAGAGTTAAAAAACTCGTCACGCTTCAGCTTGGCCGATGGGAGGGTAACGACACTTTTTAACAGCAGTTCCGCTACGGTTGAGCGGTGTTGCCGGGAGCGATTAAGATTCCCTTCGAGACATGTTGTGTTCACTCTTGCACTTTGAAATACCTGTGCCCAGGAGTCAAAGTCAAAGTCCCGCTCGGTCTCCGTTCTATACTGCGGGGGTACAAGCGGCGAAGAGAAAAGCTGCATCACATACTCCATCTGAGGCGAAGTAGGGACCATCGTTCCACAGAGTAATGCAGTATGGCTCGCCGAAATCAAATCAACGCCATTCATGGGCGGATTGCGCCCGAACTTAGCACCGATAGACAAATTATGCTTGACGATAAACCAATCTAAGATCCGCAAGCCAACATCAATCGATACATTTCTGGTAAGCAGTTTTTTTAAGGAAGAGTGAAAGCCCTCAAGTTGGCTAGTAGATACCACGCGAACTCGATGACCGCCTTCCTCGTAAGTGTTTGAGCCCACGTACAACTCGCCACGCTGAATCTGCTCCAAATTACTCTGACACGACCCTTTCCAATCTTTCAGGCTGCACGATACACTTGAGCGCAAAACACCGCTGACTACACTTTGAATTGAAGAGCCATTTCAGCAGTAGGGCGCAATAATTTCACGATCCACATTGTAGATCGCACGGGAGAGTTCCTTTGAAATTCGTTTGCTGGTGACGGGTGCCTTTATTTTTTCAGTGATGCGAGTTATCACGTGAAAGGGGTCCTGTTTTGTGACCACCTCGCTACCCAACACTTCTGTGACCATTTTCTTGACAGCCGACGCGTTATCCGACACAACTACATGATCCAGGTCACCCCCAGAAGGCGCACGAAACTGCGACTTCACATGTTGAAGCAAGGCTCGTGTTTCTTCCTTGTTTTCAGACCTGGTCAGCCGCCGCCCAATAATCTGCCCAATTTCATTCTGGAACAGCAAAAGCATTTTCGCATCTTTGAGAGATTCACGTTGCCCCTTGGCCCTCCACAGCTTTAGCCGCTTGCAGAACTTGACAGAGTGATCCATTCTCATGACCCTCTTTACAACACAGTCGTTCATCACTTTTTCACACAGCGACCCGTACAGCTCTGTAGCGTGTAGCCATGCCGTCGTAAGCGTGTGATTGTCAACAACTTTGTTTTGATCTGCATACTGATCCCCTGCTATTGGAGTGGGGGCCAGATAGGTGAAGCAACGCTCGTGGTTTCGCTTGATACCACTGGAAAACAGACCCAAAAGCTTGTAGTAGCGCTGTTTGCGTCTACGCTCCATATTGGCCATGGTACGTTGCAGCCCATTCTGCGCGGTAATACCGTCATGAACCATCTCCATGAGTGAGTTCGAGAACACTAGCTTTTGGCTCAGAACAAATGGAAAGTGAAAAATCATATCGGGCCATTGTGCAAAGTAATCCGAGCTCACAGTGGAAAAATATGATCCTGTTACAGCGCACCTATACTTCACAAATACCAGGTCGCACTTGCACTCCACAGATTCCACCACACGACGGCAATAGTCTTTCACCTTCGGATTGCAGTTGCAGTCTCGGCTGATGCACGACGGCAGACCTTTGCCTCCTCGATACTCCGGGGTCCACACGAACAACGGACGTGAAAACAACCGCGACAACTGCATTTCATCCACCTTTTCCTCAGGATAAACTAGACGGGGAGGGAATGAGCGCCGTCCAACCGCCTCGACCACTGCTGCCTTGTTATCATTGCGCGCTGCTGACAAGGCCATGCTTACTGCGAACTCCTCACCTACAAGTTCTCGGTAAATAAAGGGAAAACGGCTGCGCCCCTCCGGGGCTGCGGCCGGAGTTCGGAGATCTCACCTAAATTTATCGGAGTTGGGGGGCCTGTCGGCCCCCGAATCTCCCATAAACCCAATGCCCGCGAGTCGGATCTGCAGCGTGTGGTCCGACAGCTTCCCCTCGAATGTCCCGGCTCCCCGGAGCAGCGGCAAATGACGCGCTCGGAACGTGTCGCCGTCGCTGAAATTCACTGCTAGCGCCGAGGTAGTGGTACAACATGTTCTTCACGATGAAGTTGGTGCTCACGCGGGTGCCGATGCTGTCCGGGATGTCCTCCGTGAACGCCTTCAGGTAGATGCGGCGCAGGGCCAACTGGTTCTGGTTGCGGTTCAGGTTCGGGCCCGTCTTGTACTCGGGCAGGTAACGCACCAGCATCTGCAAGACGAAAACCATTCCATGGCTGCACGTGCATGGGTACGCTTACCATAGTGGTACAACGGTGAGGAGCTTCGCCATTGATGGCACGAGGTGGTAACCTGGTGCCATCAATGGCTCATCGAGGTGCAGGACTCAGGTGGCGGGACGACGGCGGAAACTTCCGCGACGACAACACGGGGAACGTCCGTCACGGAGGCCGCGCCGGCTCTGTGATTCTGCCCAAGGTTGTTGCGGAGAGGGTGTGAGAACAAGGATGGAAGGCATGCCAGGGTGCTCAGGAGAAGGCTTACTAGCGTTCACGACCGGAATCCTCACTCTTGCATTTGCTCAGCTACACGAACTATCTACCTTCATTTGGCAGCCCCCGCTCGCAGTCACTCTTCGACTCCGTTTGTCTCCTCATGTCTCACGTCTGGGACCCGGCCGCCGAATTTGGGATGAGTGTGGCAGCTTCTGGCCAACTGAGGTATCCATGCGGAGCTCGGGAGTTCGCCGCATCAATAACGCCGTGCGCAGGCTGGATTGGGCCCTCGTGGAGAATTCGCTGAGTCCTCCAGACGGTAGCGATGGGAACCCGTACGAGCTGTGTGCGGCAAGCCGAGACGACTGGCATCGCTACGTTCAGTCGGAGCAGCAAGAGCTGAAGTCGCGCTCGATGGCGTGGTGGGACGACAGGGTCTTCATTGTCGAGTTACCGGGGTCCCTGCACGAAAACCTTGTCGTAGGCGTCAGAAAAGCTATATCCGACGCAACTGGGACTGGTAGAACTCACTTGGTGTGTCATGGAGCGAAATATATTCGGGGCCGTGCACGCTTGGCGGGCGACATTATGGATCTAATAGGCGACCTCGAGCCGGACGAAGCCTGCGGTCCTGACTTCTGCCTTCCTGGAGCAGTGCTTCCGCAGGGATTAACCTGGTCATCGTTCCACACGCTGAAAGTGGAGATCGGTGTCTCAAAACTGGGGAGATCCTGTAGACCAGCCAGGGCAAGCTGGACAGCAAGGGCAAGCTGGACAACAGGGGCAAGCTGGACAGAGACGTCTTTCTACCTTAAACGAGAAGGCCGATGCGTGGCGGCAATGTCGGGGGGTGGAATGCGTTCTCTGCATTCACATCAGCCCGGGAATGCGCGTTCGTCAATACCGCTTGTTCTCCATCGTGGACGAGCAGTTCGAGCATCCTGACCTGCAGCCCGCGCCAATTGTCAACGGTACCGTCGTGCAGTTCGACCCATGGCGTTTGCTGGGGATTCCTCCTGGTGCTGCTCTCCCTGTTGGCTTCAACGATCCCGTTCAGTTCGATCTCTTCGCCGTTGTCAACCGGATCATTCAACAGGAGCAAATGGACTTGGCACTACTACAGGCTGCAGCGCCTGCAGTGCCTGCTGCTCCGGCTGCTCCGGCTGCTCGTGGTCGTGGTCGTGGTCGTGGTCGTGGTCGTGGTCGTGGTCGTGGTCGTGGTCGTGCTCCTGCTCCTGCTCCTGCTCCTGCTCCTGCTGGGGAACCCCCACGCCGCCGACAGCGCCGTGACTAGCCAAACACTCATGGTAGCAGCACAGATCTTTTTCTTTTTCTTATGTCACTGTTGATTCATCTAAAAACTGCTATCGACTCATTTGTTTCGAGTTGTTTCGTCTAATATGGTTGAATGCGCGACTCTCATGGCCGTGCTTACTGGCTCTACAAGGTGAGCTGCCTTGACTCGAACACGGACTATTCAGCTATTCCACCCAAACGAAACTTTCAATACTCGAAAACGTTTTTTGGTCATTTGGGAAGACTAACCTGGAAATGGTGTAGTCGAATAGTGTAGTAGTAGTAAGAGAGAAAGATGGAGGCTCTACGTCTTACTCAGTTGCGTTATGCTCTTCGGGAGCATCATCTGCTTCAGGAGCAATATCAACTGCGGCAGCGTCGTCTGTCAGCTCCTTCGACAGGTGATTCCACGTTCAATAAGCTAAAACGACACGGTCGAACCCCAACGTCCTATATAAAGTAGCATCCGAAATGCTGCTTCTGCTTTTTCACCAGTCGGCACACACAACGGCAAGTACGCAGCCACCGTCGACCTCCATCAAAGTCATGGCACGATAGTCGAGAAATCTTGTTTTGTGGTTACTTGATAATGTCTAGGACGCTATATAACCTCAATGATGACATACTCTTCAGAGCAGTATCAGAAAAACAAGGAGCTCACGCAAATTTTTGACGAAAGTCGAAGATAACGTTATATTCCGGTCAAATTTTGCATTCGAAGATTTTGTTTATTTTTATATTTTTCTTGGAATGCAATTTTTCTGAGTTTTACCATTATTATTAGAGTACACAACCCCAAAGTTTGCGATGAGCTCCAAAGCCGAACGGATCCAGGCCAAGCGTCATCAGCACGCGGCCGACGAGCACGAGCTCGACCTGTTTCTCAATGCACCGCAGCGCGCACCACTACCTTGCAATCCAAACGCAGCTCCCACCGCTGAAAATGGCGCACCCGAAGCTTCAGGAGCCAACGACCAAGTTCCACCTCGAGGAAGTACCGACACCGGTGCATTGCTGCCTGGTTTGGTGATTCTCAAGGGGTTTCTGTCGCCCCAGGAGCAGCAGGAGCTGGTGGACGACTCGAGGCGGATGGGCATGGGAGAAGGAGGCTTTTACAAGCCCACGTACGCCAGCGGGGCCAAGTGCCGACTGCACCAAATGTGTCTCGGCCGCCACTGGAACGTCAAGACGGAGAAGTACGAGCAGCGCCGCTCCAACCACGACAACGCACCGGTGCCTCCACTGCCCGAGAGCTGGAAGAAGTGTGCGCAACGGAGTCTGGAGGCAGCGAGGGAGATCGACCCGCAGGTGATGGGGACCTGCAAGCACATGACGCCCGACATTTGCGTCGTCAACTTCTACAAGAAGGCGGGCAGGAACGGCATGCACGTCGACAAGGACGAGAGCGACGAGGCCATGAGCATGGGCTCGCCTGTCATCTCGTTCTCGATCGGCTGCGCGGCCGAGTTCGCCTACATCGACCACTACCCGGAGCCGCACGAGGCTGTGCCCATTGTGCGCCTGGGATCCGGCGATGCGTTGGTGTTCGGCGGCCCGGCGAGGAAAGTGGTGCACGCGCTGACGAGGGTGTACAACAATACCCAGCCAAAGTGGCTGAGGATGCGCTCCGGGAGACTCAACCTGACTTTTCGAGAGTACAAGCCAAGCGAGCTTGCATGCTAACGAGACTCAAAGCAAATTGCTTACATTGCAGTTATTGAGATACAACTTTCGTCCAACGCCGTTCTAGTCCTCTCCTTTCTCAACGAACTATTTCATTTTCTTTTTCCCAAAGAAGACCAACATAATACAAGATGGCACCAGCCACTGAGAGCGATGGCTCGTCCAGCGACCTGAACGAATCGTGGGAGCGCCCCGTGTGGTACCAGCTAGTGGATGTGCAAAGAAACAAGCTGGGCTCGGTAGGGCGCGTGAAAGTGTCAAGCGATGACGCGCTGATTGTTGACTTCCTGGACGAGGTTGAGAAGAAGAACAAGAGAGGTCGCTTGAATGGAATTGTTGTTATCGATCTCGCGGTCTACGACAGCATTGACGCAACAAGCCCCATGAAGGCACGTGATACAATTGGCTCGCACGGCAAAACCGACTCAACGGCGCTCATCGTGGTCGTACCTTCTCCTACCCAGCTATCTCCTCAGCCACCTCTTCCACTAACTCTCCAGCCACGTAAAGAGCAGCTCGTTGTTGGTGGTGAGGCGTTTTCTGTTGTGGAAGGAATGACGGTGAACCCAAACAAGTTGACTGCGTTTTGGACAGCGCTAGCAAAACTTTCCAGTGGGCTCGAATATGGAACTGTGATCGAGCTACCAAGTGGAATCTATATCCTTGGAGACCAGACACGAGGATCCCGAGTCTTCGTTCGAGATTGCTACAAGAGACTTTTGGACGTTTGCAAGGAGAAAATTCACGGGAAGTATTCGCATCTTGTGATGCTCGGGAACCCAGGGATCGGCAAGACGTTTTTCGGGTATGTGCTTTTGCTCGAGTTTGCACGAACACACAAGACGGTCGTGTACCAGAATACAGAAGACGAACGGATTTTGTTTTCTCCTGACGTGGTTGTGCGAGGTTCTGGGGACGACTTCAAGCAATTATTGAGAGAGCCCGATACGTACTACATCGTAGACGGTTTCCGCCCTCGCAGCTATAATTGCAAGACAATTCTACTTACGTCGCCGAATCGTGAAGTCTCGAGCCGATTCTACAAGAAAAATTGCGCAAAGGTGTACATGCCTGTTTGGTCAGCGGATGAGATTTTCAAGTGTCACCCATTGATGTTTTCTGAACTTCCTGTTGACACGGTTTCGGATTGTTTTCATCGATGGGGTGGAATTGCACGCTATGTTTTGGACTACGCACTGGACGAAGACCAGCAAATGGAGCTGAAGTCTTCCCTCGAAAGGGTAAACGTTGAATCACTGTGCAACGCGATTGGAAAACTGACGCACCTGCATCTGAAATCTCTCACCGGCTGCTGCACTATCATGTTAGTGAATGCTTTAGCAAAGCGCACTTCATGTTCGCGTCACAGTATGTTCAGGACGAGGTTTACCAGCGTCTTTACGATCTGGAGAAGACCAGGCTGTTGAACTTCATTAAGGCAGGTGATGGCGTTGATGGTTATGAAGTCCTACGTGGGCAATTATTTGAAGGTCACGCGCATTTGGTGCTGGCAAAAAGAGGGGTTTTTGGGATTCGGCGCGTTCTCCCCGACGACACCCCCGACAATGCCGTGCAAGATGCTACACAGCTCCCACTCTCTGAAATGGAAACAGTCGTTTTTAAGAGCAAGGATGAGCTTCCTGCCGCTGACGACAATGTTTACCTGCGGCCATCAGCGAAGAACTACAAATCCGTAGACTCCATGGTCAAGCCTGATATCTTGTTCCAAGTGACTGGCGCTCACAAACACCCGTGCAAGCAAGGGGGGCTACACAGTGTCTTGGAACAACTTGGAGATCCAACATCACCCCGACTATATTTTGTGTTGCCGCCCGACCGATTCGACGAGTTTAAATACCAAAAGTATCACGACTCGAAGTGCAGGCTGATGGAAAGCTCAACATACCCGAATGTGCAGAATATCCAGCAGTATGCACTGAAAGTTGACCTGACATCGGAGCAGTGACTTGAACTACGTGCGTCCAGCCATCTTGAGAAGGCCAGCTCGATCGCCTTACTCGACTCACCCATTAGTTTTTCAGTTAAACCCGTTTTTACCAAAATATTGTGTGAATTGCGATGACCTTAATAGTTGATCAGGTATGAAGGCCCTCAAGCATGAAACACGTCGCAAGACCCTGTGCAATTGAATTCACCACACTTCACCTCATTTTATCTTTCAGTGTATCAGACAAAAATATTTATTCAAGAAATAACTGAATCAAGATAAAAAATTAGCTTGCCAACTCGCTGCGATAACGCACATCCAGCGAACAACCACTACTCCAACGGCAGCTCAACTTTCAGGGCGAATTGCTCGATCTTCCGCATATTCACGTAGCCCGCCTGCTCCACCCTTGTGTCAATCCCCGTTTGGTACTGGAACCTTTCGAAGCGGACTGGAGGCAACACGAAGTACAGTCGGGGCGATCCAGGATCTCCAAGGTGGCTCAGCACAGAAAGCAGCCCTGATCGATTGGACTGGCATTTATGCGCTCCAGTCACTTGGAACAAAACACCAGGCTTGACTATCGCGTCTACGGATTTGTAGCTCCTCGCTACCGGCCGAAGGTAGACGTTGCTGTCAGCAGCGGCTAGCTCCTCGTCGCTATCAAATTCCGCAACTCCCAACGTTGGAAGCGTGACCGACGTGTCGTCGCTTCCTGATTCTGAAGGCGCATTGGGGATATCGACCTCCATCGCTTCAGCAGACGCCGAATCACCACCATCATCCTCGTCATCACCTTTGTCGCTGTATTCATCACTCCAATATCCGCCGTTATAACCTTCAAAACCAACGAAATCCTTTGTCCTAGCAACAGTTTGCACTTCATGGTTGGGCAACAGGCGCCGAATCTCGAACCTCCCACCGCGCGGCAGCACCGAATGCACGTGCTCCTCAAACAAAAATCCACGAAGGATAGAGTAGGCAGCAAATTGATCCCTTTGGTTCATGAACTCCAGAAGCTTGCGCTTATCCTGCTGGTATAGGCGCTTGTAGACCTCCTCCTGGACATACCGCGACGCGAAGACGAAATGCGCTCTGGCGAACCACTTGCTCACTCGAAAGTGCAGTAATAGGATCGTGGTTTCAAAATCTGGGCTCTCGGTGTTCCAAAACGCGAACATCATGGCATCCAGCCTAACGCTGTTGAGGGCTTGTATCTGAGCCAATTCATCGCTTAGCACATATGCCACCATACTGACGCAAACGATCTTTCACCTTGTCGACAGGAATTTCAGGATAAAACAACAACGTGTGACACTTGAGAATTTCCTCCTCCGACCACACCGGCATGAACACCATACTGCAAGCGGTTTTGTAGAATTCATACCAGGCTTCACGACGCGGTGAGGTCAATAAAATCGTCTTACAGTCGTAGCTGTCCGGACGGAGACCGTCCACAAGGTAGTACGTAGCACGCTTTCTCAGAAACTCGTCGAAATCTGTACCTGATCCTCGCCCAACCACGTCGGGAGAAAAGAGAATCCGTTCACCCTGTCGACACTGGTAAACAACCGTCTCGCCTTGGTGTGCGAGCATACGCAAGATAACGTAACCAAAATACGTCTTGCCGATTCCTGGATTTCCGAGAACCACAAGGTGCGGCTCCTTCTGGATTTTCTCCATGCAAACTTCCCATGGTGGCGGGTAGCATTCCCGAACGAAAACACGAGAACCACTTATCTCCTGCCCAGAATATAAGTTTTGGGTGGTAGATCAATCACGTTTCCATATGCGAGGATGCTCGCTTGTTCAGTCAACGGTGTGGTCGTGTCGGCAGTGGTAGTTGCTACTTTTGCTGACGAATACGCGACCAACTCAGGAGGGTTCACCACCATGTTTTCTCCGACCGAAAATGATACACTGCCTACAGTGAGACGCTTTCTTCGATCGGGTTCCTGGGGAGGGGGCGGCAGAACCACAATGAGAGCCGTTGCTTCATTTTTCCGCATGGGCCAATTTCCTTGTCTCCACTCATGGGGGTTGTTTCGACACTGCTGGGGTATACCACGACATCGACAACTCCAATCCCTTTCATGCGACCCCCTTGTTCTTCTCCTCAACCTTGTCCACGAAGTCTACAATCTGTGCCTCGTCGCCCTTCGCCACTTCCACGCGGCCTGCCGAACCCAACTTGTTTCTGCGTTCATCCATTTGCTGGTACCACACGGGTCGCTTCGAGTCGATCAGACCGCTGGGTGTGCGTTGGTGCTCGGCCAGCGTCATCCTGTACGAGTCGACAGAAACAAGCTTCTTTCCGTGAAATAACGCCAAATAACAGTTTGTTTCATCCAATGGAAGCCTTCCAAAACCGTTTTAAACTTCTGTGTAAACGGATTTAAGAAAACTTATTCTGATGAGACGTATTGTGCTTTGCAGACTTTTTGGCACTTCAGACTGTAACTCGTACGACTTATCGAGCACGACTTATCTATAAATCGTACTCGAGTACGAATTGCTGTAAGTCGTGGATGGTCAATCAGCACTAAGTAGTGCGCATATGTCATCTCCTGCATGATTTAGCACATCCAGCATGGATTAGCATCGTTTTGGCACTTTCCGAAAGTGCCATTCTCCAGATTTTGCAGGACATCGATCTGGCTCACGAGCATAAGCGCAGGACGGAATGTCCTGTATTTTCCAAATCGAAACATCCCGGCGTCAAATCCTACACAAAATCTAGTATTATTGGCACAAGCTTGGCAAAGTCAATCTTTAGTGCTTTTGCAGGACAACATGTCCTGCAAGATTTGCTGCATTGCGGATGCCGCACCCGCAATGCAGCAAACTTCCGAGCTAATGCGCCAAGCAGAATATAACACACACGTGGTGTCCATTAGCGTAGCGTGCCCACCAGGAAGATACAGTATTCATGGCTCACTCTGTAGACCAAGGAGCATTTTAGTCGTACCAGTTAAAGAAATCTAAGCTCAGCCATACATTTCATACATTCTCAACACTATTTTTTTTAACTAAGTCAGCAGTAACGCCGAGTCGAACCAGTACGTATATGAACGCTGAAAGATGTACAAACAATAGCTCTCCATTACCCATTGCTAATCGCAACATTTAATTGCGGGGGCACACGCTGTGTCGACGCTTGCCATGACTGTTGTATGTGTAGTGTCCCTGGATAGCGAAGAGCAATTGCAGCACCTTCCCTTAGGGTCTGACCCGCTGAAGCCGCCCACGTTTGAGCCTCCACCGAGCGCCCATACCAGAGATGCCGTACCAGCTAGTTGTCGTGATCGTGATCGTCCTCAACGAAGTCGTCCACGACGCTACCGTAGCGAGCCCTCAGTCTTGATGGTTGCTGGTCTGCGCGCGTCATCTCCTGCCCGTCGAGATCCAGGCCAGCATGCCACCCGAGACCGAATCACCTGTACTCGAAGTCCTCGGTCACTTTGTTTCCTGATACGAGTAGAAAGGAGTCCTCGGCGTGGGTGGTGAGCATAGAATTAGACTTTTGTTGAGCGCCATATCGCTGACGATGTCCTTGTCGAAGAAGAGCTGGTCGTATTAGCGTGCTTCAACGCCGACTCGGCAATAAATTACAACCGCCTACGCCGGCCCAGTCTCGGCCAGCTTTTCTTGATGATGAAGAGGTAAAGTTATACTATTGTGCAGGTGGGGCAGCCTATGGCATGTTTGCTGTTGCGGTGAGGCCAAACACAGCCAAAACTGCGATGCTATGTTAATTTAATTCTGATTGGACAAAATACTACAATTTAGTGTGTCCTGGTATTGTCCTGTAAAATCCGTTTAAGAATCATTTCGGAGCCAAACTGGCTTCGAAACACGACTTGAGCAAGTCGCATTCAAAGCCACTATGATTTACCACTAAGTACGAACACTAACTAGTGCACTAATTAGGAGGGCAAACTGGTTGCAAAGCACAATAAATTACGTCTGAATAAACGAAGGGTCACTTCACCCCCTCATTGTGCAACTGCAAAAATTTCAACTTGATTAAAACATACACCTCCCTTATTTAGCAACTTGAAGGCTCTCACATATATCGACCTCTGCACAATATATATTTAGAGATGAATTCTGAGAAACATTTTATGTCGATGAAATGCAGGTTTTGGAATGCTCCCAATCATATGCGAGATCAACATAAAGCTAAATTTCTTATGATATCTAGCCCATACTCGTTGAAGAGATAGTATGGTGGCGCCGCAATTTACTCGTATCATTCTCTGATTTGCCGTTTTTACAGCTATCTGGGCACTTTTCTTAAACCTATTGCCAACGCTATAACGACAAGAATACAGCTGCACTCTATACTCTACATAGAGTAACATTCACCAAGGTCGAAAAAGTAAAAAGAAAACACTCTTGAGACGATGGATATTCTTCCATTCAAAAATATATGCCACACGTGCAACCAATCAGGGTATATTCTAGAACCAACTAGCCTGACTGAAAACTACGAGTTCATACCGATAAGTGTGAGATAACGGCAGTTTGCGAACGTGCTCAACGGCTGGTGTGCTGCATTCCGTTGCCGGAAGCACCCAACGCTACTGTCACTACTGCTGTCTGCATTCTGAGCAACGCCACGACTACTCCAATCTCCATTCTGACCAACGCCATGCTGGCGTTGCATGTTGCGCTGCGCCGCCAGCGCTTGCATACGAGTGCCCAGTACGGCACGGTCGCGTGCTGGATGTGGTACGGTTGAAGCCCGCGGTCGTTCTCTAGGAGCCGCCAGCGTGCAGCTCATCCAGCACAAGAACTAACAGCTAATACACTGGGTTAAGGAGTGAAGGAGGAGTTCATTTGCAGTGGGGCTGCCGTATCTTTAGCGTCAGAGGAAGACGTAACAGACTCACAGAGTCTCAGCTTAAGATAGCTCGTTCTAATACCAGAACGTACGAGTCCGTACACCTTACGGACTCCAAGAGTCAACCCTTAACGCTTAACTCTGTAAATCTCAAACTGAATGTATTTCTCTTTAGCGCGGCCAAACCGCCTACGGTGTAAATGTATCCGGTTCACTATCTAGCATAGTGAACCCTAGTCATATGCATAATCAGTGGCTCTGAAGCCGTGTACTGATTCTCCCTACTGTTTTAGGTTAGACAGTGTGTATCCACTTCGTAACCCTTCGGGTAACTCTCGTGTAACCCTGCTACAGCATTTATTCCAACATTTACCGCCTGCAGCGCAGGTCTCCTTCTCCACTTCCAAGTCCCTGCCAAGGCATTCTGCCGAAGCTATTCCGGCGTTCAGAGTCTCGTTTCCCTCAGCCTCCACTTGTGTGCAAACTGAGCAGCATCGGTGTGGACACCATACAAACGTCAAGTGTTCACACGTCGCAATAAGCACTAGGAAGTCATACCAGAAAGTACGTGTTCCTACGAGTAAGTACAATATCGTACTCGTACATTTTGGTATGATATCGTAATTTTTAGTATGAACTCGTACTTTTTGGTATGATTCACGCCCCAGATCAAATAAAATTTTGCCTATCCTTATTTTTTTTAAAAATGTAATTATGGTATGTCCTGATTGGTCAAATAACACCAAATACTCCTCAATTGTTATTTCAGCTCGAAGAAGTTGCTTCCGATGGCGGCATACAAAACGGACCAAAACAACGTCTCAAGGCGGCCTAAAACCATTATATAGGGTTCGGTCTATTTCCATACAAACTTCTTGATAGTCCCTACGAGGGGCTACTGTTGGGGGGTTATTCCCAATACTTGTACATTTTCTGTCACTTGCTTAACTGTAAGTACGAATGAAGGAGACTTTTAACTTAAAAGTTTCTCCCATGGAAATGGAGGAGACTTAAACGTTTTAAGTTTCTTCCAATTCCACGGGAGCACTTATCCCGACCACGTAGCTGGGATAACCTAACTACCGGTTAGTCAAAAAGGGTTGTTGTGGATGCGTCGCCCCACTGATGCTCGCGCCGATGACCTCGACAAGCAATGATATGCTTGCTGGTGCATGTTGAGCTTGCAGGTAACGCCTCAGATAGATAGGTGGACTGCATGTACATTACAGGAGAAGAGCGATGATAATACAGGCGCCTGTGCAAGTGGAGATTCATTTCCTCAGCGAATTCAGACATGGTGTTGCCGGTTGCGGCTTACCAGCACCTAGAGTAAGATTTTTACACAAATAGCCGCAATTTGGTATCTACAGTTGAACGAGCCTGCTGTGCATTGCACTTGTTAAATTAATCTACGGAGCAACGAAGCGATCTGCGCCTGAGCGAGCTTAAGGGGAAAAGGTGTCAATATACATCACACACACTGCGTACACGGTGTTCAGCGCTTCTGGGCTATATTTATGTTAAGCGATAACTATAGAGTCCTGACGTTTCTGCAGGCTGAGCCTAATTGATACGTTGTCCGGTGGCCTTCGAGGGTAAGTATCTGGAAGGAATACAACGTCTACACAAAAACTCTTGAGGTCTTGGAGAAAGGGGGCATTTCAAAATCCGCAGTCTTCCAAACTATTTGTTCCGCTTCTTGTCGGTGAATGCGCACGTTTTCAAATATTTCATGTCGCGGATCCTCCAGAACATGCACGGGTGTACGTCGTCCATATAAACCATAGTGTTTGTAGCTTCATCTTGCTCTTGTGACCAATCTAAAACCATGTTAGCTGCCGCCGACATGAAATCAGGAGTTATCGGTGGTGATACTCGAGACGCCGTGAATGCTATCAACTGGTCTAATTCGTATTGGGTTGGGTGATGCCCCAGCCACAAAGGAATCCACCGTCGCCAGACACTTTGAGCACGCTTGCAGTCCCATAAAATGTGCTCAATTGGCGAAGTCATACATAGGTCGTAAGAGCACTTGCGATTGCTAGGCCATCCTCCATGGTACAAGTTTAGGGTCTCCTACAAATTCGGTAGATCGTCCAGCGCTGATAGTCAGTCAAAACACCGTCTCCAAATTCGTTGTGGTTTTTGTCGCTGTGCTGCAGCCATCCACGGATGTCCGTCTGCTGCACTTTTCATCCGGTCCAAAATGTGTTGAACAGAAAACTTCGGCTTGCGGCGGAGACTTTGCTCGAGTTTTCCGAATCGTTTGTCGGAGATTTCGAGCCAACGGTTTTGGCGGAGCGAGCTATGACGTAGCATAGAGGAATGCAGTGGCCTGAAAAGCAATCCCTGAGGTCTTCTCAGTGCACTGAAGAGTCCTAAAGTCATCATCGAAACTTTCATCTTCGTTCCTGCTGATAACTCTCCATGTCCATCCATTGTCATTTTGACTCAATTGAAAAGCTTCTCTTCTTGGTGCTATGAGGGCAAACGCCGTAACTTGATGATACAGTTAGTGACCCATTGGTACTCTTTCAAGGCTTGATGGGAGCTGCGACTTGAGTCCAAACTTTGTCTGGGATACTAGCTAAGCCACTAGCGCACCATCGTCGAATCTGTCGATGGTGCTGCAGCTTGAACGGCCCCGTATAAACTGGAGGCAGGAACATAACTTCGCCGGGACCAATTCTTGCAACTTGGAGTTGTACCAGTGAACACGATACATTAACGGAAAATCGCGAGCTTGCAGTGTTTTTCCATTTCTATGCAGGCATTGTTGATAATTTCCAGTGCGCAAGAAGTCGACTGACTCGCTATCAGGTTCACCCGACGTTGGCGATGATAATGCGCATTGAAGAGCTCCACTATGATGCCAATAGTACATAAGAGTGTTGCAGCGTGCTTCACTCTATCTGCTGTGCCTGGAGGTGGCTCTAGTTTTATTCTTTGAGTTTGATCTGCCAACGATCCATGGAGCAAGTTGAGCGCTTGAGCGAAGCGTTCTGGCGTGCGGACGGCTGCGTAGGCGATAAGAAACCCGTGAGGACGCTCAGTGGGTTACGCGCCGAATAGCGAGAGCTACGTGCCAAGATGCAATCCGACAAGCTGGAAGCTGCTCGGCGAGAACGTCGAGTTTCAGTCGGGGAGGATGTCCCGAGTAGGAACGGTCACCACCGTTCCTACTACACGGACGACCGTTCGACCAGCGATCGACTTCTGGAGGATCAGCTGTTGGACGATGCGGTGAGCGGGCAGTCATCCATTTCGGAGGGGCGCTGACTGGCGACGCGTCGGTTAGGTGACGCGCTCGATTGCGATGGGAGCAGTGACGCGAGCGATGGGTGAGCAGTGACGCGAAGGGCAGGACGGATGTCACGAGCACCGCGTGGCTCGGGTAGCGAGCTGTGAGGTGAGCCAAAGACGAAGGGGTAAGACGAGAGCCAGGTGAGCCGGTGACGTGTTGAGGTCGGCACGTGAGCCGACAGAGAGCCGAAAGAAGAAGGGAGCACGAGCTGTCAGGTTCCGTGCGCGGTAAGGAAGTAGGGTCAGTCGTGAATCTGCACTGTAAAGAACAAGTTGATTGCTTTTGCATATTGCCTCTGTTTCTTACTATCTGTGCCACTGCCGAACCGTTCTAGCTTCCATACAACGCTTGACCGTCCCATCCAGCGCACTCGCGACAGTAGGATGGCACCTCTACTATGAGGTAGAGGCCACTGCATTGATGTTCTGGAGCAACTCCTCCGCTTTCACTATGCATTTCTGCAATACTGTTGGGGAAGAGAAAACAAATGCAAGCTATTTCACGCATGTCCGTCCTGTTTTTACGTAGTGTCCAGCCGTTCACTTCGCCTTATCATGTTTGCACTATGCACTACCGTTGGAGATGCTCTATTAATAAACTACGGTACTTTATGCGGTAGGTAAAGGCGATACGGCGGCCGAATGAGGGCCGATTCGCCTAAGCGTTTTAATGCCCCTTGAACTCTACTTCGGCTGTGTATACTATACATAATTCCAATCAGCTGTGCCAACGGGGGTTGCTTGAGTTGCTTGTTCTATTGCATATTTTATGTTGCTGGATGAAGGGGCGCAACTTTCAGTCAAACCTTTCTTCGTCGCCACGGTGGAGAAGAGGAAGGCGGTCGACGAGCCTGACAGGCCCGGCAAGAAGCGCAACGTGGGCACTACGGGTGAGCTCCCTAGTGAGTTCATATCAGCGAAGATCTCAGAGCTCATGCAGGAACTCCAACGAAGGCACGAGGCGTCTCAAGCGAAGATCAGCAGTCTCGAGGCAGATTTAATAACCTTGCGTGAAGTGAAGAACATGACTGCATCCAGCAAGTGGCGATTTCTCGTGGCCCCGATGCGGTAGTTGATCGCGCGCGTCCCACGCTTAGGGTTGAAGGTGATTTGTCCCTTCTCCGCGAGTAGGTTGACTCAAGTGCTGGTAATACGGGTGGACAGCGCGACCGAATTCTTGAGTTGCGTGATATCGCTTCCAAGCGGGCTGCTGGGAAGGCCCCGCTACGCAGATTCACAACGTACGAATTGTCTTCGAAGCACCGAAGTGATGAAGACGTGCCGGCTGCAACTTCTCGACCAATACAAGATGCCACCGATGCCGACGACGCTCCTACTGAAGCCAAGACCTCCACTATCCGCTCGCTGTCATCTGACAGCAATCACCAGGCCAGCATGACGCCGAGGCAGGTGACCACAGCTACTGAGCACCAACACACACCCAGCGGTCTGATCGACTCGAAGCGACCCGTGTGGTACCAGCTAATGGATGAACGCAGAAACAAGCTGGTTTCGGCAGGCCGCGTGGAAGTGGCGAAGGGCGACGAGGCGCAGATTGTAGACTTCCTGGACAAGGTTGAGGAGAAGAACAAGGGGGTCGCATGAAAGGGATTGGAGTTGTCGATGTCGTGGTATACCCCAGCAGTGTCGAAACAACCCCCATGAGTGGAGACAAGGAAATTGGCCCATGCGGAAAAACGAAGCAAACGGCTCTCATTGTGATTCTGCCGCCCCCTCCCCAGGAACCCGATCGAAGAAAGCGTCTCACTGTAGGCAGTGTATCATTTTCGGTCGGAGAAAACATGGTGGTGAACCCTCCTGAGTTGGTCGCGTACTCGTCAGCAAAAGTAGCAACTACCACTGCCGACACGACCACACCGTTGACTGAGCAAGTGAACATCCTCGCATATGGAAACGTGATTGATCTACCACCCAAAACTTATATTCTTGGGCAGGAGATAAGTGGTTCACGTGTTTCGTTCGGGAATGCTACCCGCCACTATGGGAAGTGTGCATGGAGAAAATCCAGAAGGAGCCGCACCTTGTGGTTCTCGGAAATCCAGGAATCGGCAAGACGTATTTTGGTTACGTTATCTTGCGTATGCTCGCACACCAAGGCGAGACGGTTGTTTACCAGTGTCGACAGGGTGAACGGATTCTCTTTTCTCCCGACGTGGTTGGGCGAGGATCAGGTACAGACTTCGATGAGTTTCTGAGAAAGCGTGCTACGTACTACCTTGTGGACGGTCTCCGTCCGGCCAGCTACGACTGTAAGACGATTTTATTGACCTCACCGCGTCGTGAAGCCTGGTATGAATTCTACAAGATCGCTTGCAGTATGGTATTCATGACAGTTTGGTCCGAGGAGGAGATTATGAAGTGTCACCCGCTGATGATTTCTCGCGTTCCTATCGACACGGTCCAGGATTGTTGTCGTCGATGGGGTGGAATCGCCCGTTACGTTTTACGCTACGCACAGGACCCAATTCAGCAGGCGCAATTGGAATGGGCTCTCGACGGTGTATTACTCGAAATCTGATCGATGCGTTCGGAAAATTTGACGCGCCTAAGTCTGAAGTTTCTCATCGGTTGCTGCACTATCGAGTTGGCGTGGGCTACACCAGCGCAGACTTCGTTTTCGCTTCGGAGTATGTTCAGGACACGGTATACAAACGACTCTATCGGCTGGATAAGCGCAAGCTGCTAAGCTTTATACAAGCAAGTGAAGGGGTGGATGGTTACGCTGTTTTGCGTGGACATTTGTTTGAAGGACACGTACATTTGGTACTGGCACGGGGTGGAAGATTCCAGATTCGGCGCTTTGTCGCAAAGAATGAAGTACACAATGCTGCTAGAAAGACGAGGGGCGGGGTTGTTCCTCACGTGGCATCGGAAACTGGCGAATGGATCGAGCTCTCTCGACGGCAAACTACAGTGTTTAAGAACAACGCTGAGCTTGCCGCTGCTGGCGACGTGTACCTGCGACCGTTATCGAAGAATTACCAATCCGTGGATGCGATACTCAAGCCGGATGTTTTGTTCCAAGTGACTGGTGCGCACAAACACCCGTGCAAGCAAGCGGGGCTGCATAATGTCCTGGAGCAACTTGGAGATCCTGTATCACCTCGCCTATATTTCGTGGTGCCACCCGACCGCTTCAAAGATTTTGAATATCAAAAGTACCACGACTCCAGGAACAAGGTGATGGAGAACCCAACTTACGCGAACGTGCAGAACATTCAGCAATTCGTGCTGCAAATTGAACTGACACCGGAAGAGTCGTGATCGTTTTGTTGGGTGCAGGTCTCCTGATTAGCTAGTGTGTCCGCCTGACATGTAATTTGATTTGTTAGCCATCTAAATACTTTTCACACACAGTCTTTCAATACCATTTTCGCGAGATGAATTTCGACCTCCATCGCTACTGAACTCACTGTTTCATCAGTTTCGCGAACGTATTCACCCTCACCACTCCACCGCTAACGTCGACTAAATAATAACTTTATCTACAGTAGTCGTATATTATGTGGTTGCTCGTTGAGGTGCATGATGAGGTCGCCCCGCGCGGAGATGACTGGCACGAGCGGGAAGTCCTTCTCAAGACGATTGATGAGATGTGGGTGTCGTTCGAGGAGGCGCTAGTGGCAGCGGCAAGGGCCAAGGACGGTGGACGGGTATTGTCACTGCTGAGGAGGTACGAGTTCCCAGTGCTGGATGCCATCGGAACTGTTGCTGGCAGCGAGCTACGAAGCATTTTCCGCAACTGCTGACCGGGGGTTCGTACCGCATAGTAGGGTGTGATCGTCTGAGCTCAAGCTGGAGTGCGTGCACTTTGCGGCGATGTCTGACGCTGCAAACAACCAGCATGAAGCGACCAAGCGGCTGTTCCATGATCTGGTTACTTCTCCAGTGCTGCTGCAGCCAGTGAAGATGACGCCGAGCGTGATGCACGAGTAGTGATACTAAAGATGGCGTTTAAGTTCGGAAACTACGACTTCGTGAGGTCGCTCACGAAGACTGTGGCGCCGTGAGTTTTTCTGGCAAGGTGCTGCCGCAGAACATCGTAGGTATTTTGTGTGAGGTGGGATGGCGCGGCGCTAAATATTGCAGCAAGAGTATAATATACTCTTGTTACATATGGGCTTCGTAGCGGTCGCGCTCATCCGAATGCCGGTGTGGGCCTACATTTGGCATGCGAGGCGCGTGTTCACAGGTCGAAGAGCTGTGCTTGGACGGAGCTTTACTGCCACTTACTGAACCGGGTACTTTTATTTCCAAAAGCGGGTATTCATTAACTTAAGGAAGTACTTCCTAAAGCTATGAATTATTACTTCTACGGAAATCGCCGTGCGAATCTGCCACTTTGTATAGAATTCGGGGTGCAAATTGACCAGCGAATTCCACGAATGCAAAAATGCCAGCTATAAAAAAATCAAATGAAACTGTCCATAATGCAAGATGTAGTGGAATTCATCGTGCAGTTTGCATGAAGCATATTGTGCCGCACATTTGGTACACAGTGTGAAAGCAGAAACACTACTACTTCGAAGTAAATGTGTATTGTGTAAGCTTACCGCTACTCACCTACGTAATGGTAGCTAATCTAGCTGGAGCTGTGCCTTGCATGCTCACGGGCGAGTGTTCTCCACGATAGTTGGTCAAGTCTACACGCTCTTCCTTTACTCGACGTCGATGAGAACGGTAAACGATTCTTTACTTGCTCAAAAAGAAGGCCAGCCGAATCGAGAGAGTTGTGCGCTCGCAGGACCTCATCACTCGTCAGAAGTGCTTCAACCAAGCGCATCAGCCGCTGAAGCTCTGCAAGCCGGATCTTTTGTAGTCTTGAAGCCATATCGTGCTTTGATAGCTGCCTTAGTGGCGGTTGCCCAGCACACCATTGCTGCCACACAACGCGAACGGTTCCTGGGGGTAGCACAAACTCTCTTGGCACTCGATGAAAGCCTCCACCCCATGTGTAAAGCTCGGTGTGCATCGTTGTCGTAGCATTCACGGCGGGCTCGCCTTCTGGATCTGGTGCGGGTAGATTTGGTCGCATCAAATTGGACCGCGCCAATACCACAGCGAAGGCTGTCTCCATCGCTTCCATGGTCATAACTGATCCGTTAATGTGCCGTTTGAGGGCTTTCTCAAAATCAACAGCCAGACCTTCTTTAATCCCATCAATTTGCTCCTTGTAGTCTGTAAGCGCCACCATTATCCCCACGTGTGGCGGAATGCCCGAAGGACTGATAGGATCGTGCTCTTGAAAGTTTCGACAAACTACACGACGCCGCAGCCACTCAACTTGCGCTTCATTACGCGTGTTGAATACCGGAGTAGCAAACAGCAAATGATTCGTAGGCAGAGACTGCTGCAAGAACGACTTGTGGAACAGCATTGACGCCAGACCAAATTGACAGATCATCTGCAGACTGGCTGGAACACCGGGAAAAATGGCTTTCATGGCGACATCAATGCGCTGCCGTAGTTCCAGTCTGTCAGCTTCTTGATCACTTTGCACATCGAAAAATGGAGGTAACGCTGCAAATTCTGGAGAATCAAATGGAAGGCCCGCAACATACCGACCGACCACCATGTCACCAGCGGCTTCAAACCGAACATACTTGCCCTGGACACCTGGAAGAGTCCAACCAGCCCGAAGGCAAATAGCCGCTGCTGACAGACCCGAAGTAGAGCAGCTACTAACATAGGTAGCAGCACCTTTACGCGCGGAGTGCGTACCAAAATCAGCAGCCGTTAATCCAAACTCAGCTAACGTTCGCTGCATCAGTTCTCCACTAAGCACAGACTTCAATACTTTGAGAAATCGACTGTACTGATTACCACCAGGGAAATGTTTTCCATCGCGAGCGAAACCAAAAACAGCGAAATACACTCCAAGTCCTAATACCGGGCAGATTTCGGGCATGGTTGGATATGCGTACACATGCCTGGGATCGCGAGGCCGACTTCCGTCTTGATCGTTTTTCATATGGGCGAAAGTAATCGTGATGGAGTCCTCGCGCCAAGAAAGGTGAGCGCGCCGTATCGATTCAGTACTTTTGGCGTGGCACATGAGATTCCAACAAACGAGCAAGAAAGTGTGGCCGAACGCATCCTGTTTTCTGGTAGATTGGAGCATTGCTTTAGCCACCGATCGATACATCGAAAACCTGAACGGCTCCTTCCCTTCCGAGATGCGCTCGTTACTGCTCTGAGCAACTCTTGTCACAGTGTGGTGCAGCCCCTTGAAAAAGCGCCTCATTTGAGGATCGAAGTCATGCGGCCGAGGACTTTCTGTCTGAGTGTAAAGGTACACTATCGCCGAGCGAACATTTCCAAAAGTCGACTTTCCGGTGACACCACGCTGCTCCATCGAGGTCAAGTAGCGCATACACTCCATAGTACTTAATACACTTAGATTGACAGGGCTTTGTAAAGGGGAAATAGAGAGCCACTGCGCGATACTCTCCCCATTAATTGCACCCAGCTCACGAAACGTACTACACCTTTTGCCGCCCATTCTTAGGTTAATCGCCGGTCAAATTTGGCGTGACCATTTTTTGGGTACACAAAAAGTATCCAAACTCAGGAGTACCACTGTATTATCTCAATCAAAGTTGGCTAATCCCCATTCGATGTAGTTAAAATTGACGAGATTTTGACGTTCAAAGGCGCTCTGCGCAAGCGCTTTCGCGCGCGCGCGAAATGGCCTACCGACGCGTGGAAGGAAGCTCGCTTCATGCTTTCATTCCTCATTCTTCCCTGAGCCCCACAGATGTCCACTCAAGCAACCTTCGTCCGCCACACCCCGGAAAAACGCCGCCGCGTCTTGGACGCCTTCCAGAGCGGCAGCGACTGGCGCACCATCGACCAGCACAATGGGTTCGCGCGCTCCACGGCCGAGACGACCACCTTCCCCGACGGGCCATGAAGATGATCGCGGAGATCAAGGCGGCCCTTGAGCTCTGGCTCAACGAGTGCTGATCGTATACGCTGGGCACGTTGCGAGCTATGGCGTACGAGGACTTCGGAGTGAGCCTCTCCGAGACGGCCATCTCTCGCCGCCTGTGGCCCCACAGCCCCACGTGCATCCCCGATTGAGAACTGTTTCAGTTCACTCAAAGCCAACATCTACAGTGTAGCAGAACCTCGTGCTGGCGAGGGACGAGATGTCCGCGCCCATGACGCAGATCGGCGGCGGTCTCCAGATCTCAAAGACGGAAGCGCCCATGCGTCTTCTTGAGTGCGTTGCTCACGTCTCGATGCCCCGCATCACTCAGTGCATGGTGCAGAAGATGGAGCTGCATGCCTCCAAGTTCGTGAACGCCGCGATCCGCATGGAAAACATGAATTATGAAGCGTCAGTACATGTATTGAAGGAACTGCCCTGTTTTGATTGGGGATTAGCCAACTTTGATTGAGATAATACAGTGGTACTCCTGAGTTTGGATACTTTTTGTGTACCCAAAAAATGGTCACGCCAAATTTGGCCGGCGATTAACCTGAGAATGGGCGGCAAAAGGTGTAGTAAACAGGACTTGCCGTTGATCCGCCTCCGTATTCTCGTAGAGCCACTCTATGAAGCGAGATAAAGCTCGTAGATAGACGTACTTGGTGTTGTCAGAGGTGATGCTTCCCAGCACTTGCTCAACGCGAGCATCGAGAGCTTCCATTTTTACTTGCCGAGTACAAGTAAGCGCCCAAGAGTGCAAGAGTCTGCGACTCTTGCCGATAGAAACTGTATCGAAATAGCATAGAAATATTTCTAGTTTTTGTTTCGTTCACTTTGCACGACGAATTCCATTTATCTATACATGTACTTAAGTATGACTCTGCAACCCAGGGGTTGTTTGCTAGCGGTTTAACTCTTAGCAACTATTGTACGACTAAAAGCTTCAAATTGTTGTTAACTCGGTTCAGGGATTGTTTGCTAGATTCGTACTATAATCCAAGGTTATCACTAAAACTACGTTGCTACTACTCTTTATTAAGTATTTTTCCAGGGTTTCACGATTTAACGAAGTGCTTATGATACGCATCCGCTGAAGCATACTTTACTGCTGGGTGGTGCTTGTCAATATCTCGTGCGTGCTAACCCATTATCTGCATGTTGCATGATGGGTTGCGCTTCGAATGTTGTAAAGCTTAGTACATGTACACAGTACATGTACATGCAACGGAGAGTGGACTAACTACCGATAAGACCAGCAAACACCGCTCCTTTTGCGAAGTGTTGACCACTGACCACATGATCACTAGTTACACGGACTAAGCTTAATAGATGTTACCAGCATTCTGGCCCATCGCAAGCCAGTAAGTGGGATCCCTAAATGTGTCGGCTCTAATGGCGTCTCCAAACTAGCTCATCGCGAACATCTGTCAGTTTATTACAGCATCGGCTGCTACACCTTGCTCAGGTTACCTACCTCCCATGCGCTAATTACTCGACTTCTAACGTACGCTATCTACATATAGTGTATCGCCATGGCAGCTAATCAAAATGTTCCTGCAGTTGTGGAAATGTTGTTTACTTTATTCTAATCTATCTCAGCTGCTGGATCAAGTGGTGCTTATCACCGCTGTGTGTAGTTTTGAGCATTTCACTACCCCAATCTCTGTGCGTGTCGAAAAAATGCCCGAGAAAAATGCAGTACAAGTAAACCAAATACCTACTTGCTTAAAAATGATTGCAAATTCAAGACATGTTACTTCTGCCCTTGTGGGTTGGATTTCACTACGCGTAACATTCGTGCGAAGTAGGTTTGCTAAACGTCTATCTTTATCAACTGCGTCTTGGTGCTTTGGACATCTGCAGTGAACTTTTCAAGTGCAAGAAGAGCATGTCGAGAAGTAACGTGAGACAGCCAGTTTTGTTGTGGTTTGCTTGCGATTGACACGCTCGATCTTCAAGAAACAGCTGGTAAAACCTGTTGATTTCTTGAAAAACCATTTACGTCTTTGGTTTTACCTTGGTTTTAACCTATACAATCTAGTTTTTATTGATCGAGTACACTTCGTTGGTAATTATCCGCGTTTCTTTTGTGTTCATGTTTCCTATGCAAGCCACATTCCCAGTTTGTTGTGGATGGATTATCGAAACGAGGAGAACATTTTTGAAAGAGCTCTGATATGCTCTCGTATTCATCGATAGCTTTATGCGGGCTAATCGCATCATTAACTCTGTTTTTTGTTGAATTATTATGTTTTAAGGTTCATCACACAGAAACGTTTTTTATTCCCATTAGTCGGTGTCTCCAATAGTTAAAGTGGATACTTCTCTCGCCGGAATTTCTACAGGACGAATGACTCAGCGGTCATTATCGTGCCGCAAAACGTTATTTTCCTTAGTGTTATCGTCGTCGCTATCAACTTTCCGTCATTGTTATTAAGGGTTTGGTGTTAAGAGCGGTAGCATTACAAGTTTTTAGAGGAAAACTTGACAAGCAATGCTGTTCTTCGTCGACATAGCGGACGTTGGACCTAAACTTCAACAACTTCCCAGTAAAACCTACACTTGATGCCTGCATCTCCCCCCACCTTTTCCCCCTCTCTTTTCATTAATTTTCGAAAAGTCACTATTGTTGCTGTTGCCCTACGACCTGTGTACTCTCCCGGAGCAGTGCTCCGGGTAGCCTATTTGAATTGCGGTGTACTACTGTAGTACTTCAGTAGTTATGCTCGGGTGCGGGAGTTGTGAAAAGTCTGACAAGTACCGACTAGAGGTGGACTCTTTCACCCGGATGCTGTAATCGGACCCCCGCTACCTCCGCTCCGTTATCTAACAACGAACATCAAGTCAAGAAGATGCCACGACCGGCTATTAAGCACATCAATCCGAAGACAGCGGGGCTGCCAGTGTGGTACCGACTTGCATGGAGAAAACTCACGGAAAGTATCGGCATCTTGTGGTGCTCGACCGGCAAGTTTTCTTTTATAAGACGGTCATGTACCAGTATGGAGAAGATGAGCGGGTTCTCTCTTTCTCCAGACTTGGTTGTGAAGGATCAGGTACAGACTTCGCGCAGTTTCTGAGAGAGACGGATACGTACTACATTGTAGATGGAGTCCGTCCAGTCAACTACGATTGCAAGACGGTCTTACTAACTTCACCACGTCGCGAGGTGTGGTATCAATTTTACAAGACCGCTTACGCCAAGGTCTGGATGTCGGTTTGATCGGAGGAGGAGATCTTCAAATGTCACGCTTTGATGTTTTATCCTGAAGTTTATGTGGACAAGGTCAAAGATCGTTTGCGTCGGTAAGATGGAATTCCGTCGTATGTGCTGAACGATGATTTAGCCGAAAGACACGAACAGCTGCTGCAGCAAGCCCCCAACAACGTTAGGCTGGATGCCATGATGTTCGCGTTTTGGAACACCGAGAGCCCATATTTGAAACCACGCTCCCATTACTGCACTTTCGAGTGAACAAGCGGCTCGTCAGAACGCACTTCGTCTTCGCGTCCCGGTATGTCCAGGAGGAGGTGCAATTCAGGACCTGCAAGGTGGCTTAGCACTGAATGTAACCCCAATTGGTACACAAACGTTTGTGCGCATCAGTCACTTAGAGCAAAATGCCAGGCTTGACTATCGCGACTACGGATTTGTAGCTCCTCACTATCAGCCGAAGGTAGACGTTGTTACCAGCAGATGCTAGCTCATCGTCGCTATCAAAGTCTACAGCTCGCCGCGTAGGGAACGTGACTGACGTGCCGTCATTTTTTGTGGGGGATATCGACTTCCATCGCTTCAGCGCCCGCCGAATCACCAACCTCCTCTTCGTCGTCATCGTCTTTGTCACTCCAATATCCGCCGTTGAGTTGCCCACTTCGATCAAAGTGAGGGGACCACCACAACGCCGCTGTGTCAGTTCTGCGATGTGAGACAACTTCTCAAAGGGGTCTTTGCGTAACTGCCCGCATAGACCTCGACGCTGATGACACCAATCCCCTTCATAAGACCGTCCGCGTTCCTCTTCTTCACCGCGTCCAGAAATTGAACACTATCCGCCCCATCGCTCGACACTTCCACGCGGTCTGCGGACCCAGCTTGGTTCGTTGTTGATCCACTAACT